AAGCCCGCGAATGAATTTCTCCGACTGGATCGGACAAGTCGATTTTTTCCCAGTGAAAAAAAAAGAAAAAAAAAAGACAACAAATAAAACGGGAGAAAAAAAAATAGAGTACATCAATCTCAGCGGTTGCATGGCTATTGTAATTATCATTCCCTTTAATCATTCATTGAATTTCCATGGGAATCGGACGGTGCAATCGTTGATGTGCAACGAGTAAAATGGCGCAATCATACATGTACATATATCTGTCATGCCATCAGGTGCTTTTCCATCATTCGCCCTGGGTTGTAATTCGAAACACTAGGCTAGACCAACAATGGATCGGCTTTTAACGGTACATGTACACAGATGTTATATTTCCTTTAACATTTTCCACTGGCCTCGTTCGAACTGGCTTTCACATCGAGTCAATGAGAGAAAGATAAACATACCGTACACTGAGAGGGGAAGGGTAATTTGACATTCTTCGGTTGTCTAGTCATTTTCCATTGTTTGTTCATGTTCACCTTTTGTTTTTGTTAACGTTAACCCGAGGATTTTACCGATTTTCCTCAAAGGGTTAACTGTAGACCGACGGATATCGGCGGGCATCCAATTACCACGATTTATTTTTTCATTGTCTTTCATTATTTTTCAATGTGAAAGTGAAGAAAAAATCGGTACGTCAATTACGATTTGATAGTTGGAAATTGCCATTACAAAATCGTGAATTACGCAGAGATAAAATATAAAAAATGTATAATAATATAAAAATCTGAGAAAAATCGTGACGTTTTCACCCATTGATGAATCCATTGAATTTTGTCGTTTGGATTCCCTGAAATCAATGTATTTCATTGAAGTCATTAAAGAAATCGGCAATGAGATAATAAATGACAAAGCCAGGGCTAACTTAACCTTCTTCGGTCGACCAGTCACTGTTCATTGTTTGTTCATGTTCGCCTTTTGTTTTATCAACGTTAACCCCGGGATTTTCCTCGACGTTTTAAACCTAGACCGACGGAAATCGGCAGGGATTTTCCGTTAACAACAAAAGCCCCCGCTGTATCGACGAGTGTTTTTTACCCCCCATTTGGCCGATTTTTTTTTACGCCTTGTTTTGTCCTTCGAAAATCATTTGCGTGACTGATTTGTTGGGCTTTTGTCGATTCCTGGCCAATGATTTTTTTATTATCTCCCTCAGCCCCCACTCCCCCTCGTCACACGGGGGAGTGACGAATCGCTTTCATCGATTCTCTTTTTTTTTATTTTATGTCTTTTTTTTTTCTATTTTCACTCTCTCTGGACAGCCTCGCTGCGGTCTCTCGTTCCATTTTTCTCCGCCCCCTCTGTGTAACATCGGTATGAAAAATTGCCCCTCATTTGAGCTCTTGAATATTTGTGGCCGCGGAAAAATCGAGGGATGAAATAAAACTGAATACAAGTTTGCCGGCTGTTCAATGGGAATTTTATGCTTTCATGGGAAACGGGGGATGATTTCGTATGAGTGGAGATTCGGGGTGAATCTGTGATTAATCGTAGGGTTGTATTTTGAAAATTTCTGGGGGTTGATCGTGGGTCAAGACACATGCGCTTGCGATGTCACATCATAAAAATACTGGAAATACTTTGAACAATCTTCTGCGACCATTTTGGAAATTTTTTGATTTTCAAAATGTGAAACAAAATTATTTTCGAACGCTATACCTCAATTTTCCGATTCAATTTTGCACGTTTATTATTATTATCTCAAGTATAATCTAATAAATATCAATATTTATACCGAGTTAATAAAAAATCCATTACTCAATTAATTAATCATGCATTAATTAATCATAATAACTCATACATCACAGCTTTTTTATCTTCATTGTTTTCCATAAATTCTGAATAAAATTCTTTAAAGAATTCTCCAGTATTTTTGCACTATTGATTTATATGATATTATATCATTAATAAACAATGCAATCATTTGATTAAAAAATTTTTTAACTCGTCGTATCGTGCGCTCGCGAAATTCACTTAGGACGTTCGCGGAAGCACTAGTTTCACTTTCGTTTTTCTCTTCATCATTTCGCGGAAGGCATTTCGGATTAAATGTACGTTCGGTGGTTGAAAAAAAAAAATTGGCAAACTGCCATTTCAATCTGGGGGATCCTGAGGAAGACAAGATCGCGATGTACCTCCTCTCGGCTGCGAGTAAAATAGGATCGCGATGCCGCAGTGGAATTCAGTATTTACGAAAAATCACAATATTTTTTGCGAATGTCATTAACTCAGGCTATAAATATTGTTCTTTATTGTATTTTTTTCTAATTTTCTATTGAAAATTTGGGAGAAACTTTTGAAATCATTTGAAATCAGCAATCGCGTGATGATTAATTAATACCGAATAACTCATCGATTGAAATGAACTGAAGTCACTCTCTAAATTCACGTGCACTGAATTTACAGAATTCACAATAAATAAAATGCGAGATTCCAGAATTTTTCAATTTTTTAATTTCGCTAAAACGTCATAAATACGCATAAATAAAAATATAAAAAATTCAACAAAATATTATAAATAATAGTATATAAAAATAAAAATTTCCAAACTTATATTTAATTCTTGTTATATAATTTATTTTATTTTATTGAATTTTAATTTTTCAAACAAAATACCAGTATTTATAAATTATCAATATTATTAATATTTTTCAAAAATATTTTTGAATTTCACTCTGAAATAATTTGAACGTGACACCGAAATGACTTGATGGACCCCCGCGATGACTGATCAACTCCCCCCAAGAGCCAGAATTAATTAGTTAATCAACTAAAAATAATGATTTCCCGCGATTTGATTTTTGGACGGACCCTAAATACCCTAATTTCCAAGTTGGCGATGACACGTTCGATTCGCGATATCAGCAGGATCTCTCAATTACAGTCGTACCTAATTGCCCCTTGAAGCGTGGAAACGTAGGGGTGAGAGGGGGTGTTAGGGGGTGTTAGGGGGTGCGGGAAAAGAGTGGGGGGTTCTCTCGACGATATCCAGACCTAGAGCAATGCCCAGGCCAAGGTTTTGCATTCACCGGGTGTCTTCCACCTCATCAACATTTTCCCGCAATCAGCAAAAATTATTTATATGAATGAAAAACAAATTTCCAATGATTTTCCACATCACTATTCTCCATAAACAATAAAAAAAAAATATTTAGCAATACAAGAAAAATTGAAATAATTAATAATTTTCGAGAAGGAAAATTATTAACTATTTCATTTTTTTTACGCTGAATATTTAATTTAGTAATTTGTCGTTATTAATTCCGTAATCCGTATTTCTATGTTGCAATAAAAAATACAGAGTAATAGTAACAATTGGGTATTAATTAATTAGTGAATTTATCGGATTAAAATTAAAAAATCATATAAAAAAACCGGAAATGGTGGAAAAACGGAAAAATTGGAATATAAATAAGGGAAATAATTTAGCCCACGAAATATCGGTGGGAAATTCTCTTTGAAAGCGACTCGCAATCCAAGAAAATTCCCCGAGTCTTGCGAGATTGTCCCAGTGGTAATCCCAAAAGCAAAATCTCATTGAAGCCCTCGACGAAGAGGACACAGTCACGTTTCACCGAGAGAATAAAAAAAATAAAAATAAAACAGGCAACCGATAACCAATTCCCAAAGCCTGGGTGAAAGCCCCTAAACTTTTCTCCCCCGAAGAGATTTCAAAGAGCCGAACTAAATCAGGAGAGAAAACTATATATATGTATTATCCTGGTATCCATATATTATTCTCTTTGTTTTCATTTACTCTGATCCTCTCTCGAAATAAAAAAAAAAATCTGTAATCCTCAGTAAGGGTTATAACACACGTTCGGGGATTGGCTCGGCCAAAAGCTCTCGTGCGGTTCCCCGACTAACCCATATACTGTCCCTCTTCTCAGGGTTGAATACCTTTTTTTCCCTCCCGATAGAGAGTTCGGGCCCTCGGGAGAGATGCATTTTTACGACACGGGGATTACCAGATGGCGACTGAGGGTGAACACCAGAAAAACCGAAAATAATGCATGTTCAGGGCAACCACTTCTGCGAGGGTTCTTATAAACAATAAATTCGACGTTTAAAGTTGAATAATTTGAATATTCATTTGAAACCCAAAAAGTTGGACAACTGGATAATTAATTGGTCTTAATGAATGACAGAAAAAAATTAAATTTTGAAATTGAAGGAAAAATCTACAGGAAAGATTTTTGTAAGGCAATAGATCTCGAAAACTGTGAGTTCTAAAGGGAAAAATGAAAAGAGAGTTTTTGTCAGGATTTTGATGGGCTAGAAAAAAGTTCCCTACCGTTTCCACGAGAATTCGATGGGATTCGAGGTACATCGATTCAGAAAAAAGTCAATATCGACTTGTCTCATTTTACCACTTCCCTACTGATTTAATTATCTCCTCAAGTATTGATTTTACGACAAAATATGAAAAAACGTTTTTTATGGGAAATTTAATAACCAACCAAAAAGGTCCCTAAGACGTTCCTCCCCGACCGATGGTTTTCGAGATACATCGATAATTATTCAAACGACCGACTAAACTCCCTCGATTTTCAACTTAACGATGAATTTTACATATAAAAAAATAAGAATAATTGCAATAATCCTCTTAAGCTACTGCGTATTCCATTTTCCAGAAATCGGGGAATAAATAACATATTTCTCGGTGGGAGATGTCAATATGGCGTACCCCGCAGTTGTAATTCCCGGAGAAATCCGAGGAGAGAAGACTTTTTCATGGAAAATTCGATCACGCCGACAAAATCCGTCAATAAACCCCAATTACCAATATTTTTCCCACAGTCTGACTGAACAGCGATCATTCCCCTGAAAAGCCGGGCGTCCGGGTCTGCGCGATAATCCAACATATCCCTTATTCCCGAATCCCCACATCCCCCATTACATTCCATTAATAATCAATAATAATCACCCAAAACATAAACAATAATGAATAATTGTGCATAATAAATAATTACCTCTCTTGGACGTGCTGTCAGTGGTGCTAATAAATCCAGGTACGGCAATCACGAGAACAAAAAGTCCACAATGTACCCAAAACATGTTTATGTCTTAACAACATTGTTCAATTCCATATTACATAACGAGCGTTAATCACTGACGTTACAACTTTATTGTCCAGCTGGACAGAACCGGGTGTGCAATATAAATCCGTCAACAGTGGAATATCCCGATGCCATGTACGATGACGATGATGTTCAACAAATACCGTTAACCGCATAATAAAAAACTTTTGGTCCTTGCTAATTATTCCATATTCACGGTATTGAATTTTATTTCAAAACGACAACCGATCAATCGCCAAATTTATACTGACATTTAAACCGCTACCGCCACCCGGCACACCACCCATTCCCCCCATTCTATCCGGATATTTACTCAAATAATAATAACAATAATAATTTAAACAAACAATTGTCTAACGAAGAAGAAGTAGCAGCTGTAAACGGATTGCGAACGCGTCGCTAATTCCCGGCGTTGATATACTCGTTGGGGAGGGGGGTGGTGGAGGGGGCTGGTAGGGATTGAAGCCTCGGAAATGGAAAATGAAAATTGGAAAAACTATTTCACGCCACGGCTGCCATCTTCTTCCTCCGGTGGAAGTCTGAAGTATGAAAATATTTGCGGGATCCCATCCCTTCCATCTGGTGGATGACAACGGAGGGGATAGGGGTAGACAGGGGAAGGTGGTGGGAGGTGGATGGGTGAGATTGTGGGGGTGAATTGGGATGATGAGGGGGAGCTGGAATCCCCAGGCTCGTGGTACAGGAGTCCTTTATGTTGATCCCCTACTTCCTGCCCATCTCGCGGCGTCGATTTTCATCCCTCCGACGCCGACGCCAACCCCTTGTCACCCCCTTGTCACCCCTCACCATCAATTACCAACCCAACCACCCACCACCCGTTCACCCATCCACCCATCCACCCACTGGCCGCAAGCGCGAGCCGCACGGACCACTGACACTCCAGCACAGGCCACCACCCACCCACCCTTATCGATCCAAACCCACCCACCCTTCACCTCTTCCTTTCCCCCACCATCCATTTGCCATCTTCAACCCTCTCCCGGCTTTACCACCAACTCAACGAAATCAATAAAACTGAACTGCAGCCAACCATCGGCGCCGGGTGCGTTTGTACTGTACTATTTCTATCTGTTTTCTCGGTGCAACATGAAAATCGTCCTTATCATGACATAGGCCGGTGCTCAGGACTGACTACAGGGGTCCCCTCACTCCAGGACGCCAGGGGGTAGCACCTAAGCTGGAAGTGTCACTTGTCCGGAGGCTGGAGGGATCTCTGGGGAATTTTCTTGTTCTAGGGATTTTTTATCTGCTTCACCGCTGCTGAATATAATGTTCAGGGCGGACTCCTGGAGTCGGGACTTCAGCGGGGTGCATTTCTGTCGAAAATACGGCGTTTCCGCAGGTTATGGGAATTTATGAGGAGTTTAGGCATAGGGATGTTTTTTTTTATGGCACCACTGTAGGGACTGATGGTCGGGGCAGACTCCAGGGGTTGCATCCCCCTTTTTAAATATTTTTATCCGTCGAATCCCCAAAATCCCCAGGATCTATGGTAATCATTTGATTTATTTAAAAATTACCACTTTAAGATTAAATGAGAGATTATAATCTACTGTAGGTAATAAGTCATAAAAATAATTATTAGATTTTAATCTTCCGTTTAAATCCAAAATTCCAATTTCTCGTGCAATTTAGTCGCCGTAATTATTTCTCCTCACCCCCAGTAATTACTAAAGAACCCGGGGAATCCCGGGGAAGCCTGGGGAATCCTGGAGAATCCTGGGGAATCTAGGGAGAAAAAAATTTAAAAAATCAGCGCTAGACGGAAGATCGATTGGGAGTCGACATTCCCGATCACTTGAAATATCATTTTTTAATTTATTGTGTTTATTTCCTCATCATTTCTCACTTACATAAACTTCATTAACATTCTCTGACGCATGCACTCAGTCACTCGGAAAATCTTTTTCACTTCGAGGGTGAGATTCGATTTTTAATGTGGCTAGCATATAAATAGATATATATATCAAGTGTGTGACGTGTGAGCAACGTTCGAAAAATCTTAAAACTAATCACCCAATCATCCCCGCCCCTCATTATTGAAGCTTTATTTCATTTTGATGTTCCATTTACCATCAGCTAGTAGAAAATGAAAAAAAAATTCCAAGATTTATGTACACGGGCGACTGATTAATTGAACAATGACAAAACATTCGTGAAAATTATTATGAAAAATTCACCCCCAATCAAGGGAAAAAATGGAAAAATATTTTAGGACAAATGCATATTTTTTTTCATCAAAAGAATTGAATTTACGATCATCACTCGACGCGATAATCGATTACAATTGTTCAAGGCTAGTCTTACCTAGGGATCGATTAATGTATCATTTCTTGGCTAACATTTTTCCTTGCTTTTTTTTTTATTATTACTTTTTATTTAGTTCTTATAAACCCTTAATCCGCTAAATGATTGAAAAAACCGCCAGTTTCTCCCACTGCCAACTGTTTTTTAGGTTTTTTTTTTAATTTTCATTAGTTCAATATCATGTTTATTTACCTATTTTTCTCTCATTTAGTGATTTCCTCTTATTATCGCTTATCCAGTATTTATTTTCCCTTTAATTATTATTATTATTCAATAATACCTACAACAAAGTGCGCGGACAACGAGTTCTCGCGCATTCAGGTGTGCGTTACTTGTTTTTTATTTTTTATTTTATTTTCATCCCTTTCTGAACGCCTCACACTATTTTCATACTTACGTGCGATTGAAAATATTTCAATGAAGATGCGACAACCGAATTTTTCGTTAAATCAAATTAATTGAAATTTTTCGTACTCCATGCATTCGACGTCGCGATTTTTTATTGGGGAATTAAGGACCGGAGCTCTCCGGGTCTAGTAATTTTTTTTCCACCAAATAATTACACTAAGATTGAGGGGCTTCTGGGGATTTTAGTCGAAAAAAATCACTAGACCTGGAGAAGGGCCTTAATTGGAGAATAAAAAAATAAGGCTTAAGCGCACCTAATTAATTGTCATCAGATATTAGATGACCTTTTTCGAATTCATTCATCCATTCATTCTTCTTCGATTTTTCAATTACTCTTTTTTCTTTTTTTTTTTGATGTACAGAATTGGCAATATTTTTCTATTAATGTACTGGGTTTTTTTTTATTTCTTTATTCACTGTTCGAACATGATTTGTTCTTACGCAGGTGTACAATGAAAAAAGTCCGGGTTTTTTTATGTCGAGAAATTACGTAAATGGAAAAATTTACAGCGAGGGGGAATTCAAGTTGTACCAGAGAAAAAATGGAGAACTGGAAAAATGAAGTCCAGTTTTCCTGGAATAACTCAGGATCTGAAAGAGATACCGATATTTTCATCATGACCTTTATTACAGGGCTATCCAAGACCTATGAAAAAGGTCATTACAAAATTTTCAATATCGGCATTGAATCCCGAGATACTCCCTGCAAAACCGATCAATAGTCAGTCGATCGAGTCGCCTGGACTCTCACTTGAGTTCTTGGAGAATATCTCCAAATCTAAGAGAGATAGCAAAATTGTTCATATGACCTTTTCAGTAGGGCTCGTCATGCCCTCCAAAAAAGGTCCTGACGAGTTTTCGCTGAGTCTCTTAGATTCACATATATTCCCCGGAAAATTATTAGCTACTGAATAAATTATGGAAAAACACAGGGTAATCATCTTGACTCCAGTGATTAAATATCGAGGATAAAAATATTCAATAATTTGACTCTTCACGAGCAAACGGAAAATTCCAGAGAGTAGAAAATTGATTGGCACATATCGATACTGAATGTCCTTTTAGTTTAGCACAAATTATTGGCACTCAAATCATCGTATCTCACTCTTCAATACATTTTAGTCTGATGTCTCATTATTTTCTCATCTGTCTCTTCACCCCTCAAACTCATCAACTGACAGTGAATTGCTACTAGGATAATACGCGTACAATATTTAGAAATAGAAATTTATTAAAATTGCAAAGTCTTACTTGCCATTGCGTTAATATTATACTTCGCATTATTTTTGTCATTTCGTCACTCTTTCGTTATTTCCAGAGGGCCCCGAAGGCTCTTCGATTTCGTCATCGACATTCCCAATCATTGAGTCATCAATTTTTTTAATTTCTTCCACGTGTTCTCAACATTCCAGAGAGAAATGTCAACTCAAAAATCACTAACCGATCGAATAAATTATTTTTTAAAACCGCCTGTGAGTATTTAAGTAATTATTCCCCTCACCCCCACTTTCTCGATATTTTCCATTATTTTATACAGAAATTCAACATAATCATAGATTTTTTAAATAATTTTTCAAGTACAAACTTTGATGGGTCATTGGTCTCGACTGGAGTTGTGAAAGAATTCGGAAAAACTTCAGCAGCGAATATCTTGAAAACCACTGATTTTTCAAAAAAACATCATAAAAACTTTTTTATAAGAAATTTAATTATCCGCAAAAAAGTTATTCAATGTTTTCATGTCAGATCCGTAATTCTCAAGATATGTGCGATTTTTAATTTGGCAACTGTGAATTTACATCTCAACTTCTCAAAAAAAAAAGTGAAATGAAAGAAAAATTGCCAAAAAAAATGTGGCCTTTGGAAAAATTGAATGTTCACAACTCCAGTCTCCCTTAACTGTATATTTTAATATAAACATTCGTCCACATCCAACAAAAAAACGATGCGACACTCTGCGTTAACATGAAATTCAAATTTATATCCACCAAATTGTCAATGTTTGAAAAACACTTGCTTAAAATTTACCAATTTATTAAAAAATGTATTTTTGTTTAATCTATCGTGAAATGCTCGTCAACATTACAATATCCCCTGAAACTCCACTCGAACAACGAATTCCAAGCGAAAATACAATTACCAAAAATTAACACTAAATTAACAATGAAAAATTACTCGTGAGGACATCATTTCGTAATGAATGGTGATTCAATGTTTCCTATGATATATTTAATTGAGTTGATACTTTTTCAAACCCTGACCGCGAATTTATCGTTTCGCGATTTGATACACACGTGTAAAACCAAAAAACAATAAAAAAAAACCTATCGCTTCCTCCAAAATATTCGCAAACATGGAAATTCCTGTGGATTCCATTTTTCTATTCAATATTTAATAAAAAATCAACAGATTTTTATTTCTCCCATTAAAATTCTTATCAACTCCAATTGTTAGACAGGAATTTCACAAATTGTTATTGAATCTTTCAACAATCAGAATTTGGTTGTCAGAACTAAGAGATAATAATAATAATAATAATTGAATGGAATTTTTATTGAAACTTTCTTTTAATTCAATTCAATTATTCAGTAATTATTTTATGAGGATTTTTGAATTTTATTGTTATTTAATGGAATTTTAATTGCCATTCAAGAGAACTTTTTGAGGATGCGGTCGATTTAATTATTGTTTTTTTTCCAGTATTTGCTCTTGTCCTTACCCTTCGCCATTTGTAATTGCATCTTTTCTTTAATTGTTATCTATTTCTTACCTGTGTATTTTCTTTTAAGATAGGGCAGTGTCGTGGACGGTTACGGAGAGCATCCGTATCCCAAAAAATGTTTCCTACAAGTATACATACTATTCAATAAGTACATATTCAACAACCGTCTTTAGATCTAATGTTTATAATGTTTTCATCTTGTTTATCGTATTATTTAATTATGATGAATTGTTTTAGCTCCACACCCGTGAAAAATTCCTAAAAACCGAGGGGAGAATTCCGCAAATCTGTGGGTCTTATGTTTCATTTGTAAAAAAAAAAAACAAATGCTGAATCGTCGGGTAGATTACGCTAAATTCAATTTCAGGCGATCAAAAGCTGAAACTTTGAGACTCCCTGAAAATTCAGGGGGAATCCTGATTTTTCAGGGGAATAAAAATTAATTTTCACGATTTTCCTGAAAGTTCAAGGGATTGGGGATTGGAGAGGATTTTTCTCGGAATTTCCCTAACTCTCACGCATTTTCAGGGATTAATTGAACTGATACTGAGATTTCCTGAAAACCCTGAATTTTCAGTGCCAAACGAAAAATCAAAAACAATTGGATTAACTTTAAAAAAATTCCTCGATCCGCCGTGCCAAAAATCCTGAATATTTAACCATATAAAAATTCCCTGAAACCCCCAGTGTCCCTGAAAGCCCCTAATTTTCCTGAAATTTCAAACAATCGAAAAATCCAAAGTCATGTTCCCCTGCTCCCTGAACTCACCCTTTCCCTAGAATAATTCCCCTGAACCCCCGATTCCCCATTCCCTGAAAACCCTGAATCTCCAGTAATTCCCAAATTCCCATCACCCCAGACGAAAAATCAAACCGAAAAACCCTCCACCACCTCCACCCCGAATATTCCAAAAAATTTCTTCTGACCGAAAAACGCTCCCTGAACCCCCGACCCCTTGAAAATCCCCTGAAACTTCAACGAACCCGTGAAAAATCAGCGTATTCCCCTGAACGCGGCCTGAATCCCCGCGACAAATCCCGAGAAGCTGAATCGAGAAAGGAAAAACGAAAAAAAGTCAACATCCCAGTGTATTCCAATGCTATCTAATTACTTAAACCCCATAAAAAAATGATAATTATTAAAGTCTATCCTCTTCCTCCTCCTCATTATCCTCATTATTTTCCTCGGACTCCTCCTTGTACCCAGGATGCTCACTAATAGCATAATAATTACCATTGTAAATAACCCCGAGTTCCCTAAGCACATCACCCCGAATAATAGCCTTGATGGTCCAATTGTAGCATTCCTCGCTCTCACTTTCACGATCAAGCCTCTCAACATCAAGTATTTTTGAGCTCAATCTCTCCAGAATAATGCCAATGTCCTTGATACTTAAATGATGCTTCTGATCAACAGTCAACTGATCAATGAGTAACAAAAATTTTTCCGAAGTTACAATTTCATCCTCCATTATAGTGTTCTCAGTTTCCGACTCCGAGCTGTCGTGCTCCTGATGATGATTGTGATGATGCATGTGAAAGGCAGAATTTCTCGGTGACTCCTCATCAGCTGTATCACGAAATCTCACATGTCCCTTGCCCATACCAGTACGTTTTGTGCCATCGGACAATGATGATGGTGGCTGTGGTGATGGTGTCTGTGTCTGTGTCTGCTGCTGATGCTGATCTCTCTGGGCTGCATGCTGATCCTGAATTGGTGATGTTGCTACGGATTTGTGTACAGCAATTCTTCTTCCCTCTTCGTGGAGTGCACAGCAGTGAAAATCACATTCACTTGGTCCACCATCAGCACCATTAACTGGTGAGCCATTTCTCACTGGTTGATGTATACGATTTGAGCACTCCGGTGTGTGGATATGAATTGTTGTGCTTTCGAATGAATTTGTCCCCTGTTTGACGAGACCCCGGGCCATTCCATGGTGTTGTACACCCTGTGGTAATTGTCCACTTATTGATCCGTAGGAACTATTACTCGGACTAGTGAAACTCTTTTGCACCATGTCGTCATGATTTATCACAGTTATTTGGGGGCTGATGTAACGGGGTGGTAGAAGCTCACCGTGACTCGTTTTACTGTACCCCAATTTGTCAAGGCTTGTTTGAATAACTAGGGAGGGACGTTGATTGCTCAAGTCACTTTTCTTTGTTGGTGAGTACTTAGAGCTCACTGGATCACCTTTTGGCTGTTGAACTGTTGGCTGCTGGGATTGGGACTGCTGGTGTTGGCTGGAGCTTGGTGAACGTTGGTCCCAATGGAGTACCACTGTGACACGTCCCTTATTGTCCATGATCTTCCACGAGGGCGTCTCATCGTGCAACTCCAATGCGTGAATCGTTTCACACACTATTTTTGGTATTGCTGATATCGCTGCAATCAATTATCCATCCATTAGAGCGCAGTGGGAAAATTCATATTCACATAATTCGGGGAAGTCCAGATCAGGGCTACCGGATGGCGCTTTTTTTTCAAAAACTTTTTTTTTACCTGCGCGGATTATGTCGACACCAGTTGGACACCATCTCTCGCCGTGCCTCAGGAGCAAGAGGATGGTGTTGTTGGCTAGGGTCTTGAAGTATTCACCGTCTTCTACCTGAGTTCCATCAGACTCCAGTACAAAACTCACAATTTCGTTCTGCGGCACGCCCAATTTCTCCTTACCTGTCAATTGCCAAATTTTTTTAAATAAAAATTCCAATTCACTTCAATTTATTATTTTGGGCTGCTCTAATTATTCTACTGTTTAAACTTTTAGTTTAGGGTTAGAGCGGTTTTTTTTTTATTGTATTTTAATATTTTATCGAGTACCTCGATGCAGAAGTTCCTCGAAATTGCTCACGACAAGACCTTTTCTCACATTACGCCAGCTGTCCCATATCTTGAAAGGTCTTTTGCTCCGTAACTCCTTGACAGATAAATTCGTTCAGTATTTTATACCTCTGGTAGAAACAACGCAAAACAATAACAAATGTATGTCCTTGGTCTTAGAATAATAATATCAGATAATCGGAGTTAATGGAGTGTTATAGCAGGTCAACGAAGATTTAATTTACCCTGAATCCTCAACACCAACATTATTGCTCGATTTACACTTGTGACCATGTAAAAGTAGATTTTCCATTCAAGCTCTCTGATAACAATGTTTATTAATAACGGTGATAACGATTTTTCCGCGTTGGACGCGAAAGGGTAAAGTGAGACGAGTCGAGTTTACCATTTTTATCCATTAGCGATTTGCCTATCGATTTTACGTGAAAATGTCATAAAAATTTTTTGTAGATCATTCGATTCTCGATGGATAAGATTTTTTCACATTTCTTCGTAAAATTAATAGTTTTGGAGATTATATTGTTTAAAGAACAGTAAAATTGAAAAATCGGGAAAATTTCATGATTTCACTTGCCCATTGGTTCCAATGGTTCAAACAAAATTTCTGATCAAGCTCGCAAACGTGGGCCACAAACAAGTTCTCCACATTCTTCCCCAAGAATCCCTTAATTCCCCCAAAAACTTTAATTTACAAAACCATTAATTACAAATCGGTCCACGCGAACGTCAACCAGCGATCAGTCCTCTCCGAATATCTCCCAATCCACTCCCTCAATCACAATTTCGATAATTACCTTTTCTCGAGATCTCGCTCCGCCCAACATAAAACATCTTAACAAAAATTCCTCTACCTCCCTCAGATCCCGAGTTACACCCCCAAAACCCCGAGAGACCGCTCAAAACTCCCTGTTAAAATCCCCATTCCCCCGTCCTCACTCACCCCCACGACATTCCCCGTCAAAAAATCCCCCAAAAGCGAAACCCCTATTCCAAAATAATGTTTTGTTCTGTCCACGTTTTTTAACAGGGCGGCGATTTCCTTTTGCGCACGCGTAGCCGCAACTTATGGTCGAAAACACTGACCTAATTCAATCATTCTTGAAAGGAGCCCCGGTAAATCGTAAGACGATGTAAAGGACCCCGTCCTGGAAGAGCCCCCGAGAAAACAGAAAAAGGATAAATCCACCCTCGGAAGAGGGGCGAAAAATTGGCGAGAGGACTTCCGGTCCCCGGGGGTGACCCCCTGGGCCATCAGGACGCAGCGAGAAGAGAGAAAAAAAAAAGGGTCACGAACCGAAGAAGGTTTCTGTCCCCGATATCCACCCACACCCTCATTTACCCCCTCTCAACCCCTTTGGTTCAATCAGGGAACTCGAACAGCCGCTGTGTCACGGGGTCATCTACCAGGCGAGAGAAACTGGGTCACATTGAATATTTGGGACAGGGAGAACTTCCGGTTTCACCCCGGAACAACAAAAAGAACCATCGAATATCTACTTCTAATTTATCATTGTTTGCATGTGTTCCTCATTATTCCTCATTATTCCCCATTATTTAAAAAATGGCCGATAATAATTGGCGGTTAAGTTGCAAATAAATCGCGGATAATTCGCGGCCAATTCGCGGCCAATTCGCGGGTGAATCACTGATAAATCACTGGTAAATCACTGATAACTCACTGATAAGTCCCAGTACCAAAGACTCCACAAATCCCTCAACATTAACCAATCATAAATAAAAAATGAGTAAACCAAAAGAAAAAGTCATGTAATCCGCTGGTTGAATTCATTAAATGGAGTAATTACCTCTCTTGCCATTACGTCATATCCCTGCAGGGTCAAGGGACCGTCCCACTTCTTCTAATTATCGCCAATGATTTCCCCCATCAAAACCATAATCAATGTGAAAAAAAATCGACGACAAAAGGTGTCCCAGGAGAAATCGTCAAATCCACCACCTCCTGGTGATCACAGACGAGAAAAGGTGTTCCACCCCTTTCTCAATTTTCACTTGAAATCACAGGATATCCCCAAAACATCCCCCAAAATCTGAAAATACAAAAGAATATGATCAACCCCTGGGTAAGACTCGAAAAATTGAATGCACAGCCACACGCGCAGGGGAATTTCCCGGAGAATAAGCGAAATTCTGCGCGGAATTCCGCGAGGGGGTGGTAAGGGGATGGGACACAGAGGTGAGGCAAAAGTGGAATTGATAGGTGAACGGGATGTGATTGATAAACTGGAGGGATTCCTTCCTAAAAATGGAAAGATTTCGCCCAGCAACCCTTCAACCCACTACCGCCACCACCATCCACCCCCCAGTGGATCCATTTATTTAAAAAATCATATGAAAAACCTCTCCCCGTTTGTACAAAAGTGATTAATCCCAGGTGATCGAGGCTTCACACGCGAATTAATATCGGTGTACACCGCACCCTCGACGCAACCGACGAATCCTCCGTCTACGACGAACGTACGTCGTGTGATAACGAGTAAAAGCACCAACTAACAGTCCCACTATCAGCGCCACCTCGAGCTTTTTCCAATTGTCTCCCCCTTTTCGAAGTGAAAAGCCCTGATCAAGTGAAAAATTATTGCTTCTACTGTAACATCACGCACGATTGCGATTCACTGGAGTTACGATTCCCCGGGGATGATCTACCCCGCGACGACGATTCACTGGGACTTCCTCGGGATCACAGTCATTGCAGTTTTTCACCTATCCTTTGTTCCATTTTTTTTTTCGTCTCAATTTTTATTACCTCGATTTTTTCTTTCTGCGAGCCTTTTAGGGAGGACTTGGCGGATCTCGCGGTTCTCGCGGTTTTCGCGGCTCTCGCGGAATGGGGGGTTTTTCACGATTTTTAGTACTTGGGGGTGGATTTAGGTAGTTTTGTCACTAGAGTGTATTATAAAACGGAGGAAACTGTGCCGGGGGTCTTACTGCGGCGAATCCGCGATTTCTACAGATCGATCTACACCGGGGGCGCACGAACCGCTACATATGAGGGTAGATTTTCAGGAGAGACGAAGACTGGGGGATGTTTCTTCGGGGGAAAATGGAGGGTGGATTTGGGATGGAAAGGCGTCGGCGAGATATAGGAAAATTCCCCACCATTTCACTATATTTCGATTATTTATTTATTTGTTTAATAAATTTTTTTTATTCTCGTTTGTTTTCTTGATGTTGTCTCTCATTCGCGCCACCCCTATCTCCTCTTAATGTAAACTAGGAATTCATTTATTTATTTTAATTTAATTAGTTGATGGATCGATGGATTTCCCTTCGATTAAATATTCATGATTAAAATTCTTGGGTTATTTTATTTTGACAATCGAGGGAGCGGGAATTCACGGGGTATCGATTTTTTTAATAATCATTATATTTATAAGGAATTTATATTTTTTTAATGAGAAGTTAAAATAGGGGAGGGCGGATAGATGAGGCGATTTGTTGAGAGAGTGGTTTTTCGGGAATATCGTGGAATCTAAGAAAAAAGGAGAATTTTCTATGAGAACTTTTTTGAAGATCTTGTTTTACTCTATAAAAAAGGTTCTAATGAAAATTTCGGTAGACCGAGTAGATTCTGAGCTATTCCGCAAAAAATTGAGTGCGGAATTTGTCGATTTTTATTGTTACTTTCTGGAAACTGACAGTTTATGAGGGAAATAATTAATTATTGTTCATTATTATTTTTTGCAGAGGAAATTCCATTATGGGGTGAAAATTGACGTGAAATTTTGAAAGTTTTGAATTTCCCGCGCTCCGCGGTGCATCCCAGATGACGCTCCTCGGCGTTTATTTACTGAATTCTAATTACTGACGAACTTTCGCAGTAAATTATTACTCTCGAGGCAAAATATCCGTGAATTCGTGGAGGTAATTGAGGATTTAAAGTGTTCCCTGGCTTTCAGATTTAAATATGCGTTTTTTATTTTAATCTTGAATTCTTTGCAGATGGGGAAACGAAGGAGTTTGCACTCTTCACAGCATAAAGTGAAGGTTGAGGTTAAAGATGAAATCCGTGAGTAGAATAGTAATAATTATGCAATAAATAAACAATAATTGTTGAGGGAATTGATAGTTTCGAATTAATGAATAATAATTTTAGCTGACAGTGAGGTACATGTGGCTAGAGATCGTTTGAAAGGCGCGTTGAAGGAACTCCTCCGTCACAGCGATTCTGGATCCTCTGGGGAATCCTCCGATGAAAGTCCACCCCCCGACTACAAACACCTGGCAAAACGAATGTGAGCACACGAAAAAAAAATGGATCAAAAATTATTGAGATTCATCTGAATTTCTATTGAAACTCTGGAGGAATTCACAGGAATCCTTCAATTTCTATTTGAATTCCGCTGTAAAAATTCTGTAAAATATTATTTTTTACAGGCAGAAGCCGAGCTATCCCCAGCCCAAGCCAAAAATCCGTCGTCGTCGGCAGCTGCCGACCGATCAGCTGTTCCACCACACGTACGTCATGAAACTCTTCGACAGGAGTGTAGATCTAGCCCAATTCCGAGAGGACACTCCACTGTACCCGATCTGTCGTGCATGGATGGCAAATCAGCCAAGAAATCCCAATCTCGTTCCAAAGTGCGTAATTAACACCCAAAACTCAAATTTACCATTGAATTAATTAAATTTCTCCATTCACAACCCAAAACCCTCGATTTTTCAGAGTTCGCAGTCCCAGTCCTGAAATAGTGAACGAAGTCCACTCAGATAATCTCCTGCACGACGAAAACGGGGAACTTCGTGATGTCTACAACCTGCCAACGCCTCTACAGCGTCAGGAGGTCTTCCCCAGGAACCGAATTCCCTCTCCTGTAATTCCCCTGACGAAGGATGAACTCGATCTCAACTACGTACGCTAATTCCACCTATTAGTATTAATTAAAATCCTAATAATAATGACAATAGAAATAATTTATAGGAGTTGAATGATAAAATAATTGATTTATTAATTTTATTTCAGGATGGACAAGTCTTGAGGTCTCGTGAGGCCCTCATGAAGGAGCACCGGATGCACTGGGGTCAGGTGAGAAGGAAGTGGCACCACCAGACCCACAAAAACGAGCAGAGATTCGCAAAAAGTGCCTACATCCTCAGCACAATATTCAAAAGGTAATTTCCTCGTTTAAAAAAATTGATAAATGAAATTAACTCATTAAAAAAATTAATTCAAAGAAGTGTCAAATAAAAAATAACGACTACTTCATTATCTAAAGAATTTAATTGAATTCTGAGTCAAATAAACAAACCGAGAATAATAATATCTATTTTTCAGGGCCCAGTCAGAATTCGAGTGACGCAGAACTGATTTTAAAATCACAAATAATAATTAACGACTGACAATTCACCGGAGATTCGCGAATTGAATTCACATTTTTTTTTCTTTTGACAATTCCACTGGCATTTTGAATCCCGACGTAGGAAATAAATTCCTTGGTGTTTCCTCCAATTAATTTATTTTCAATAAAATATAAAACAGTTCACGAAAAGCACTGCAACTTGATATCCTGCGCTGGAAGCAGAATTCACCTAATACTCGTTGAATTTATTCATTTTATTTATCGGTGAGTGAGAGCTCGAGGACCTGACGGAATGTTTCTTCTTCGAGTAATCTGCGCTGTTCCTCCTCGATCTGTTGCTGTTCTGAGAGCCGCAGTGCAATCCTGAGCTGTTCTGCTGTGTCCTCGATCGATGGCCCATCGTTTATCGTCCCATCCCCGTTGTTAGATCTCTGGTGGATATTCTCATCATCGTCCAGATACTCCACTGTCTCTCGGTAGAGCTCCAGGCTCTCTTGAATAGCCCTTTTACAAAATAAATGAATAATTATCCAAAATTCCATAGCAAAACTGCAACTTCCAACATTTTTTTCTAATTATCGATTTATCTCGAAAACTATAGACCCCAGGTGGAAATGCCAGAGGACTTTTTTTGTAGTTCATTAAATTTCCCAGAAAAAAATGTCTCCTGATATTTCCTCCTAAAATCGCCGCTGCAGTGAAGAATCGATAAAAAAATCTACTGACAGGAGAGATTTATCTAACGAGAGATTTGTGAAGGGTCAACCCACCTGACTGAGCGCAAACGAGTGAAACATTAAAACATGCGAAAAAAAAAAAATTACGAGAGGAAACAATAAAATTGGCACATGCTTTGAAGAAAAAAAAAAGCAGAGAGTAAAAAATGATTACCTCTGCAATTGCCTTTCTTCGTCTGTTGTCATGTTGGGAGTCGTTGGTCTCGACGGTTTTTGGGCCCTGAGGGCCTCCCAGATATCCACCTGCGAATATAAATTAAATATTAAAAAATAGAGTGAATATTTTGGGAGTTGTGACGAAAAATACCTCATCCTTTTCACTGCCAGCCTCCAGGAGACTCTGCTGAATGGCAAATTGCAGCAAATCATCCTCTTCCTCAATACTGAACTGTGTTCTATCGAGTGCCCCGAGCTTGGCATAACCCAGAGGCGCTTCAAAACAAATATCATCAACAACACAATTTGTCCTAGTCCCCTCCTGAATTTTCCTAACGTGTTCCACTTCCTGGTCCATACCAAAAATGTTTCCAAAAGTTATTCTTGCATTTAGAACATGGAAGAGAGGAATTTCTACGTGAAGAAAAAAAAAATACCCATAAGATTCTCAAAATGATGTTTTAAAAATCTACAATTATTCAATATCTCCACCTATTTTAACTGGAAATCCAGATGGCAGCTGCATTTGAATGAAATCCTTGAGTTTGGCAAAATGAGTGCTCGATATCGCCATGAGATCGACAATTGGCATTATCTGCTCCTGGAGGCTCAGGGGATAGTCCTCAGAGAGCCACAGAGTTGCTCGAAATTTTTGAATCTTCGTGTTAACTTCCTTAGGTCGTCCTATGTCCCTTCCATTCAACTCAAAATCAGGATCGAAGTACTCCTCAGGTGTTATATTACTCGGATTACCGATGTGAGAAAATTCCTCGCTGCAGGCTGCACCACTGTTCTCCTCCTGCTGCTGCTCAGCAATTCCCAGAAATGATTGCAGCGGTGTGCGAGCACTTCTCGCATTATTTTTATCACTGTCCGACAAGTGCTCTAGACGAGTCTTTGTTATTAACTCGACGTTACTCGCACTAAATACTTTACACTCGTGGCCGTTTATTATTTCACTCTTATCTGAACGCCAGCCCCACAGTCCAGCTTTATTCCTGAATTATTTCATCAAATTTCCATATTTTCGCTCGTATTTTTCGTTTTTATACAATTAATTATCATTTTTTTCTCTGTTAATGAGTATTATAATAATGAAACATGATTAATAGCGTTATTAATTTGTTTACCTTTCAAAACTAATTTTATCGGTATCGACGTAGGTTGTGACAATAGGATTTGTCAATCTGGCGAGAATTCCCTCCTCAGAAGGTGCCATTAACTGCACGTTCTCGTCATCAATCAACTTCATATGCTCTATATACACTCTCCGTGTTTCATGATCGACTTCCATCATCGTTGCACCGTCATCTGTAATAAATAGCCAGTCATTTTCTCATCCAGCCTTCCCCCTTTTCCCTGCAATTTAATAATCTAACAACTGATACACATCATGCACTAGTTTTTTTTATCAGGTAATTATATCACCTGGTCTCTCTCCCACCATGCTGAATACATAACTTCTCTGACACCTTATGGCCACTGGTGTGCTCGGCACATCTTTCCATGTTTATCAAATAATTCAATTTTTGCAAGACAGAGAGAAAGGAGAACAAATAGAAAAGAGTGAGGATATTTCATGCAAATTTTTATGATCAATGGAGAATTTATCTACGCACTTTGCCCTTTGAAGACGTAACTGAGATTTCCACGCTGCCAATTCGTGTGATCAAAGCCTAGGAGTGTTGTGTCTATTCGTACGTTGCTCCCTTGTTTGTAGACCTTGTATGTATCACTAGGGCATATTCTGGATGCCAAGGGAACTGAAAGAAAGTCAGAGGAATTTTTATCCCCACGATATTTTCAAAGCTCAAATTTTCCAAGTTAAATGAACACTTGAAATTGAGAAATGTTCTCATAATATTGATGGCCATTATAATTAATTTGAAGGTCTTTATGTTTATTGGAGATAATTACCCCAGCTCGTGAACTCCCACTTCATTTCCACGTAAAAATCAGGCGCCTGTTTGAGTTTCTGCAGGAGCTCCGGAATTCCGTCGACACGATTGCAATATCTTTGGTAATCTCGTCTCGCCAAGACAATTTGCAGAATTTCAGGATTCCCAGTGCCAGTTGCTTCCTGGACCACTAGGTAGAGAATAAATAAAATGAGCTAGTTAAACTCCATAGAAAAATTATCAAGCGCAAGGAATGGAATTTTAAAAAATCCCCATATCCCGTTCACACTAGAATAATTGGATATTCACCACTCCATCCGTCTTTATTCTCAGTATACACGTTGACTTCGTTATTAAGAAGAACTTGAATAGATTCTTTGTATCCGAGGGTGACAGCCAGCATCAGAGGGGTCCTTCCTCTGTTATCATGTTGCTCCTTATCATACTGCGAATTAAATATAAATATTACTTCGAGGATGAATTATCGTAAATTAGTGTCAGCCAAACGTCAGTTGCAGTCCTGAGGTTTCAGCCACTCCTGGGGCTTCCCCAGAGCATTAAATTCTACTTCTATTCAATTATAATTAACACTATCTCTCATTAACAAATGCCCAATGACAAAATCATTGGCAACAAACCGTCAAAAATCGAATTAGAATGCTGGATAATTCCCGATTTATATCGGAAACCGTCGATGTACAATGGAAACGTCAGAGGAATTTTTTACAGGTGATTGACTTCTCGACGAAAAATGTCATTGTTGTTTTCCCCTGATAGATTTCGATATCGATAGATTTCGAGATAAAAGGGGAGTATAGATATCGCTTTGACTTTTTTCGTAATGAATTTTTGGAAAATTCAGGAGTAGTTGGGATTAATTACGGAGGATAAATACCGGATGATTTAATTAGTATACCTGATTTGTTGATAGCAGTCTATTGAGCTCGATGTGATCATTATTCCAGACGAGCCAATGGAGAGGATAAGTCTCCTTGATGGTTTCAATATTCACCATTGTCACACCTGATTCAATCGACGTACAATTTACCTCAAATTATTTCATATGTTATCGATAAGCCCTGAATTTATTGTTGCGCAGTGTTTTTGAATTGACAGATGCTCGATCACATGAATACATGACACTTCATTGGTAACTGTCGACAGTACGAGTGAGTAGCTCCTAGGAATTACAGCTGCGGTTACTGCTGTTTATCGTATTACTGACTAATTTATTTTTCTTTCTCTGCAATATGATGATAAGTCACGAGGCGTTAAGACGGAGACAGATGACCGAAGGGGATAGACCCGGGTAATGGTCAGGATCGAGGGGGTTAACGTCACCCCAGGAATTGTTGTACTGACTCCACGTCAGTGAGGGCGCCATGATCTAGAGCCTAAAATTAAAATTGTGATGTACTCATAACGATAATTTCCTCGATACCGACATTACCTGACTGTCGACCCTGATCATCGAGACCCAGGTTTAGACTTGTCGACCTCTGAAATTATACAAACGACGATGACACTGAGTGCAATCATATTTTCCTATTTTTCCCCTCAAAAAATTCGACAAACACCTGAATTATTCACCTGACTATTGAATAATCCTGGACGTCCTGGGCATCCTGGAGACAATGGAGCCTCCCCCATCGGTGGATCATCTCCATCACAAGTTCGTAAATACAACGAAAAAGCTGTTGACACTGACCCAGCACAGGGTGAACGATAATACAATTGACATCTATCTCAGGGAACTGAATCAGTTGAATTATCAGATGTTCATTATTCAAGATGAGGATACCGTGAAATTATTAATCAACAGGTTATGCCTGAATATCCAGGTACGTTGAGTCGAAAAATAATGAAAATATAAAGATTGATATTTTTCAATTGACTCAATTGCAGGCCCAGGAGACGTGTCTCGTCGCCAGTTACTGCATTTTCCTTTCGAAATTATTGCCAGAGATCCTTCCCCTCACCGGAAGAACACTCTCCACTCTGAAGAAGTGGCTCTACCAGAGCCTCGAGTTCTCCTCACCCTCAGCTCTAGTCCCAGTTCTCCATGCCCTCGAGAAACTCATCGCCACCACCCCCTGTGAGTCCATCCTCCCCGACCTGGACCGCCTCCTGCCACCCGAAGGTCTCCTCCCCAGGTGTCTAGGTCTCACTTATTCACCGGACACCCAGCACCTGGCCCTCACCCTGCTCCACATGATCCTCCAGAAAAAAACAGAAACACTTCCAGTGCCTGTTGTTCCTCTTCACCACTTGAAAACGATAAAAAATATCGTTACCTCGACTCTCTTCTCCCCTCCAAGACCTCAGGACTGCTCTCTCCATCATTTGAGGATCATTTTCACCTCTCTCAGCATCCTCACGACCCTGATTTCCCAGGGCCTCCCCTCGAAATTCTCCGAGCTACCAGGAGAGGCTCTCGGCATTGCCCAAGTCTATTTATTCCTGGGAATACCTGGAATTTCACTGATAAAACCTGAGGAGCTGCGTCCAGCTGTCATGAATCTTCCGGAGAGAGTGCATCTGCCACCGAGGGGTAGAAACCCCAGATCAATCACCAAATCAAAACAAAACAAGAATAAGAAGTCGAGTAAAAAAACCGACAATGACAAGATACCGATGAATTTGGAGAGAAAAACAGGAAAGTCGAGTGATTCTGAGACATCAGACGGTGAAAAATGGTCGGTGGAAAGGATTCAGGGTAAAATAAGGTATCAGGCACTTCAGGTTCTCCAGGAGGTGATGAGAGTGATGACGAGTAAGGAGATTTTTTGCTACTGGTCACAGATTATCACCAAGAGTGAAAAATGTGGGGAGAGCAGGGGATTGCTGAGAGTTATTATGAAGGAGCCAACGTGGAAGGTGCGTGGGAGTGCTCTGGGTGTTTTAACGGATGCTGTCATCGATGCGAGGATGTTCCTTACGCATGCTGAGGAGTCTGAGGGCTCGTCGTTTATCACGATATTTGGAGCTGTTGGGGGGATGCTCAGAGAAATTCACCTGGGGCTCGGACTGGTGTTGAGTGGCGAGGGTAACCTGGCCGTTGTCACTCAGGCCTTGAAATGTTCAGCAGCGATTGTCCAGGTGACACCTTATGGCAGAATGAAGCCCGGACTGGCCGGTAAACTTGGAAGACACTGCAGGTAAGGTCAGCATAATCACCTGAATTCAATCAATTTATTTATATTTTATTTCAGATACTTTTTAATTCACAAGGATCCAACAATACGAGTTGTAGCCCTTTCTGTTTTCGAGGCCCTTGCCAACGTCGAGTGCATGACTCCAGAGATTATAGATATTCTATTCAAAAAGTCTAGCGATACGAATCTCTCGAAATGCCTTCAAAATTTAGGAATATCGTCTTATCAGGCACCAGGTGATGAAGAACACTACGAGGAGATCGATTCCTCAGATCTTGAATCATCGTTTTCACTTCCTGACACACCAGAGAGTCCAAGGGACACACCAGACTCTCCGTTTCTAGTCCAGATCTGTCTAAATAATATTTCGGATAGGAAAATTCACGTGCCTGTGAGACTGCAATCGTTTAAACTACTGGGGGCCCTCATCAATTGTCTCGAGAGAAATTGTCGAGATTCTCTCAATATTGGGGGTGTCACGAAGCACCTGGTGGAGGCAACGGATGAGCTTGATCCCCAGATCGCTCTTCATGCCTGCAGAGTTCTCGAAATCATCAGCTCTAAATTGGCTGGACATCCTGAGGAGCAGGAAGGACTCACTCTCTTCTGGAATAGCATTTTTACAACTATTCTGAGAACTTCGCAGAATGGCGAAACCGGACTCAGAGAAGTCGCCTGCGACTGCTTCGGGACAATCAGTAATGAAGTATTCACTAGATTGTCTCTGGACAAATCGATAATAATCAAGACAACTCTTTTCGGTGCCTGCAGGGACGCCGAATCGGCAGTCCGTGCAGCAGGTCTCCGCGCCCTGGGAATGCTCATAAATCTCCCCTTCCTCGAGGAAGACACAGGTTTCCTGGAGGATCTCACGGACATTGTCTGCTCATCCCTGGCTGACGAGAATCTTGGAGTCAGAGTGAAATCAGCCTGGGCACTTGCAAACCTCACGGACTGCCTGATCAAACAAATTGTCAATGACAACGTCGAGCCGCCCTTCCCCCTGGAGCTCATTTTACCGAATCTTTACAGAACGAGTGTCAAAGCCGCCCAAGACAACAACAAAGTCAAGTGCAATGCCCTGAGAGCTGTAGGAAATGTGCTCTATCTAGCCCAAGGAAAAAATCTCCTGGGGGACGTTCAACCTGCTCTCAATGTCCTCATATCCTCTGCTGCTGGTGGCAATGACATGAAGGTCCGGTGGAACGCTTGTCGCGCCCTAGGATTCGCCATCAGTCACGATCCCGATGACATCTTCCCGCAGAACTGGAAGGACGAGGCAATTCCTGCACTGTGCGATCTCATCTGTCACAGTCCAAATTTCAAAGTCAGGACCAATGCCGCCTGGGCTCTGGCCTCCTGCAAATCCTACGGCAAATATGTGCCATTTCTCTGGAAGAGTATTGTTCTAGCCCTGGAGAATTCTCAACATGTGCCGAATTTTGTGGAATACACCCACAGGGAGAGCCTCGTCCAGCAGTTGTGCCTGACCCTGGGACACGTCGCTGTCAATACTCACACTGAGGATCTTCATATTCTCTGGCCAGACATCAAGGATCATCTCCAGGAGATTCAAGGTCACATTAACAACTTCCAGGAGCGAGCACTTCCTGAGAAGACTGATGACTTCGTCCGGGCCAAGCTCATCCTCAATAATTACTCCCAGACGACGTCCCTCAACTCCAATGACAGACACATCGCTCACACTCTCGCCAATTTGTTCGACAGTACAATATTTTATCATCAACTCGATTCTATCGTCAATTCTCATTGTTAATGCAATACAATTTTAACCAGAACTTATGTCACGTATACAGTCATTCGTTTTATTTTAATCGTTACTTACATTTTATTTTTGTAACACACTCCATTAATTCATTAGCTAATGTATACATTTACAATATTGAAATCAATTTTTGACAATGTTAATCTGGAGTTTGTGAATTATTTGTTAGTTTATTTTGTCCGGTTGTGTGAGAAAGTTTATCAGTCGATTTGGAAATAGAATTTTTACCGTTTTCCCCATTCCTCTGTTCCTCCTCGTCTTTTCGTGATGGGCATTCCTTTTCCTCGTCACTTTCTTCAGGCTCACCTTCATCACTGGAACTCTCATTCTTCTCATTATCATCCGTTTTCGATGTTTTCTGTCTCTTCTGGTGTTTTAACTTCTGTTTCTTCTTCAATCTCTTGGCCCTCTTCTTCGCTGTCAACTCCTCGGCCTTTTTTTTATTCTCCTCGAGTTTCTTCTGATACTCTTCATCCAGAAGTTCCTGTCGACAATTTGAAGAATAAATCCAGAGTACTATCAATGGATTTTCTAGAAATCAATAAATTTAATACCTTTTTACTCTTTTCTTGAATGAATTTCTGTCTGGCATACTCCTTTCTCCGGAGATGTCTGTATACATGAAATTCTCCACTTCCAGCACCAGCACTGCTCCCCATAACATTCCTGACGAATTCTGGAACTGATGGAGTTGTTTTGGACTTGGGTCGCTCTGGCAGCATCACCGGCTTCTCCTGAATAATAAATTATAAAGAATAAAACTCAAAACCCCAGGCATCACAGGATAGAACTTACAGGATTTTTCATTAGCTTCATGAGCTTTAACCTCTGAACATCAACAATTGTCTTTGCAACCAGGGGTTTTTCAGCTTCCTTGTCTTCTTTCTCCTCTTTCTTATGTTTCGGCATTTTTTCAAATGAATTCACTTATTCCACAGTTAATCCGCTTGTTAAATTGACAACTCGTCATGTGTCGTTTTGTTGTTTAGAATATTTTGGAGGTTATGAGCTGTCAGGGAAATTTATTCTCACGTCGGGAATCCCCTTTCCTTTTGAAATAAATAAAGACTCAACATGTCAGTGACATCATAATTTTATTATGTTCAGCAAAATGAAAGTACCACATCGATAAATAAAAAAAAAAGAATTCATATGAATTATTAATGTTTCGGGAGGCCAGGACATGTGGAATTACCTCGATAAATTGTTAATGACAAAATACAAATTCCAATAAATATGAACAAAAATTCATTGCATATAGTATTATTTGTTCCTCGAATGAATTTAATAATTAAGTCACTCCTTTGATTTCATCAATCGATCCTATTTTCTGTGTTAAACTCCCTTCTACGATTAACTGTGGCTCTACTCGACTAAAATAATTCAACTTTAATTACTGGAGTTTATCTAAAAATTTTAATCAATCACTCAATTAAATCCATCGAAAAGAAATCACTACATTGTACTAATTTCTTCAGTTTTCATTTCTCATCAAATACAAGTACTTTACGATTACTTGAGGTTTATCGATAATTTATTTACTCGTCCGACTCCATCCTAATGTTTTCAATGAATTCGTTACGCAACTCCTCTCAAAAAAACCATTATTCTTTACAATTCATTAATTTCAGTTAATCGATTGCCTTCGTGAATAAATGTTTATCAACTTTATTTATAAATTCGTAGTTCGGGTATAGTAAAAAGCTTTTGCCTCATGCAAAAATTAAAAATTGATGAAAAGTAGCTATCGAATCCATCAAAATAATTACACCGTCATTATTAATTATTTAATAATGTTATTTTTTCACTGAAAGAGGAGCACGAGAAGGACAAACATAAGGATTCATCATTCATTCTCACATTTTTTGATTATTAAAAAAATATAAAATAAAATTTCAGGATTGGGAAGAATGGAACTCATCGTGTGGCTTACACTTGATGATTTTTAATTCTTCATTACCAATTTGCTCATTTGTTTGTTTTGTTTTGTTTGTTTTTTTTTTTCAAGGTATTTACAGGATCTGAAAGGTCGAGTGTCCAGTGCCCCACCAAGAAAGCTTGAAAAAATTTTCATAATTTTTTCACGTCCTCCAGTGCCCCCTAAACATCTCTCAATTCTGTCTCAATCGTTTCTCTTGAATGGTTTATCTCCACAAGATGGTGTAGCTGATTACCGTAAAACGATATTTACTCATAATAATTACTATACTTTATTATAAATTAATTAAAGAGCTTACGATTACGTGTTTATGTGATTTTTTTAAATCCTTTTATGATTTTTTTTCCGTTTATAGGTATAAGTAGTAGCATGTACGATAGCTTTTTTTTTTGTATTTTTTTAAAATGTTTTTCCTGCTCTCCTGCAGCTTACAATTCGGCTCATTATTGTTTCTCTCTCGTGTGGATTTCATCTCCAACTAATGTGAAATTTCTCATCTGCCCTCTAGCATAATTTTGAAACGATAATTTGAGATATTCCCGTAGCTCTCGGTGGTGTGGTTTTTTTCATTCATGAGGAGAAAAATAATAATAATAATGGCGAGAGAAATAGTAATGTGTGAAGATTTTTTTATGTAAACTTGAAAGCTCGGTTGACTAGCGACATTCCCAAATCTTCACCGTCTGGTCAACGCTACCTGTTACCACGTACGGGTGACTCTTGTGAAAATCTGTAAGACAAAAAAACAATTGTAGAACAAGTAGAATAGAAATAATCATAAACAAATTGAATAAACTGACCAACTGAGGTGCAGAAATGTACATGCGCCTCTAGTGTCTTCATAGCCCTTTTGTTGCGGGTATCCCAGACTCGTAATGTCTTGTCATCTGACACACTGACGATAAATTTACCACCAGGATGGAAGACAATACCACGCACCCAGTTGTCATGGCCATGAAGTGTGAAGAGACATACACCAGCTGCAACGTCCCAAATACGAATGGTTTTGTCGCGTGAGCCTGAGGCGAGAAATGGGCCCTCGTGTGCACCCTTGTTATCAGCTCCAGCAGCTGCATTTATTGCAGCCCGAGCACTCTCTGGAGCCCAGGCGATGCACTCGACAACGTGTTCGTGGTCTCTCAATTCAACCTGTCGTATTAATTCATCGATCAAACCAGATTAAATAAATAATAAACGAACGAGAATCCTCAAATTACCAGATCCCTGACTAAACGATAAAGCGATCTCATCCCTAACTAATTAATCAATTAGATTTAATTAATTTTTGCGGGAAACCGACTCTCAAATTATAAAAAAACAAAACAAATAATCCCCCAAAATTGAATTGAATCCACAATTTTTGGAAAAATACAGTTTATACGGGTTGAATGGTTTTATCGTTTGGGCATCCGACTAGAGACTCACTTTGGTTTCCTTCGACGACATATGCCACACACGAACAGTCTGATCATTGGAGCAACTGGCGATGAGTTCACCACAAGGGCTGACCCTCGCCATCCTGACCCACTCCCTGTGTCCCGTGAGTGTCTTAACGCAGTAACCAGTAGCTACCTCCCAAATTTTGATAGTCTTATCCCTCGATGCACTCACAACAAGATCTCCACCTGGTACAAACGACACCGAATTGACATTGTGATCGTGTCCGTGCATTGTCTTAACACATGCGAATGACTGATGAAAGTCCCAAAGTTTTATCGACATATCGGCACTGCAGGAAACGAGCAGTTTGCCTGTTGCATCGAATGCCACGTCCTGGACGCTGTCTGTGTGGCCCTTGAGGGTTCTCTCAAATTCACCAGACTCAAAGTCCCAAACTTTAATAGTAGCATCTTCACTGGCTGATACAATTAGACTGAACACGGGATGGAAGATGACTCTGTTTATTGGTGCCCTGTGACCAGTGAGACAGTGTTTCTCCGGTGGCCTTGGTATCCACTCTGATGACGAGCGTTTACCCCTAGTTGGTGCACCCTCGATGAACTCCTTCTCAGCCTCTGACAGCTTTGACTCCAATTCCATAACTTTTTTCTGAAGTCGAATGACTGATGTCCATTTCTTCTCGAGTAGACCACCGTATTTACGCTCCACTTCACCGGGCATGTCAGCTTCCTTCTTGAATGCTTCCAGAGCATCCTGATATCCATTGGTACTGAGGTAATCCGCAATCGCCTTATTTCTGAGGGCAGTGCATTTATTACAAATAACATCGATAAATATACAGTTCTCATTTTATCATATCATCATTTATCTGACATCCCACGCCCCATTCACTATCCAGTCTCACAATAACTTGTGAGACTGTTGGAATAATTAATTCGCCTGTTCTATTCTCTTTGCCATTACCATCTCCCATTAACTTCTCCCAAGGAGAAGGCGCGAAGAGACGGCTCCCAGCTCGTGGGAACGTTGTGCAGGTGGCAAATAGGTGGGGTAATGCCCTCGTGAGTAAATTTACTTCCTATTATCCATTGAATTCACATCGCTGTTCACGTCCAATTGATCATTTCGGATTAGTCCTGGCCCTAGGGTATCGGGGTATTGGGGTATACTTTGAGGAATTAACTGAGACTCGATATTTATTCAACTAGTCCAATCATTAAAATTGAATTTTTCGAGAAAGTGGGAGAGAGACGCGAAGTCGGACGAGATCGTGGGGTGAAAGGCACCTACGCCGTGGGTCACGTTCTTCGGATCGTTCGGATAGGCTCATGATGGTCGATGGAATATTTATGTGTCAATTAGAGTTTTGAGGATTTATGAAAGCTGAAAATCGAGGAGATCGGTGAGACCGGACACGATCAATGACTTTAATTTTATTCAATTTTTCCATTTAATATTTCAGGAGTGATTTATACCCTAAGGAAAATACCATAAGATATTTATTTATTCTACTAAAATAACAACAAGATTTTTATCATTAAAATCGTGAGAATCGTTTTTTAATTAAAAAAGAATTGATTTCAGTGGACATTGTTGTTGAGTGGTGAATCAACTCCAGGATTGACGTCATCCCCTCGGCAGAAAAATGTCCCCCGAGTTGAAATCAACGAGAAGACGGAATAAAGTCGGAAATGGCTCGCGGGGGCTCCATTGATCCCTCCTATCATACGTAATTCCGTTGGTCTATCGATTGTTCCATCCGCGCGTGCCTGAGAAACCACCCCTCACCCTGACCGGCGCACTACCAACCCCCAGCATTGGAAATGCGAATGAAAAAAAAAAGGAATTCCACCTGAATTATCTACGACGTAGAATATTACTGCTCCGATTGAAACGATAGAGTACGTTCCCCCCACGTAATCCAAGCTCATCATCGAGATCATTTGCCATTGACTTAAAAAAAAATCTCAGCATTATAAAAATTAATGAAAACTCACAACTCCTCCCTCTGCCGTTGTGACAACACCATTTTCATGATCCTCGTCGTGGCACAACTGTTCTCCTGTTTTATTCCGTCGTTTTGATGAAAATTAAAAGAAAAATATACCGAAAAATTGAGACGATTCTCTCGTGATCGAGACAACAGTCTAGTTCGTCGCCATCAGGACCTGAAAAGAGAGGACGATGAGATTATTGAACTGTCACGGTGATGCTTTTTTTAGAAATAGATGAGACCCAGTGCAGGACCTTGACAATCGACTCTGGGGTGGTTTTTTAAAAGGTGGAGTGAGGGCAGACGGTTTTTGTCATGATGCGTGCATGCAACCCCCAGTGTGAAATCGATATCCTCGGCTGATACCTCACCCACCCCTTCAAGACCGGCCGGTCTATCTACGTACACCGGCTTATAATTCATTGAAATATTTATCAGCCACTTGGCGAAATGCACGATGATTGTTCCTAACAATTCACTAGACCCGGAAAATTATTTATCACTCCAAAGGTAACAGCATTTTTCGAAAATTGCCAATTCATTAGAAACATAGACACTAGGAAGCATCTGATGAACAATCGGATCACCCTCCAAGAAGAGGTACCCCAGGAGGTTTGAGGAGTAATTGTCATGTGGAGGCAATGCTAATATTGATAACAGCCCGAGACTCTTCCATTTCTATAATTTTTATAGAAAATAATATATAGGAGCATCAACGGGGATCAATCCTTCAGTTCTAGGCATCGATTTGAATTTCTGAACGTGAAGGGATGTTAATAAATAAGATTGGGAAGACAGAACCCCCAGGAATCGCGAAAAATGTTTTCATTGATTGATTTGAGAATTGATGTGTGGAATAAATTTTTGAATAGAGCGAAAGAGGTATTTAGAGGTATATGAGAAGTTCGGGGCTTGTTGATTTTTTGAATTGATTAGAAAATCATCCCTGAAACAGTTCCTCATGGCAGTTTTCAGACCTCAGACGTGATCAAGTGACACTGAGATGCTGAGACAATAGAGATAATGAAACACCCTGTGACACCCCAACAGCTGACCCTCAACCAGACGAGACAATCCCTCAAGACATTAGAGATACTTGAATGTAGCATTCGTCTCCGATGCAGAGGCTGTCAAAAAAAATCAATGGCCCCCCATGTGTCTTCCACTCGAGGATGCTCCAGGGAGGCGAAAATACCGAGAATGTCGAGAATGGCCGTCTGGTAACGATTGATATGGTGAAAAGGTCGAGAGGACAGAAAAATCGTGATGGATGTGATATTGGAGTGCGAGGATGGACCTCGAAACGGTTTTTGTTGTAAATCCCGCACGGCCATTTTGCTCCTGAGCCGTCACGTCTGGCTCTTGCACAAAATTTCAAAATCCCTTACCCCTGGAGGAATTCAATGACTTACGTGTTGTTTTCGTCAACGTGTGGTGTGGAGTGAAGACCGAAATCAACGGAAACCCCCGCGGGGTTGGGCTTCTTTTTTTTTGGTGCCTTTTGACGAGTGTAAAAATACGGATAACTCGGAGCCGCAGTTTGCTGGGATCACTACTGATCGCTACTGCGATGCACTGGTGATGGCGATGGCGATGGCGATCGGACTGACGGCAACGCGATGACAACGCTCCTGGTGACCATCGACATTATTTTATGTACATTGTATGTACGATAGTCGGGCCCAGTGCGCATGACCGCCGTTGACTTTTACATTTAAAAAATCGATTTATCATATGAATCGATTTATCATCATGAATCGATATCCAATTCGAGTAATCGTTTTTTTCATGGTCAACTCCCACATCGACCTGTATCGATTCATGAAATTTTTTTTCAGGGATTCATGAAATGGTGTTCCCTCCGGAAAAAAATAGAGTATCGAGGCTGAAATAATCGATACTCAAAAGATCGATTTTCGGTCGAAAAAATCATAACTGCTGGTCAATGTTTACAGTGCTTCCCGCCAATTATTTCCTTTTCATTGAAGAAAAATGATAACCTTTTAAAATAAATTTACTATTAATTTTACGATGGAAGATGGCGGCGAGGAGAACCCAAATGAGTGGCCAGCAGTATCTAAAGTGGTCCATGACTGTCAAATATATTATCAAAATAAGTTTCCTATCACTACAACATTAGCCTGGCTGGCATACGGGTTACGTGGTAAGTGCAGTACTGTTTTTGACAATTGTTTGAAAATTAATTGATAATTCTCCAAAAATTATTGAAAAAACTAGAGATATTGACGTAAAATCATTGCAGGCAAAGAACTAGCGAACCGAGAGTTCACTTTCATCAACGCCTGGGGCAAATGGTATCGCTTTCAATTTATCAAACACCCAAGTGATTTAATGAATGCACTGAAGATCTTAAGCCCAATTAAAATTGATTTGGGACCAGTCTACAAGATTCCACGAACACGTACTGACACTCGGAAAACAGCTGCTGCAAACTTCCGAAATCGCGATGAAAAGAGAGCCGTAAAGCATGAACTGGTCTTTGACATCGATATAGATGTGTACGATGACGTGAGGAGCTGTTGCCAGGGGCCCCAGATATGTCAAGAATGCTGGAAATTCATGGCGATAGCTTGTGAAATAATGGAGAGGACACTGAGGGAGGATCTCCAACTCAAGCACATTCTCTGGACGTTCTCTGGTAGACGTGGTATCCATGCGTGGGTGTGCGATGAATCTGTTCGCTCATCGAGCTCCAACCAACGGCTTAAGATCCTCAATGCCATACAAAAGGTCAAGAGCCCCAAAGATTGGTTCAATGTCAATTTTTCAACGGATCTCCCACACCCCATTAAACGAGCTCTGAATATTATCAAACCCCACTTCGTGGATATTGTCGAGAAACAGGGCCTTCTCACAACTCACATTGACATATTCATGAAGCTACTTCCTGGCGCCATCAGGACAGCTGTTGAGATCATCTTCAAGTCTTGTACAACTCCCCTCCAAAAGTGGAAGGTCTTTGTCGCTTTTATCCAATATCTCAACACCAAAGCTAAGGAAAAATGCTTTCTTGTCGAAATGTTTATGCTGTACACTTGTTATCCCAAGATTGATGGTGGAGTATCAATGCAGATAAATCATCTCCTGGGTGCGCCATTCTCGGTCCATGCAAAGACTGAGAAAATTGGTATTGCATTTGATCCCAAGAAAGTCTGGCACTTCGACCTGGCGAAGGTTCCAACTGTCCATTCATTGACTGTGCAATTATCTGACAGGACTCCAGAGGACAACATGATGGTTTTATTTTATCAGAATGCCATCGAGGTGTTTGAACTCTTTGTCAAGGAGATGGTGGTCGCCAGGAAGAGGCAGAAGGCAGAAAAAATAGAGGATCAAGAGAATTCTACCGTCAATTCCGAGCGGACGCAGGCTCTCAGTATTACGAATAAAACGCGGGGAAGTCTGTGCCTGGTTGGTCGGCCTTCTACGAGGACTCCTCCCGAGGAGGATGTCAGGACGCCCGGGGTACCTAAAAATTCAGCTGAACACGCTGTGCTTGAATTACGAGCCCTCCGTATGAAATTCATTCCAAAATTGACGACTATGTTCCCTCCGTCGAAAATTCATCCAAAATATAGGAGTGTTAACTGTATCAAAACTCCAACGACAACTCCTTCGATGATACCCTCGATAAAATACTCGGTCATCTCAGAAGCTCCACCCGTGGCATCTCCTAATGCCAGCAAGTTGAACACTGAAAAAATAACTCCACCTGAGGAAATTTCTCACAAGGCCTCGGTCATCTCAGAAGCTCCACCAGTGGCATCTCCTAGTTCCAGCAAGTTAGCCACTGAAAAAATAATTCGACTTCGGGAAATTTCTCGGAAGGCCTTGGCCATCCCAAAGCCTCCACCAGTCTCTGCAAGTTCTAGCACACGGGCAACTGACAAAATGATAAAACTGCAAAAAATTTCCAAAAATCTGGAGAATCCTAAAAATAAATCTCACTCAAAATTGACTACACCCAGTCCCCAGGAAATTCCCACATCTCCTCCCACACGAATGTCTCCAGTTACCAAGAAACGGAGCTCTAGCGAAATAACTGGATTTGCAGAAATTTCCAAAAAATTCAAGACTGAAAAGGATGAGTCAGTGAGCAGAAAATGGAGTGCTGACAAAATAATTCGACTCCGCGGAATTCAAAAACTAACCTTAGGAAAATCAACAGTAGTCAGACCCAAGGAAATACCGACACCCCAAATTTAAATAATGGCACCAATAAAATCGCCACAAATTGCAGTGAATACTTTCATAATTTTCCCCTTGATTTTCTCCCCTGATACTTTTTTGAAAATATAGAATTTTTCACCCATTTTCACATTCACGCCGTCGACTTGATGGACACCCCAGCATTGCGTAGTGCGCCCTCCCTCTCTTGGGGTGCAGTATTACGATGCCGCTGGAGTCACTGAAACCCCCAGAACTGAGCCTTCTACTTTAGTCAATCCTCTGGTTCCGACTGGAGGGGGGAGTTCTACTTCAACTTCCACAACTGTACATGAGCACAACTGTCCATGGATAGTGACAAACCAGAGAGCACAACTGTACATGAATCGCGCTGTCCATTTCCACAACTGTCCATGACCAGAACTGTACATGGAAAGTTTTGTCGGTCAAACAGTGTCGGTAGAGTAGGAATTCCATTCGGTTTATCTGCGATCGATGTGTGTTGTTAGAGACTATCAACGCAGAGAGATGGCAGCATTTATTCTATCAAGAGAAAAATCCTCGCGAACCCAGTGTCTATCAACTCGTCAAACTGTCAATTTTGAATTTTATGAATCACAATAGCGATAGCTAATGGTTGCAAGAGAAACCTCAATACATTTTAGTACAATGATACAGATTAATAATAAATCATGAAACCTACAAATGTTTCGTCACCGTTAGATATTATGAATAATTGAAAATTGGAATGGAGACAAATTAATCAGCGTATTTTTTTTATCCCCGCCATTTAATAAAATTAATAAAAATTAAAAAGTAAACTATGATAAGGAAAGATTAAATGCAATGCATCGCGAGAACATGGCAATATTTCTAAAAAATTCAATTCCGCGACAATTGCACAGGTGAAAAGAAGGAGGAGTCACGCAGCGGCGTGGGGATAAATACCTCCACTTAGCCTGCTACTGGCTGTATACATGGCAACCGTAAGGAGATAAAAATTCTTCAAAAATTAGCTGCTTGTGATGTATTGGATATTAATTTATTTTCAATGATTTTCAGCTAATTACAAGTTAATTTTTGATTTGCGATTCGAGGACTTAAGTGATTCAATAATTAAGGAAAGTTGATCTCGGCTAGGGGCATATATCGATATATTTCAGTAGTTTTATTTAATATAATACATAGACATAAATATAATTTGGGTTGAACATAGTATTTTTACTGTAGAATTACAATGTGTAAGGGCAATGTTGCCCGTGTCCTTCCTCGAAAAGATAGGTCAAAACAACCCAATCATGATCGATGTGTTCATCATCTGAAATAATAAGAATTGAAGGATTATTGAAGCACAGATAAAGAAGTGATATAAATATGGATGAATTTCAAACCTTTTTCGAAAATTGTTCCACTATTTAGACTCGCTCCTCCGGCAGTGATTGCTGTTGCAGAGTCTTCACATTCTTGGGCTGTCATTGTGGATACAGATGGTTGTTTTGGCAGATCAAATGAATGCTCTCTCAATCTTGGTAGACGTTTACGTTTCGGCTTAACTAATAAATACATAAATAAAAAATGTATCAATGGAAGGAAAGAATATGATTAATGCCATATATGCCTACAATGCTTATTCAATCAACAGAAATAAAATATTTTCTGACGAAATGTGAGTTTATAACTCGCCTTGCGGTCGGGTTATAATCACATGAGTCCGATAATACTTTACTTCCTAGAGGGACAATATACTATTATTTTACCTCCATATTCCGCATCATCGTTCGGATCTAAGGACAGGAATTCTCCCGAATTATCTCTATTTTGGTTAGTTTGATTTCCATCATTTCGTGTAAACTGTTTAGTTTCCTCCTCATTAATCCTGTCCTGAATCTTCGGAGTAAGGCATTTCTTCAGGAAACAATATACCTCCTGTCTGATGAGATCTCTACATAATTGAACATACCGATAAAATAAGACTTGTATATTATGTGTCATTATGTTTTTAATTAATTGACGTTTTGTACTCTTTCTCCATCTTTAATAGAGAAACGCTTTAATAGAGAAACATTTCAAAAATTTACCTTTCAGAAGTTTCCAGGTGTTGTGTTCTAGACTGTAAAGTGCTCTGGGCCTCCATAATGAGCATATCTTTATTGTAATACTCTGCTGTTTTCTTGGTTTTAGAGATGGGTTTACCCTTGTTTAGTCTGCTCATTTTGGTCGATTCATCATCAATGATCAATTGCAGATTGCCTATAATTGACGGAATGATAAGAAATTATTGGAGATTCAATGCATAGAAAGTTGAGAGGGAAAGCAAAATACGTACGAATAAGAGGGAACACCTTGACTTTGGAACCACCGACTCGAGGGGTGTAATGGCGATTATAAGCCTCAGAATCGTTGTTCGTACGAATGCCAGAATCGTACACTGATAACAATTCAGCCTTCGGTTGCCATTGTGTCCTCAAGTACTTGATGTACCTTTTCAACTCGGGGAAATCATCTGTGAATGAGTTGACGATTTCTTCAATAGCATCCACACCCAACGCAATCTGTTGAGGGGGAAGTAAGGCCAGCGAACGTGTCAAGTACTTTGCTTGTCGGGGAGCTCCAAGCTGGTTCAATTGGCACTTGACTTTCCAGTATTCAGATGTTGCCTGAAAACGAAAGTCACATGATACACAGGATGGTAAAAAAATTAATCTTTTTTTTATGAAGAGATCAAATTACCTTGATGAAATGAAACCAACATCCTTGCAGTCTTGCCCGTGGGAAAACTTTGCGGCATGCTTTGTGCACTGCGCCCTCAAAATCAGAGATGATCAGTTCAACATTGAGCAGGCCAGGGGCTAATGAAATGAGACGTTTAAAGATTGCTTCATAAAGTTCTCCCCTTGCACCTCGGCAGTAGGCATGGACTGCAGCAAAAGACTGAAAAAAGTGTTATGGCAAATTTAAGTAATTCACTATTCCAGAACTAAAAAAAATACTAAAACGTACCTGATTATGTTTCCTGAAGCTTACAATCCACATTTGTGTTGCTTCGGGTTTTGTTGGAACAGCCTACAACATATAAATTACGTCTTACTTCCAGCCTATCAAAATATCAATAAAACTTTAATTGAAATTCGTAGAAATGAAAATCTACACGGAGAGAAATATTTAGTAAAAATTACGGAACTTTCAGTTCACTTACCGATTACGAAGTTGATTCGAGAAGTTTAATTGACGGTATCGTTATTTTTCACTGATAATTCAGATAAAAATTACGGAACACCGCGGAACAATTCCGTGACTTTAGATAAAAATTACGTGACAGTTCCGTAAAATTTCCGACAACCACATTTCGCTCCAGAATTACGGAAAATACACGTAATTTTTATTGAATATTTCTCTCAGTGTAGTATAATATTAAGAGTAAATCACAATTAATCGGCACCCACCTTCATTGTTCCATCAACTTCGATAATGGTCGCTAAGTTTAACTCCGTCAACATGTCTGGATTAGCAAAAAGTAATGCATAGCCTGTTCCGTTATCCGTGGGCTGCACAGCTCCGACATAATTATCTCCGACCATGGTCTTCATAACTGCATTCTCATCAAGAAAATTCCCCAATTCTTCCAAAGATTTAGGTACTTTTGGGTGTCCCATCGCCATTCGTACGCGATATACGTAACTGTTGATAGCTGGTCCGGAGAATTCAGATGCTATGTCTTTAGGATATCTATAATGACCCAAGAATCCAGATAAAACCAACCATAAAATCGTGCATGGGAAATGCAAAAAAAATTTTTTCTTCATTTTGAGATTCATTAATTTTGGACTTACTCTCGAGATACACTGCGCAAGATCTCCATAGGTTCAGCTTCTGTTTCACGAGCCTCGGTACGGATATCTTTCATCATAGCAGCCTTTGCCGGTTCTTTACTGTATGGTAATCATGATTGTGATTTTTTCCATTTGTTTTCACCGTTCCATTCCACAGACTTGTAAGTCTCACGGGACATTTCTCCGGTTTTTGGTAATGCGTACACCGATAATAGTTTTTGGTGAGTCCTTGACGTACTTGGTGAAATGTATACTCTGCGTAATAATAGCGCCGGCCACCATGGCTACTTTCAATCATGAGAAGATTTTTCTCGTCCTATTATAACAATCATTGAGGAAAAAAATTAAGATAATATATTTCGACCCAGTATCAAACAATATTCTTCATCCTGAGAATATCGAACTACGTAATGAAAAATGAATTCGATACATACCATGTTGTAAAGAATTTTAAGTGAAATACGCACACAGTATTTCTATCACAACCTCGAACGGAAACAATAAACCCTTTTTCTTTTAATAATGAAGCATAGAAAGTCGTCAATGCACTATATTTCACTTGTCCTGTGAAGTCTGTCCTCTCGAATGCTATCCGATGCATTTATACCTGCTTATGATATAACGAACTTCGTGGGCTGTGAGGGAAGGAAAGGGTAGGGGGAGGGGTGTGGCCGAGAAGACAAGGGAAGATATTGGCGGCGTGAGGGCATTGGTGAGAAAATACTAATGGAAGGGGCAACGTACTTGCGATTTGCTCGTTAATGGGCCTATGAGTGTTCAAAACTTTCTGAGACTTTCTGGGAATTTGTCTACACACGTAGTACGAGCTATTACCGCGGTTTCAAAATTTAATCTAAAATTTTTCTGGTTATGTTCAACATATTTATCATAAAGACAATTGATGGTTTTTTTTAGTTTTATGTTTTTGAGTAGAAGACTGAAGAAATATGTGATATTTTTCCAGTGATTTTCTTTGATTGCCTACATTTATCTCTCCCTAGTTGCATCTTCTTTTTCGAATATAGATCTCATTAGACCCTATCTTTCGCCGCCAAAAAAAGTTGATTTTAATTGTTTAGAAAATTGTTTTTTTTTCAGCAACTCCGATAAATCGTTCGAATCAATTAAATGGTTGCTTAAAAAAATTGTCCTAATATCTTTTTGCCCCAGTCCGAAGATCAAGGTGACAGTTTTTTGGCAATAATCATAAATTCAAAAAATTATTTAGGATTTTTTTCGTTATTGTGGAGATCTTGGTGGTAGAAATCAGTCAATTTCAATGATGAACATTAAAAAATAAAATTTATTCAAGTAATATCACTAGACTACAAACATGATCTTTATGCTCAGCATATAAATAACAAAAATAAAATGTTGTTAAGATACGTTGGTGTTTCACGGGTTTCTTTTCAGTCTATAATTTTAACGCAATAGTTATGATAGTTAATATAGAATAATTAAAATGAATATAACAAACATCAAGCTCGACATATAAACTAGTCAGTAGTGAATTGACACGATTAGTTTTATGAGTTTAAGATTGCTTAATAGTAAACGTGTATCCGTCGAATTCCCAAAGCGATTGTTCATCATCTGAAGCATGTCCTAACGGCTCTGGAGACTCCGGACGTGGTCCACCAGTGTGTTGCTTCTTTGAGCCACTCATTGAAGGCAATGCACTGATGTCTACTATTTCTGAAAAAAGATATTAAAAATTATCAATGATATTTGATATTTTTTCGGAAACAAATTCACTCTAAGATGAACAAAAGTTACTCACTTGCAGCATGCTTCCTCTTGAAAAACCCAGAATTTACAGCTTGCACTTCACCATTATTACTGTCTGATGTTAGAAGCGGGGTTGCTGATGTGCGATTTTCAGGGCCTCTCAGCAGTCCATGCAATTTTGACAGCAATGGCGGCGTTAAGCATGTGGCGAAGAAACTCGCCAAACTAATTCTGAAATCAATCATTGAATATTTTTTTAAATGTGAAAAAAGCCTCTTCATTCGATGATATTTCACCTATGTTATAGGATTGATAGTGACGGTAATGAAAAGTGGAACATTTTCATATTACCGCAAAAAATGAATTTTTATTCTAATATTACCTTTTTCTGGTGCACTGCTGATTGACCGTCATGAAATGGGTGACATCTCGGGACAGAACGAAGGAATTTGTTTTGTCCTTTATGAGGCGTTTTTCGCCACTCTGAAATGACTTCATCAGGTCATTTTCGCTTTTCAACGTTTCATAGAGGACACCTACGAAACGGATAACGAAATGAATAATTAATATATTGGTGACTAATTGCTTAATGATCTTTCAGTCATATTATAGTTTGGTGAATACTTACGTGTTAATTTTTCGACACTCTTCTTGTTGTACCCGAATTGAACAGAAAGATATCTTCCAACGGCCTCCGTCCTGCGATGAACCTGGAGAGCCTCCAAGGGAGCTCCTAAGAGCTTTAAATTGTTGTCCCAGCGAGTCTTGAAAAGATAGAAAAAGCTTCCTAGCTGAGGAAAATCCGTTATGTGTGCCCGGATTTCTTCATCAACGAACTCCATGCCGGCTTTGATGCGATCTTCCCCGGAAAGCCCCAAGATCATCAAATGATGGTAAATTTTCTTGGGGGAATCTCCCAAGCCACACTCTTGCCATAAAGCCCCAATATCCTATAAAACATTCGTAACAATCATTTAATAATAGTATCAACATTTTTGAATAGTTTATGGAATATATTCACTTACTTTGACATAATCGGACCATAAAATTTGGATAGCTGCATCAGGAAGTATAATCGCAACAGCATCTGTGAGTGGTTGACAGGTACCTACGAAAACGGTTTCTACTGACTTCAGGGATGGTTCCTTTTGAGCGACGAATTTCAGGATTTCCTCAAATAGTGATTGAGAAGATTCACTCAGGTACACGACGAACAAAGCATACGTCTGAAAAATTACATACAAACGGTGTCATCGGTTTTGGCAGATTATAGAAGAATAACAAAAATATAATTTATATATTTACCGTGATCAAAAGTCCCTTTGACTGCACTAAATTGATGGTCAAAATTTCTGTCCCTTCGCGATGAGGCAAAACCTGTACAAATAATTTATGATTACAGAAGTAAAGCAATGTAATTATTGTAATAATATGTCACCCAAGACATGATTTTCAAGTTTTCGGTGACTATACGTACGTTTGTTACTCGATCGACAGTTATTTTCGATTTCGAATGGATTCTTTGGGTCATGTCGTGAATACCAAAGATGAGAGCCGTCCCCTTTTCTGTTGAAACCTCGCCCTGCAAAATGACTTGGTCATTTTCTAATTTCCTTATCAATGAAGATAGGACCTTTAAATCCCTCGGGATGGGTACAGGTGGTACGGTGCGTCGCACCTTCATGCCGATTGTCTTCCTCGATTTGATATGGGAGAACCTGTAAGTAGAATTAAATTGTTCTTATGAATCAATTCTAAAGATGGAGCTTCACATTTGTATGCATCATAGATTACCTTTCTGTCAATGTATTTGTAATATCTTTTAGACTGCCTCCTGCACGCACAGTCTCATCAACTGCTTTCCGATAATTATCGGTTTCGATGGCTGTTGAGTCTTCTAAGTCTAAATGCTCCTCTCCATTATCCCCAATGGAACCATTCAGATGTTCGTAAAGGATAAACTTGCAGCCTTTCCGCCGATGTGCACAACGATAAACGTTTTTAGTTTTCGATGCTTGTGCATCGAAATACAGACGGTGATTTTGGTATAAATACACCCAACTCCCGGCCTTATCACCTTGAATTTTCACGATGGAACTCTCCTGAGGATTGAATTGAAAGTGAAATTAACTCATATTCATTTAATATTCAGTATCTTAAATTGCTTATTCCCTCCAAATTTGCTATACGAAAAAAACCGGTGGAAAGACGTTGTTATAAAATTATATGACAACTTTATTCTTATGTGAATCAAAAATAGGGTCTAAAGAAGGCGCAATTATACTCTAATTTTAAGTATGCAACGCGTTATATCGAACCATTTTTAGGGGAAAATTATGTTTGGAAGTAGTGGATTGCCTGATACTAACACGTAAACATTGAACTCGGGGAAAATTATGGCTTGATTCCAATCTTTTTTTTAAAAAAAAGGAACTGAATGTTTATTGATAACTTGGTGAATAATCGTATAGAAAATTAGAGTTATTCGAAGAACTGGTACGATATACTCGACGTTTTCCGTATGAAATGAAATTTTCCCATAATTGCCATTGTACATGTCATTGAGTGTGCGGGTGATCATAAGAATTGAAGAAAATAATTTTTGTTATTTCAATATTAATATTATTGAACTTACCATTTGGACGATGTTGATCAGCGGTTACCGCACAGTATAACTTCACGATTGATTTCTTTTTGCGTATACACGGAAAATGCGCACTGAACAATAGTTTGCACGAGAATGCAATCACTCAAGTACTGACCACTTGAGCAGTGGAAGGAGTGGGCACAGGTGGGGGGAAGGGGGCGGGGGGTAGGGGTATTCATGTATACACGGTACGAAATAATAGTAAAATAAAGTTTCCGATGGTGAATAATTCCTATCGATAATGGTATAAATAGTGCCGGCAAAAATGGGCTGGAAAAAACTTAGACATTTACTAACAGTAGTTTTAGCAAAATTATCAGTATAGAGAAAGCCCAGGTAATATGCTGGAAGTTCTACGCTAGTAGAATTTCATTTCCATGAAATTGACTGCTGTGAAATAATTTTTTAGCGAGAGATATGAAAAGAAAAAAGAAAAATCGGATATCACTACAAGACACGACGAGAATTGGTCCTTCTCTTGTATTGTCTCATCATTTGGTGAAAATTTTCATTTCGCCTGACGAGAAAGAACTCTCCTCTTATCTCGCCGAGAAGACCAGACTCTCGGCATCTTGTCTTGTCTTGTATCGTGTTCTCCCGAAACATTTCATTTGAAATATATTAATATTTTTTTGAATAATTTGTTGTGGTTTTTTAAAAATTGATATCACAAAAATCGCAATTTCACCATTTGAAGGTTTACCCTCACTCATCATTTATAATTTAATCAGTATCACCGTTCATGTCATAGACACCGTTTGCTACTTATTTACTGAACGCCAGAAAGGGTAGCGTTAAAAAGGAAAGATTTTTATCCATACTTACTTTCTGTTCTTGAGTTTTTTTTAGATTCTGCAGGATAGTAGTTGGTTGGGTTTAGATGAGTTGAGACTTATTTTTTATTGTAAATAAATACAGTTCGACCTAGCAGCGTTTAATTCACTTGATGTCCGATCAAACACAAAACTAATTAATTCATTATTTAAAAAACAATTAATCATGAAGCAAAATAGCAGCGGGCAGATTCGTTAGTTAAAAAAAAAATCCCTCGATGATTTGATAACAAAATATCAAGTAAATATACCATAACAGCAGCTCATCATTGTAAAATTTTGTTCTTACATCTCATATTCAATGTCCTAGTCAGGAAATTGGAGAGATCCCCTGATGATGGTAGCATGACTCGAAACTGATTAGATTCTTATCTGGTTATCGAAAGCGCGAAGTAAACCATTTGAAGACTTGATAATGTTGGTCAGAAAAGGACCTCAGTCCACAATTGCGTTTTAGCTGTGGACCTCAGCAGGCAGCCCATGAGGAACTTCCATTCCGATGTATCCCTACTCGGGGTAGCATGTGTTGTTTTGTAGTGCGTTTTACCTATTGCAACTCTGAAATATGCGAAATATGCGAAATTTTTCATGCTCTCAAACATTGAGTAATACTGCGATATTCCTCAGTAGATGCGCAATTTTCATTAAATATTTTGCTCCCTGCTGCATCGAAATTTTCCTTAAGAAAACTTGATGATGAGACAGTTGAATAATTCAAGTCAAATTATTTTTCTCGTGTCGTGAGTCAGTCTAGCAAAAAATTAATTTGGCGTAAAAAATTCATTAACCCCTAACCCCCTTTCACCTTCTCAACAATAAAAACCTAGCGCCAAATCCTCTTCAGAGAATTTCTCCGATGATTTTCCCCAGAATCAATGGCGAATGAAAAATGTTTTCACTCTCTTCACTTCTGTCAGCGTTCCAAAGAAAATCAAACAAACTCCCCATCGAATGGTGCGAAAGAGTCGCAATGCCATAAATTACCGTAGACAGGTCGGCGCCGGTGCCTTTACAGCACCCCGGCGCGTGCCGTAGCTCGCAGACACTGATAAATTCCCCCATGGTACCGGAAGGTAATTAACTACAAAAAATAAGGCTGTCTCAAGCAACGATATTTTTTTTCACCATGTGAAGTGGCAAGAAATTTCAAATAGAAAAATTCCGTATAGCGTCCAAAAATGGTGGCTGGAATCGCAGAATGTTCTCAATAAATAATCATTGTGGGGAATTTGTGCATTTGGTTAAACAAGGATTTTGACATGCTTATATCGAAGAGAAGGCCATTTTTGCACCATGGGCTAGTGCGTGTTTTTTTCTAATGAAATTATTTTTTATTTAAAAAAATGCCAAATCATTGCTTCGATGAAAATATTTTAAAAACAAAAAAAATCCAGTGTGAACTAGTACCTGCTTATGCACTGAGAAAAATGTCCAAGACCAAATTGAGTGCCGGTGGTGAAAAAATTAAAACCTATCGAATACGAAAAATTCCAGTTCTTTTCGAATGAAATTTTGCGCTCCCTCTAATAAAATTGCTGATAATTCCGTGAGAAATCCATGAAAAGTCCAAAAAAATTCTCAACTTATAAAAATTCTAGTACCGGTATTGGTATAGGCAAACAGCCTATCCGGTACTTTGCGCCACATTTCTAGGGCTGATTTAGAATTTTTCTTATAAATTTTTCTCCCTGTAGAAGCTCCCAATACGGTAGGTGTAGTTTTCAGGATTTGAAAGTAATTTTTCTTCCTTGCGATAAGCTAGAATCAACCCGTTTTTCCAGAAAGAAGTAGTAGCCCCTGTAATAGAGGTAATAATAGTTTTTCGAAAAATCAAAAATTAATCCGTAATTAGCTTAAAGTCATTGGAAATAAATTGGTATCCAATACGTCACAATTTGAAGACAGAATGCTGAGCTGGAAAATGCTGTCTTGATTTGTTTTTTATTCGATTGAAAAAACCAGAGGAAACGAGCGGAAGTCAAATTTTAAAGGAACTAACATAACTGTCATTTTTCAACAGGATTTTTCTATAGGAGACAACGAAATAGATAGAGCACGTCGCGTAAATTGGTACACGGAGAGAAATATTCAAGAAAAATTACCGAAAATTTCACGTAATCTGCAAGCGAGGCAATCATCACATAAATTCTACTCTTTGTTCAGTAAAAATTACTCATCCATCTAACGCCTCACGGCTAGCTGCGAATCACCGCGAGGGGGGGGGGGGGGGGTTTTACAAAATGTTTCCTAATTTTCCTGTACGTTCGGTAAAAATTCTTCAACATCCAATAATTTTTCTGTTCTGGGGCATAATAAGTCTTGAAATTTCGTCTGATTTTAAAACTTCCAGAAAAATTAGGTAACTTTTTTGAATTTTTCGGGGACAGCAGTCAAAACTTAACTGATTGTTCCAGATTTATTCCCCGAAAACGATTCTCGCTAGCGAATTACGTGAAATGTTCCGTAATTTGTTTTGAATATCTCTCCGTGTATGTCTTTGCCATTATAGGACTACCAGAAATAAGAAACTTGATCAATCTGAACATTGGCATAAAAAAGACTATAACTCCCAAAAATTCGTATCCATACAATTTTCGCGTTTTACGACTCATATTCAAAATAATTCTTTTTCGTAAATTCCATGAGATAAATTGTGGTGGGAGGATATTTTTGAGGGTAGAAAATATTTGTTAACAAATATTTTAATGAGTACGATATTCTACCCTTGTCACATCGTTACGTCTGGTCCAAAAAATGTTCAGTGCTTCATGACACGCCTCCGCTACTGAATTGGATCGACTTCCAACAGGTAAATTATGAATGTCCCCCGCTGTGGCGCCGTTACGCCTGTATACCTGAGGAGGCTATATTCACACCTGAATGGGGAATAAAAATGATTATTGTGGTTACCCTAGTTTTAAAAATATTTCCAATTCGAAAATTTGTCCAGCCGTACTTCATTTTTCCAAAAAATTTAACATACGGATACAAATATTCAGAAAGAATTATACAACTTTGATTCGCTTACCGATTTTATATGATTCGAGTTAGAAAATTTGAGTGACACTCCCGTCATTCTGCACAGGCAATTAAAAGAACAAAATAAGGAAACGCTCCGAAAAAAATTCGTTAGTTTCGCGAAAATTCCTAAGACTACATTTCGGTTCGGTATTGCGTAGAAGATACGTAATTATTATTGAATATTTCACTTCGTGTCGCAACAAAAATCCCCCGAAGAAGACTAAGTAGTGAAACGGTTAAATGGTACAAGTCAAATGATTTTTATAGTGTCGGGAGTCGATCTAGATGAAAATTGTTTTGCCGCCAAATATCACTTACCCACGGCCCTTTCCCCCCCATCCCAGCAATAAAAATATGGCTAAATTATCCATATAGAAACTCTCCAATTATTTTCAGCGAGATCGATAGCCAATAAAAGAATTACTTATTTTCTTCAAATGTTCTAAAGACAATTTTAAAAAATCTCCATCGGATGGAGTGAAAGAGACACCACACTTGGCATAAATGAACGCAGACAGTTCGGCGCCGGGACCGTTTTTTTACAACGCTCTGGCCCGTACCGTGGTACGCGCGCCCTAATAAACACCTCAGTGGTGCAGGAAGGCAAGTCAGTTAGGAAAATATGGATTTTTCAAGGAACGTTGTTTTTCTCACAAAGCGAAGCTGAGAAAAAAATTCTAGATAGACGGTGATATTCACAAAGGGAAGAGAAAAACTACATTTTTTTCTTTTCCTTGATTGAAGACCATTTATTCTGAGTTGTAGCGATTCCAAAAAGAGAGACTCTTCATTAAGAGCTATGCATACTTTAGAATCTAAAGCTTAGATAATTCAGAGTAATGAAAGTGCAATGTTCTGAAACAAATTTTTCATATTTTTTAACTGAAATTTGTAATTTTTTCTTGACTAACACAATTTTTTTATTTTATTTTTAAAATTTACAATTTTACCTTTACATGTCTTGTAAAGGTAAAAAGAGGTAAAAAAAAGGTGAAAGATTGGGCATCAGTAGTCCATATAAAATGCGTCAATCAGAATTTTAATTACAATTATTGTTAAAATCTCTTAGAGTGAGCGCAGAGTCAGTCAGTAACGTATGGAAATTAAATTGGTACATTATTAAAAAGTATAATTTTGATTAAAGTGCATAACTGGTCCGTAATTTGGACTGAATACTGTTTTCACTGGCAGATTGCAGAACAAGCAGTTAATTTTTGAAGAATTTGTATCTCCTTATCGTTGCCATGTATACAGCCAGTAGCAGCTAAGTGGAGGTAATTATCTCCACGCCGCTGCGTGACTCCTTCTTCTTCTCACCTGTGCAATCATCACGGAATTCAATTTTTCAAAAATATTGCCATGTTCTCGCGATGCATTGCATTTAATCTTTCCTTATCATAGTTTACTTTTTAAGTTTTATTAATTTTATTAAATGGCGGGGATAAAAAAAATAAGCTGATTGATTTGTCTCCATTCCAATTTTTAATTATTCATAATATCTAACGGTGACGAAACATTTGTAGGTTTCATGATTTATTATTAATCTGTATCATTGTACTAAAATGTATTGAGGTTTCTCTTGCAACCATTAGCTATCGCTATTGTGATTCATAAAATTCAAAATTGACAGTTTGACGAGTTGATAGACACTGGGTTCGCGAGGATTTTTCTCTTGATAGAATAAATGCTGCCATCTCTCTGCGTTGATAATCTCTAACAACACACATCGATCGCAGATAAAACGAATGGAATTCCTACTCTACCGACACTGTTTGACCGACAAAACTTTCCATGTACAGTTCTGGTCATGGACAGTTGTGGAAATGGACAGCGCGATTCATGTACAGTTGTGCTCTCTGGTTTGTCACTATCCATGGACAGTTGTGCTCATGTACAGTTGTGGAAGTTGAAGTAGAACTCCCCCGACTGGAGCACCGCTAGTATACTGAAGTCAGCATAAGTTTTAACATTGATTTTAGAAGTGGGGGACATGGTTACAAGTGGTAACTACGTGGAGTGGGGGTATCCAGAGAAGTAAAAACTTATGCTGACTTTAGTATAGTTTTGAATTCCGTAGTTAAACCTAGCTCTCCCTGAGATAATTATTGGCGCCATCTCGCCCCAGCAAATTGCTATATAACGGCTAAACGGCTTTTTCCGACTTTTGCCTCCAGTGGTATATCTAAAGCGTCTCGAGATTATTCCGTTGAAATTCCGTACAATTACCCCGAGTAAAATGTAAACGAGGGACATTTGAGTTGATAAAAAATCGGTGGAAGGTTTCTCGCATCAGAGAATACAGAATCAATTGAAATTAATTACAGTCGAGTTTTATTATCAGTGGATTGAGCGGTCTAACCTCGAAACAGCTATGGCGAATGTAGTTTTGGACAAGGAGACATTCTTTAGGCGAATGAAACGGCTGTACACGGCTTGGAAGGAAGGTGATGCCGGTAGTGATGACAGTTTCAGTAAAATGGACTGTCTTGTGTCGGCAGTGGGAACTGACGAGGACATCGTCTACAGCAAATCGATGGCACTACAGACCTGGTTATTCAGTTACGAGCTCACTGACACCATCATGATCCTGGCTGAGGACTCGATTAATTTTCTAGCCAGCAAGAAGAAGATCGAATTTCTCAGAAAGGTGGAGAGTGGAAAGACTGAGGAGACTGGGGTACCACCAGTCAAGCTCTTCGTCAGGGACAAGAGTGACGAGGATAAAGCGAATTTTGCCAAATTGATTGATGTTATCAGGGGGAGTAAAAAGGGTAAGACTCTTGGGGTCTTCTCCAAGGAGAATTATCCAGGGGGATTTATGGATGCCTGGAGGGCTGCTATCAAACCGGAGAATTTTGATACTGTCGATGCTAGTGCAGCAGCTGCTTTTGTGATGGCGCCCAAGGAAGAGATTGAAATTCTCACTGTGAAAAAAGCTTGTCTCGTATCTGTTGATGTTTTCACAAAATATCTGAAGGATCAGATAATGGAGATCATCGATTCGGACAAGAAAGTCAAGCACTCGAAGCTAGCTGAAGGTGTTGATCAGGCTCTCACCAACAAGAAGTACGTCACAGGTGTCGATGTATCTCAGGTTGATAATTGTTATCCAGCAATAATCCAGAGTGGAGGGAATTATACTCTGAAATTTTCTGTTGTCTCCGACAAGAATAATCTCCACTTCGGGGTGATAATCTGCTCCCTGGGGGCTCGATACAAGTCCTACTGCTCCAATATCGTGAGAACTCTCCTGGTGAATCCCACCAAATCCATCGAGGACAACTACAATTTTCTCCTCAACGTGGAGGAGGAGATTCTGAAAAAACTCACAGCAGGAACTAAAATTAGTTCTGTCTACGAGACTGGAATAAAATATGTGAAGACAGAGAAGCCAGACATGATCGACCACTTGACGAAGAATTTTGGTTTCGCCATGGGAATAGAATTCAGGGAGTCATCTCTCCTGATCGGTCCCAAGACTCACGTAATCGCTAAAAAGGGAATGGTCTTCAACGTGAACGTTGGTCTTTCAAATTTGACAAATCCCGAAGCGACTGACAAGGAAGGCAAGAGCTACGCCCTCTTCATAGGCGATACTGTTGTTGTCAATGATGGTACGCCAGCTACAGTCCTCACAATATCCAAAAAGAAGATGAAGAACATTGGAATTTACGTGAAAGACGATGACGAGGAGGAGGAAGAGGAGAGTGGCAAGGAGAACGAGCCAAAACCCGAGATTCTCGGTCGAGGAAAACGAAGTGCTGTCATTGAATCAAAATTGAGAACAGAGCACAGCTCCGAGGAGAAGAGGAAGCAACACCAGAAGGAGCTTGCCCAGCAGCTCAATGAAATTGCCAAGGCCAGGTTGGCCCAGCAGTCTGGAGGGAAGGAGCAGGAGAAAATTCGAAAATCAACGGTATCCTACAAGAGTCTCAATCACATGCCGCGGGAGTCTGAGGTGAAGGAACTGAAACTTTACGTCGACAGGAAATACGAGACTGTGATACTCCCCATTTTTGGAACTCCAGTCCCGTTCCATATCTCGACTATCAAAAACATTTCTCAGTCCGTTGAGGGTGATTATACCTATCTCAGGATAAATTTCTTCCATCCTGGGGCCACCATGGGAAGAAATGAGGGAGGAACTTATCCCCAGCCTGATGCCACCTTCGTCAAGGAAGTAACTTATCGTTCAGCTAATACTAAGGAACCTGGTGAATTGTCCGCACCCTCGTCCAACCTCAATACAGCGTTCAGGCTCATCAAGGAGGTCCAGAAGAGGTTTAAGAATAGAGAGGCTGAGGAGAGAGAGAAGGAGGATCTTGTGAAGCAAGACACACTGGTGTTGTCACAAAATAAGGGTAATCCCAAGCTCAAGGATCTCTACATACGACCAAATATCGTGACCAAGAGAATGACTGGCGGCCTTGAAGCCCACACCAATGGCTTCCGTTACACCTCTGTTCGTGGTGACAAAGTCGATATTCTCTACAATAATATTAAAAATGCCTTCTTTCAGCCTGGTGATGGAGAGATGATAATTCTTCTTCATTTTCATCTTAAACACGCCATAATGTTTGGCAAGAAGAAGCACGTCGATGTTCAGTTTTATACAGAGGTTGGTGAAATCACAACTGATCTTGGAAAGCATCAGCATATGCATGATCGAGACGATTTGGCTGCTGAGCAGTCGGAGAGAGAGCTCAGGCACAAGCTCAAGACTGCTTTCAAGTCATTCTGCGAAAAAGTCGAGTCCATGACAAAGCAGGAGATTGAATTCGATACGCCTTTCAGAGATTTAGGATTTCCTGGTGCACCATTCAGGAGTACTGTTCTGCTACAGCCAACGTCTGGTTGTCTTGTGAATCTCACAGAATGGCCACCATTTGTCATCACTCTTGAGGATGTTGAGCTTGTGCATTTTGAGAGAGTGCAGTTTCATTTGAAGAACTTTGATATGATATTTGTGTTTAAGGATTATCAGAAGAGGGTGGCCATGGTCAATGCCATTCCCATGCACATGCTGGATCATGTGAAGGAGTGGTTGAACTCGTGTGATATCAGGTACTCTGAGGGTGTTCAATCTTTGAATTGGGCGAAGATTATGAAGACAATCACGGAGGATCCAGAGGGCTTCTTCGAGAGTGGTGGCTGGACATTTTTGGATCCTGATACTGATGCTGAGAACGAGGAGGTCGACGATGAGGAGGAGGAGGAGGATGATGCGTACGAGCCCACGGATATTGAGAGCGAGGAGGAGAGTGAGGATGACTCGGAGTACTCGGAGGCGTCCGAGGATTCCGAGAGCGATGAGGAGGAGCTGGGGAGTAGCGAGGAGTCTGGAAAGGATTGGAGTGATTTGGAGAGGGAAGCAGCTGAGGAGGACAAGGAGAGGGGTGATGGTACCTTCGGGAGAAATGAATTCCCCAAGAAGAAATCCGAGCCATCGAGGTCCAAGGACAAGCACAGGCACTCGGGCAGCTCCAAGGGCAAGGGGTCCTCGTCATCCTCCAGGGACAAGCACAGGTGATTGCTCAAATAATTTCTCTTTTCATTCGTATTATTGTTCAATTGATGTCGATTACGATAATTATTAAAGAACGGATCGCACGAGGAGTGGGGGTTCACACAGAAAAGTGTCTCCTTCCAAGTCGTCCAAACACAGGTGATTAGCCACTTCCAATTATTTCTCGTGGTTCATTTTTTTTATTAAATACCTTGTACTTTATCTTTCCAATAGTCCGAAGAAAAGTGATAGGCACGACAAGCATAGGTCATCCCACTCATCGTCCTCAGGCAAAAAACGCTCCAGAGATGACAGTGGAGACCGTAGAAGCTCCAAAAAATCCAGGTAATTCTTCCTAATGAAATTTTATCACTTCAATCGGCTAATTACTATTTACTCTTTTGTTGATTCATTACAGAAAATAAACGACACGTACTGGAAACATAAATGCGGCGTGGAAAATTTTCTTACTCTAGACTTCATCAGGTGTATACATTTATTTCAATCAAATATCAATGACTACCCCCAAAAAAAATAATTGTCAACCGCGTAACAATCGATCAGTTGGATAATTTATTCTGTTCAATTACTTGTACAAAGTGAAAACCCTCGCCATCATTTTCTACCGTCACTTGTGACCAAGTAATTATTGTAAGCCGATTAAAAACAATAATTCATTCTCATGAACCTTTTACTTTAATTGTATCATCAATAAATTGAATAAGTTTTTCAAACCAATTCCAGTTCGATTCCTCTGGCCTATATTTTTTCCATTTTCAATCCATTTTTGATATTTAAAACCCCGGGAATTGAATACTATCGACAAAGATCCGAGATCATTGTTTTTAGTCCCACAATTACGAACTAAAAATTACGTATGAACCGAGGAGGAAGTGAAAGTCACCGAGTGTTAAACTTTCTCCGACTCATCGTGCTCCAGGGCCGGATAATATATTTTATAAACGACTCGAGTGCAAAAAAACACATCAGTGTTTTCACTTATCACTGATGATTAAATACTCGTCCCCATTTTAAACCGGTGAAAGTGAGCGCATTAACGGTTTCGACAGTTGCCTCATAAACCCCTAGGCTGGTGAATAATAAAACTGACAATTATAAAAACATATTATCATATTTATTTAAAAAATAGATCTATTGGCAAAAAGAGACAATTGACAATTCGTCATCTAGATGAATCACTTCATCGTCGTCACTAATTAATTGATTATCATCTGTGTGAATTAATTGCGGCCAATCTGATCGATTTGCCCCTGGAGATTGTTGACAACCTCTGGAGGTACGTGATCTCCGAGAATCTCGAAGAGATTTATCCTCTGATCACCGGGGATGGACTCATAGGCCGCCAGTTCAATTCCCTCTTGGACTTTCTGAATTGTGGCATCCTTGGGGATGAGGTAAGTGTTCTGCGCCTGTCTTATCGCTTCACTGCTGAAGATCTGTCCGTCCTTTTGCTGGGGAAATGCAGATACTGCGGCTAACAGCAGTGTAGCAATTGCCAAAGTCAAAGTCTTCATCTGGAAAAGGAAAGAATAAAATAATAAAGTATATGAGTGAAAATAAAAGTCCTGGAACAATTTCTTCGATGAAAATTCATGTGAAATTTCTTCAGAAAACTCCAGTGATCATTTAAAATCATTTATTTCAATTAGAAAGAATGATGAAATTACTTACGGCTGTGATGATGCTGTCTATTGCGTCGGAAAAATAAGACTAAATAATCCAACGTTACCTGATGTCTTATATATACTCAAGGAGAGGGAGAAATTAAGAGGTGGACACGTGGAGATCCTCTTACTCGCGAGTTCCCCCAATTTCACCCTTCCCTCTCCCTCCTGCATGGAAAAGGAGCGGAGGGACGACCCCAATAATTACTATTCCTAACGCAATGTATTACAGGGGAAAAAAAAATTAAAAAGTGACAAATGTCTTCCACAAGAAGAAAAAGTTGATCGTCAAAAGTGGAATTTCTTGCACAAAGACATTATTTCACTCAGTTTCCAATTTTTTTTTGTTATAAAATGATTTATTTGTTTTTCTTTTGCTTTTCTTTTTGTTTATGATAGTCAAAAGTACAAATTAAACTCGACTAGACAGCTACCGGATCTCACACCAATTAATACGTCCATTTGTATTCCTTAATTTCTATTCATCGCGTTTAAATATATCAAACAGCGAATGAATTTTGAATTTTTTCACGTCCGGACGAATAAAAAAATAAATTTGACATGAGTGCGTTGTGACTATCATTACGTATAAAAATTTGGAAAAATTTAGATTTAATTGTAGCTCTGGACGATCATTGGCATCAGTCACCAATGAATTTCTGGCACATATTTTTAATTGGTAAAATACTAGTCTTATTATCTACGCTATTTACACAAATTAATCATTAAAATTCTTCCTCACCCCTCTGTTGTATAAATAATTTCCAATTAATCATCGAAATTTTTTACGAAAAAGTAGACATGCAGAAATTACTGTAAATTACGACTATGGTGGGATTTCTTCCTATTTCCATTAATATTAATAAAAAATAGTTGATAAATTGAAAAAAAAAAATCGACCATACCAAGAGCTATCACACGTCCAGGGAAAACGATTCACTGAATTCTTCTACAACCGTTATAATAGATACAATCGTTGGAGACTCATAAAAATGTGAGTTATTGTCACTTTAAAAAAACTATATATGTTTAATTTCATATATATTTAAATGATAGTAAATCAGCACTAAAGTGGTAAAAAAATTAATATGTCAATAGACAGGACTGAATTTTCAGCAATTACCACTTGCCCACTGAATTAGATATATGTGGTTTGACTTTATCTGGAAAATTCCAACAGTGGCTTGGCTATACCCTCGGTGTACGCTTTGTGCACAGCTTCACATACGAATTTGTACTGACTAGCATTTTGAATCATCATAGCCCTCTGATCCCTCATAGCCCTGACAATATCGAGTGGATAAACCGGTTGATTAGCCTCGATAAGACACAGAGCAGTCTCCATGAGTACAAGCACACCAGTTCTACCAATGCCAGCACTGCAGTGAACAACAGCTGGCTCGACGATACCTGTTCTTGCGGCCCTCACCCTCTCGGTGAAGCCCGTGAACTGCCTCCAATCACCAGGAACACCATGATCAGGCCACCCCCAGTACTGCATATGAGTGATGTCCCTCTCCTCGCCAGTGCTCACATCCCTCAGGACAAACTCCCTGAATACAAAAAAGTCGTCCGTCTTCTCGGACGTCGTAGTCAGCGTCAGATTCCTCAGGGTCAGAGGTTCATTAACATTGGGCCAGTACTGGTGGCACTTGGTTCGCCCTCTCTCGACAAGCGTCGTCAGCATGACAACAAGAGTGCTCCCAGCCTCGAGAACCATCTGCCAAAAATCAGCGAGAGTTGATGACAGCGGCCCCTGCGTTGCAATGTACCTGTTGATAATCCCAGAGCCAGGAATTTCCATGTTCACGTAGTTGGCGTTGATGTAATCCCCGTTAATCGAGCCCATTAGGATTACCCTTGTCACATCGTACGGTGAAATATCCCTGTACCTGTTCTTATTCTGATTTTCCGTTTTCTTCGACTCGAGTGACGTCAACTCGGGATTTTTCCTGTAGAGCTGTTCGTATTGTGCGATGAGAGCTCCACTGGCGAGACCATCAGCGAGGAGTAACATCGATTGGGCCAGGGCGTCTGAGCCAACTGTTGCCTGTGGAGCGTCCGGTACGTACCTGTACGGCGGCTCTTCCTCTGATGGCTCATCTGTACCCGCCAGGGCGTTGTACAGGGCATTAGGACGCACTGTCAGGCTCAATTCACCGTTACCAGTATCTCGACACTGACGAATCAGATTCACAACGTGCTCGTGCAGCATTCCAGAGACGTCCATACCATTTATGTAAACCACTTGGTCTCCTTCATTCAATTTTGGATAGCACCGATCAGCTGGTGTGTTGGGAGCCACTCTAGAGACTAAAATGGCCATGTCAAGGTCCAAACCGCCTTTCACATTAAAACCAAAGCGTCCTTGTTCGTCTGGAGTGAGACAAATTGTCACCAAACCGTCATCAGGTGCCTACAGAAAACCCAATCGTTAATACAGTCCTTCATCTTATTTTCTCAACCCACGAGCTGTCACTCGGCGAATGAATATAAAATATGAATAATCAATGAAATAGAATAATTAAATACCGGCGCTGGAGCTGGGGAACTGGTGGGTTCGCTGTAGTCCGGAAGATCGTAGATATTTCTCTCAACAGCAGTATCATCATCCACATAGCTGAGAATCCTCGAACCCAGGACAGGGGAGAACGCTCCTCCCTGGGTATGCGCCCCATTCATCTCTTCTCTGAGGGACAAAAAACCACCCTCACTGTGTGAAACCAAAAAAAAAAACATGCAACATAGAGACAAACAAACGACAAAGGAGAGGGATTAAAAAAAGAGTTGATGAATAACTTACTCATCGCTGGGGTTGCCCTCGCCCCAGGCCTGTCGAGGTTCCCTGGAGCCCAGTGACTGCACCTTGTTGTCGTAGGGTCTTGGAGGGCGTCCAGGTGCCACTGCCACTTTGCCCTTCTCCTCGGGCACCGGTGCCTGAACCCCGTGCACCAAACGTTTACTGGGGGATCTGATAAATGTCCTCTCCACTCTCGCCCTGTACTTGCCATCCTCGACAGTCTGGTACTCAGTTCTCCCGGAGTACGTGAATCTACTGCTGAGGGTCAGAGGGAACCTCCTGGGCCTCATCTTCGGGCTGTGAAGTCTGAAGAACGTGTGATGCTCCACACACGCCTTCCACAGATTTTTCGAGCTTCTGTATGTCTGCATGTTAAAGCCTAAGAGGGTGTCATAACTCTCCGATTGCTCTCTCCTCAATTGAATGAAAAATTGTTTTCGCTTGAACGATATTTTAACTATCTTAGACCAGGAGAAAATATTTATTCTCGTGTTGTTTTGAAATACTACGAGACCTATGGAGGTGACACCCAACTGGATCTCCTTGTTCGTTGAGTCCTAGATGACATGGAGAAGTAGAAAAAATTATTAATGAGATATATTCATAAAATGTGAAAATTACAGCTTTTTAAAATAAATTGAAATTGAATAATTTTCTCTCACAGACGAACGACAATTAACGTGCATACCCTTGCCTTGTGTAACTCCACTCCGTACATATCCAGACGTTTTGCGTGATCGAGAAAATTGAATTCAGCATCAGCTGGAAGTTGCCCCCTGAAGAGTGAAAAAAATTTAATGTGAATAACGAGTGCATTAAATTGATTTTCACCAAGCCCATTTGTACGCACTTGTGGAGCTTGTGAAGTTCACAGATCTTTCTCTCCATTTCCTCAGTCTGACCAGGGATAAGCTGAAGTCTGGACAGATATCCCGGCCCGTGCTCCTCAGGATGATAATCCCCCAGCTCCGATTGAACCGTATAACTGGCAATCAGACAGGCTGTGCTCACTGGCAGCTGGAGCTTCCCCTGCAATATATCCCTCCTTATTTGGAGGTAAAACTGATACCTAGTGTACTCCTCCTGGAGTTTACTGGGATCCGATACATAGAACTTCACCCTGAAGAAGAACTGACCACCTGGAGAAAGTGACAATTATTATGAGTCCCCTATTTCGCTGGCCAATTCAATTTCCATGGGTTAATAAAGAATGATCTTTACCCTTACTTCTTATCTGCTTTTTCACGGGTTTCGAAGGGTCCAACCATCGCTGCAATTGATTAAAAAAAATAAACAGGGGGATAAAATAGAAAAATAATAATGAATAGATCGATCAACTCACCATAACGTCCGGTGAATTTGAGGAGTTGCTAGGATTCTCGGTGTACTGCAGTCCAAAGTAGTCTTTCTCAATGAGCTCCAGGTGGTGGAAGACAAGGTCAAGGAGTGCCTGGCCCTTGGCTCTCTTGTCGAGCTGGAAAGTGTGCTGGGTGTCATCGAGAAAGACAACAGTGGCTGATAGGGATTTGAGTCTTCTGTCTCGCGCCAGTTCGGCTCCTCGAACGTGGTAGCTCCCACTGGAGCCACTCAGCGCTCGTCTAGACACACTCTCGATCATATCAATCAGATGACGCTGAGTCAACCACCTCCGTGGCACCGACGCCCATCCCCATCCATAACCTTTTGTATGCAATTAATTAATTTACCAATTATTTATTTTCATTTTGTACAACTTCAATCTTCAAAATTACTCTCCATCACTTTCTCATTGAGAGAAATGACGAAAATTCATTGGAGATTCAAGAAAATCTTCGGTTATCAATCGAAACAAAATTTTTACAATTACTATCTATTATTATTATTATTACATTCCATTTCTCCTGAGTCTCAGCACTTCAACTCCATTACAACAATCGGAATTCACCGCACAATGACTATTTAATCATGTAATTAAACACGTTCGTTAAAGTGATGTTTTTTTGTCAATTGTTTTCACTCGGAGTGGACTGCATATTAATTTAACGTCAAGAGTCGTTGGGATTAATTAATCCAAGGGCCTCATACCGTTTAAATTGGAGTTTCCAATTGAATTAAATGTCGGTATGTTAATTATTTATGGTGAAACTATTGATTATGAATGAGACCCTCGGTGCACTGATTATTTAAGAATAGAGAATAATGATTTGGATGATAATGGCAATTTAACACCCCAGCAGTCACGTTCCAACCTCAATGACATTTCTGTAATGAGTAACACTATGATGAATATCAGTTAAAAATTGAAAATATTCCGTGAAAATTCAACTTTCCCCTGGCTTATATAATGGTAAATGTCCCAGGTATTTTGGCATTAGTCCGAGAATAATGTGGAACGGGAGATTCTCAAAATAGTTACGATTTTCCCCCCCGAATTCACATTTCACCCTAAACAAATCAAAATCAAGACTAGATCAGAGAAAGAAAAAATAGAATAAGATACTAGAAGGTGAGGTGAAAGGGGCCCTCAAATCGTCGATATCTCCTGGTTCCATGACACTGTTTGAATCAATCAGATCTCATTTTTATCTCCGAAAAACATTTCTTTATTGACCAAAAAATGCACTTCGATTCTGGTATGACCAGGAAAACGAGAATTAATAGAGGACGTTCTTACATCGCTGATAATTTTTGATTAAATTATTCTAAACTCTCTCTTAAAATAAGACAATGTCTCACGATGAGTGAAAAACATTCTTTACATGTTTATTTGTGAAAATTTTTTTACTCACATTCATAATCCGCTCTGGAGTAATTCCAAAAAAAAGGGACTACAGTCACCCCTCGAAAATCGTCAAAGCTCCTCACAACCGGAAAAAACCACCCAACAACATCATCAAATTGACCCCAATTGTGTCAATTAACAGAGCTCAGGGCGTTGAAAAAATTAATTCCTCAATAAAATTATCCACCTCCGGCGTCAAAAAAACATCCACGCTATCCTGGAAGCTTCATCCACCTCGAGCAATGTCTTCCACCCCCGTGAAAAAATTCAGCACTCACATTTCCATGACCCAATTGCCTCCTAAAGCAGGTGAAAGTTATTATGAGCAGCGATTCTCCGCTGGAAAAAAAAACCACGATGAACCACTAAATTAATTCCACGACAATCCAACAAGCACTCCAAAACGTTTGTTTCATTGCTCCCCCCACTCTCGAGTACCTCAACCACTTGCGGATCCGTCGAACAATAAAAAAAATTGATGAAAATCACTTGCCAGTAATTGCCTTTGAAGTCTCTGTCACTGGCACAAGAATCAAACTCTCCGACGGATTGATCAAACGTTTAATTGTTGGTGATCGAATAAAAAACAGGACAAATGCGATAAGGAGATGAAAACGAGATCACCATCCAATTACATCGTACGAGGGAGCGACGCCAGGGGGCAGGTGAGGGGGTACGGATGGCCAGTATTAAAAAATGTTTTTTATTCAAGAATTTAATTGCGTCATACGAGACTCTCGATGGGGTATTAACAATGTCAGCGTTAATTATTTGCGTTACTGACTTCACTGAATCAACCGTCACTGATTAAAATCATTAGACGTTTTCAAAAAAATCGCTCCCTGGTGGGACGGCGTCACGCCGATGCGCCGAGTCGATGCGCATCTGCGCACGCACTCCTCCTCACCCCCTGTCGGCGCTGATTCGTCGATCGTCAGTCTGCTCGCGGCGTGAGGGGAGAGAGCATCAGGAGAAAATTTCCGCGGTTATTTCAAAACATTCTTCCGACCTAATATTTAATAATAATAATAATGAAGCAATAATTACGTAATCATAACAATTAAATCATCATTACTCATAAGACTAGATCGGAGAAAGATCTCGTCTTCTGGAGATAGTCAGCAATTAACCAAATAACATTTTTACCCGTTAATGAATTTTTATTTATCTCAAGGATAATGTGAGAAATTTTTTTGTTACCAAAAAAAAAGTTTTCATTTTATGTCAAAAGTTTATTTCGCTAACAAATTCACGTGCTCTGAATACCCACGAGCCACGAGTGCCGGGAATAATGAAACAAGTGTCGTGTACTTTGTAAATCCAACTTTAATTTTCTCCTTCTCTCTCTGACAAGTGGAGACGGAAATATCTACAAACCAGTACAATCCTCCAATGGTATTGGTCGACGGGCGGAAATGATCCAATGATAATTAGCCACCGTTAGTACAGTCAGCAGTCATGCAGTGACAATTTGAGGTAACACTCATTACAGTTTACCTTCCCATCAGATATTCGTTCAAAATTTTGCCTTAAAGAAGGCCATTTTGCCGATAAATTACGGCGAAATAATCGACTCCAGCCGTCTGGTTACAACGATAACTCACCAAGAACACACACAAAGTTATAAAACAGTTATTGACGGTACAGTGTAAATGTGTGATTGTAGTCTGTCATTAATGTTGTGACGTGTATAAATATTTTCCATGATTTTTGGAGATAATTGAGGGTAAACAGTAGCATTAGAAGCTGAAATTCATCAGGAGATATAGGTAACTATTTTCAGAACGTTTTTTATTTCACCATTTTTTCAACAAAAAAAAATACAGGTTAACTCGTCCAACGGTTTTCTCATTGCCTCGAGTAATTTATATTTCATGTGACTGATAAGAGGTGCTATAAATGAGGATTGATGCGATCATGGATTTTTAACCTCTACGTTAATCTCGACTTTCTAGATATATTATTTGGATCTCGTGATGATAATGTTTACGTCTGGCAATTTCAGGAAGTAAAATGATGCAAGATGAGGATCTGGGAGGTCCCGCTAGGAAAAATGTTTTTTTCCAGGGTGCCACAAGGCTGTCACAGGTGGGAATTCCAGTCTGTTTTATTGAACCGATGATTATTGAGTGGTTGTGATTAGTTAATATAAATATTCAATTCATTTCTAGATGTATCAGAGTTACCTAGATCTATGGACACCTCACGTCGTATCCAGATGGTTATTCGGGGTTGCACTTTTAGTTATATTTTTATTACGTATCTTCATCTCACAGGTAATTTACCCCATCAAGAGTCAATTACTTTGTGGAATTTGTTGTGTTAATTTGTTGTTTGTTCCAGGGATGGTACATTATCATATATGGGCTGGGGATTTATCACCTGAATTTGTTCATAGCATTCCTCACTCCCAGGAGCGATCCAGCTATGGATTTCGATGGTAATTTCGTGGATGGAATTATTTGTGAATGGGTCGTTTCAGTTCTTGCTTCATCTCTTGGAAATTTCAGAAAATTGAAGAGATGAGTGATAGAATAAAACGATACATCACAATCCTCACTCCGTCATTTTTCAAAGTTAATTGAATATTGCTATGCAAAAAAAAAATAGTGTCGTATTTTTTAGATGCCGACGGTCCGGAACTCCCCACCAGGTCGAACGAGGAATTTCGGCCGTTCATAAGACGACTACCAGAATTTAAATTCTGGTATTCATTTTCAAAATCAACAGTAATTGCTCTTGTGTGCACTATGTTTGATTGCCTGAATATTCCAGTGTTTTGGCCGATTCTCGTCATGTACTTCATTACACTGTTTTGTATTACGATGAAACGTCAGATTAAGGTAATATTGCAGTCAGGAATAATTTCCAAGAGTTGTCGATTAAAAATCGGACAGAAGAATAATTTATAAATTTTTATTTGCAGCATATGATTAAGTACAGATATTTGCCATTCACCCATGGCAAACCCAGGTACCAAAACCACGACGACACGTCGAGATTAACGTCAGCAAATCATTAATTATTAATGTGGCTAATTAATTAAAAGGGATGATAACAATTGGAAGAATAAAATGAAAGAAACCAAGATTGTATGTTTGATTGAAAGTGTATAAATGTGCAATGTTGATTGATTAATTATTTAAACAGAACAATTGAGACAATTTTTTTGTCAAAATACAAAAGCATGAGCTGATGAACATAATTGTTCGAGTGAGTTTAGACTATTATTATTAAAATTCCTAGGTATTGGATTTTTACTCTTTCCACTTCTTGGGGAAAAAAGTATTCGTCTTTGAGATTCTTCACTCGTTTAATCGTTTTTCTCTGTACATCGACAAAGACTATTTCTTAATAGAATTTTCCTCCCTCATTTATAGTCTCTATTTATTCTATCAACATTTAAACGTCAGGTACAGGCATTCGGGAGGTTCCGTACACTTTAAATTGCTTCCGCACTTCATTTAGCTCGTGATAATTATTACCGTTAATTGGTCAGTTCCTTTGTGACATCGAAATGATGGGAATAATAATCGCGTAAAAATCGTTTGTCAAATAAACGTAAATAATTGTACCTCTTCAGCAAAATTCAGGTGTGAGGTAGGATAATTAATGAAAGTTTAGGCATAAGTCCATTTAATTGAACAATCGTGTCTAAAATTTGATTGTAAAATCGGTGTGAAAAAATATGCCTGAGATTATTAGTAACGATTCGTTCGACTGGAGTTTTCTCCACCATTTCACTCCTTTTCTACTCATTAACCGTCTCGGAAATGACCCTCGATCGATTGAGAATAGCTGTCGAGTTGACAAGAGTGTCATTGTCGTTGTCTCACTCACAGTCGATTCCCTCTTGGGGTATGGGTTTGCTGGCCGACAGATCCTGGAATTTTAGCAGATAAACTTGTCATTGACGCGGTAATAACGACATTCCTCTCCCGATATTGCCAATAAAAATACGCAATACGGAAACTAATTACCTCATGCTCTCGGTTCGAGAACGGGGAGACCAATTCTTGTACTTGCGGTCCACACCGAGATTTCTAGCTGCACTCCAGCGAGAAAAGTGATGACGTACTGTATTCTGGACTTCCGAGTTGAGAAAACAGTAGAATAGTGCCACCCAGAGTCCCTAAAAATGTTTATCCATCCCGCCATTTATTAAAAAAAATCGATTCTCGAAATGATTAAATAATTCATTATAAATCTCCAAAGATACCTGTGAAGATAACAATATAGCTCGTGCATATGCAAAAACATGTGCCATGGGCCCCTCCGTGGGTCCAGCCAGCACCAGAATATACGTCACACCTAGTAATGGTATCAGGACAAGGAGAGCTTTCGTTGCCTTTCGATACTGCTGAGTCTCCGCTGAATTAGCTGACCTCAGCTTCGTGATCAACACCCACATGATCATGAAGAGAAAAATAACATTGATCCCCAGGACAATAATGGCAGGTACCTGGTAGATAAGGTCCAAAACATGACTGGCCATCCATGGGCAGTGTCTGTTCAGCACTAGGTTCTGCCAAAAATATTGCCAACAACAACTTCGATAATTAATAAAGCCTTTATCAAATAAATATCGGGGGAAGGCAATGGCAATGCAGGACAATATATTCAGTTAATTAGTCAGTAATTATTAAAATTATTACCTGAGTGCTGTTATCTCCATTCATCACCAGAGATTTAGCTATTCCCCACAGCATCACCACCACCAGAGGAACACCTGTTCAAAAATATTTGACAGCTCATCATCATACACCTCATCTTTTTGCCATGATTTATTGACTCACCCCATCCTATAACCAGGCACATTCTCAGTTTAATGTTGTCCCCGGTGAAGGTTTTTACGACGAGCAGGTAGAGATAGAGGCCTGAGTCAAGGTTACAGTCTCATTAATCAAGGAAAATTCATTAAATTATGAGGTGATGTCCGTGAGGACGCGAGTGAATACGAGATATTATCGAATTTAATTCAAACACTCTAGGATATCGAATAAAATTGCATTAGCTCTTCCTCATAATTCCAGACAAACATATTGAAATAATTCACCGAGTTATTACGCCCTTGGTTAAATTAGTAGAGGTGGAAATAATGAATTACCCTCAACGAACATCCAGTATAAATTTGTCAGGTGGAAGTAGTGGAGGAGTGAGAAGAATATAGCGCACGTGGGTACATTCATTTGCATCGAGACCTAATGAAGAAGGAATAATTTATCAGTTTCTAATTGGATTTGGCACATGACGATGCAATATCGATTTTTTTTTATTTACCTGCATTACTGTCATTAGCATCCACACCAGATCGGCGAGCATATACGTAAACATGAGATTCGTGTGTATTGTATTCCTCAAGCATTTCAATTCCCTGAAAAATCAGACAAAGGGATTGATAAAAAATTTTTGTGTCCATGTGAATTTTCTGTCGCACTCCAAACAAAAATGGGTTTTATCTCCAATAGAGAGCGAATGATTCTGCCAGGAGTTGCCAACTTTTTTTTATCTTCTTAACTTTGTCAAGTTGTCAGAAAGTGCAGGAGTTTGATTTACTCCTGGAAGAAGTATCTTTTCCCTGTTGGAGTTGCTCCACCAATATTAGTCCACGATTTTCGGTAATTTTCTAGAGTTTAGACCTGTAATAGGCCCCTAAGTACTCACTCGAAGTACAAAAAAATAGCTACAGCAACAACAAGAGTTGACAATGACAGAGTGTATCCAATAAAGTACAGTGTCGTTGTTATCTCGACTCCAGACTCGATTAAATTCATCTTCAACTCCTGGCATTGTGAATAGTTTGTGTAGTTGTCCCAAGTGCCATTAGGCCAACACCATCTGCTCGCATTCTCTAAAAAATAGAAATAAATAAAACATTCTAATTGATTTCCAATAAATTTAAGTGTCATAACGACGATTTGATGAACGTCATCTCCAGAGACATTCAATGTCGTTCTGTTGTCTGGAAATAAATTTGGAAAAATCGGGATTCTGTCATTTTTTTCTGACAGATATCGAACATTATCTCGAGACTCGATTGGTTTGCACTCAGGGATGCGGTGATATTATGATATAAAATTATGTGGCGGATGGACAATGACAAAGTGAGAGGATTACGTTCTGGATGGGAGGAATGAGAAATTGAGACTGGTTGTTACCAAGGGAGAATGCATTCGAAACACATATGTATCCACTTGTGGGGGAGGGGGATGGGTGGACACTCAATAACACCTTCTCATCCAAATGTCTCTCTTGTTCAATCGATAATCCAATCGTACTTGGCCTCTCTGTACGTGTTTTGCCTCAATAAATATCTGGAGCTACGAAAATATATCGAGAATCATTAGTTATTCTGTTAATTTTTCATTATTCTGCCCTAGGAATCAGATTTGCCGATCGCTCTTCACGGATCATGATGGACCACTTCATTCTTCCTGTGGAAAATTCAGGATTGCCGATTTTTCGACTCTCGATTTTCGGTGATAACGGGTCTTCGTGATCGGTAATTTATTTTAAATAAGGCGATAGCGAATTCGATCAACTGAACGACTCGATCTCTCGATCTATTCACCCGAAGACACGTTTGAAATTAATAGTCATTCCTCTAATCGAGTTCAACTCAATTCTTCAGGAAAATTCGTTACCATAATTACCGATTTTCTGTTTTCTCTCGGATTGGCTTGAGTTTGGAGAAGGTCAGGGGTGGAAAATCACCCCATTTTATCGCCTGGAGCATCTGCTGCTGAGAAGAAATTAAGATGAAGTTCCTAGACTCGAAACTTATTCATCTTTTTATCCCTCAATATTTAGCGTGAGGAAGTAATTGCAAGGAAAACTTTTTATTTCACCAAAATTGACAGCTACACAATTTGTCGAGATCAATTTCGATTCTCTCGCTCTGGAGTCGAAGTTGTCGCAAGAGATAATCTCAATATTGATCAGTCAATAGGCGGGATATGGACTGAATTTTCAATCACCTAATTTAATTTAATATCACATTTGTAATATTCGGGGGAAATTGTTTGAGCTGTGGCACAAAGAAAATAATATCAAAATACCGGAGGGCCGGTAATTGAAAGTCTGAGTGACAGCCCACGGATTGAATTCTCTCCTTTTTCCCCTCTAGTTGTTTAAATGAAAAATAGCGTTTGCAAAAATGTGTCGCGAGTACCGCACATGCATGTGCGAAAAATTCACCGGTTTTTCCCTTTGTGAATAATTCAAATAAATAATCTCGGGGTAATTGAATATTTTTTACACAAACCCTGAATAGATCCAGACCATTTGGATTGATTAGTCGTTCCATCGGGACAAAATCTCGGGTTCTCTCGCTGAAAGTAAACCGAGTTAACTTATTTCATTGTACGGTATAAACTAATTACTCTTGGGGGGAGGAGACACTCATCGTTCCCATCATCGCAGAATATTGAGAGCTTTTTTCTCGCTAATTTAATTACCGACCCGATGAAAGTTTGTGGCATTATTCCGAAAATACGGGGATATAATGGTTTTTGGATTTTCAATTCTCCGAATTTTTTAAACGTTTTAAAATCAGTCGAATATTCGCGGAATCGATGGTTATAAAAAATTCATTTTGAATAGTTTAATAAAAAAATCAATTCCGGAGACAATTCAATTTTTGCTGGAGTTTCTTTTCGTGATTTTGTTGCTGACCCTTTTCTGGAGCACTCGATGTTTCAAACTACTGGCTTGGATAATTAATTAACGAAGGGACGAAATCACAGAGTAGTCAGGCAAATTAATAGCAATTACGGCTGTTCGTGCAGTTTACGTTGCACTCGTGTACCCACACGTGCCTTCTCAGACCGAATGACTGGCCAATCGATCAAATATGTTCGAATATTAATCGAACTGATAATCAAGACAATTGGAGTTCACCATCCCCGTGATTTACCGTGATTCCCCCATACTTATCAAATTACTTCCAAAAATTACAATTATTATTATTATTATTACACCATATATTGTTGCAATCATTATAAATTATTTTATTTTAATTATAAATGATTATTATATTAATTATTATTATGTTCTATGAAATTTCATGGCTGTGGAAAATTTTTTACGATCTCAGAAAAAGATTTATGAAAATAAACCCACGACTGTAAAAAATTGTGGGAAAATTGAAAAAGTCATTCCGGCAGAAGATCTGTAATGTAATCGGACAATCGATTAAAACCTTTGTTTCAGTAATTCCATTAACTTCCCCCCGTCAATTGACGACACTAATTACCGGACATTACACGTGGTAATGTCCAACTCGAACCTTTCGAGAATTGAGTCAACAGTGGACTTTCCCTCAGGATGAAAACACCCCTGTTATGAGGGCTGTAAAGTCACAAAATTGCCCGCTAAGACCTCCGTAAACGTAAGGATAAACTCGTTAAAGGATTTTCCTTTTACTCCAGTCTTTCTTCCACCGAATTACGTAATTACAATCGACGAGGGGTGAATTTTAGGTACCTATATTTAGATCGGCTGGAGCCCATCCCTTTTTTGGTAATCAGTAGTCATTATATCATGTCGCAATGTTTGCTTACCCCTTTTGGGTAATTACAGTGTGAATGAGGAGGGAAATGTAATATTGCGGCCTCCAGTGGTTATTTTTATTCTTGTAATGATTTTTAATCTAATAAATTTCTGTTGAATGGTACACCAGGATAAGCACTTTTTTTCGAGGCCAGTTTTCAGCCGATATCTCGGAATTGAAGGGAGATAACGATATTTTCATAAGGATCTTTTTTGCAGCTGTCATTTTTCTGAAAAAAACATGTCTTTACAAAAAAATCGGTACACACCTCCAATTCCGAGATATCGTCGAAAAAAGCCGCGAAAAAATGGAGTTGTTTTAATTTACCATTTCACTATGGATTTGACTTGTTCATTTGTTTGCAATTATTTATTTGTGATAATTTCGAAGGTCTTGCGGTATTGGCGATAATTTTGAGATTCAATTTCTCTCGGTATTCTCTCCTCACGGGGATTTGAGACGAGTATCTCAGGAGACAATTTAAAAAGGATCTCACTGTCGCAGAAATTCAACTGATTCGCATGTGAATCCCCACGAAGAGAAATTATTTCTCCCCCAGTTATTTCAGAAGGGTGGAATTTTTCACTAGATGAGGAGCTTTTTATTTCGACATCAGAACATGATGGAGGCAAATGGATCTACCGTCTTTCATTCGAAACCCGAAATCCACGCCGATCGATAAATCCACGAAATAACTCCCGAAACCCACAAAAAAATTTTCAAAATGTTACCAAAAATTCTTGAAGATAATGATTCATCAAATTCCAGACTTTCCATAAATATTCCGCTTTATCTACAAAAAATTACGCAATTTTTCACATTATTTTCGTGTCAAAACCAAAAATCCACTAGACATTTCAAACTTGTCTCTTCTATTTCCACAGAAATTCATCAAAAATAATTCTCGCTTTCGTTTTATGTTTTCCATATCTTCACTACTTGATATATTTAACATATTTCCTCTTCAAACATCTCACACTGACATCCCAGAATGAATTCACCCTGAAAACTGAAAATATTCCCTTTTATTCCCGCGGTGATAATTCACCCGACACTCACCTCCCCGAGACCGCAACCCTGAGATAATCCTGAGAAACTCATGATTTTTTGTTATCCGACATCACGACCTTCCCCCAGATTATTTATCCACGACTCCCCCAGGAAAGGACGAGCGATAACGAATTTTATTCATTGAATCCGAAAAGATCATTTTCCAGAATCTCCAATAAAAAAGCGATACGACCCGACGAACACGCGTCTTCAATGAAATCCCCAGGTGTCCCCGCTTTATCCAATAAACAATAATATTTATTTAAACTCACGTGAGGTATCATACTGCACCCCATGGAGCTGGTGGAAGCAGGACTGATGTACGAGAGTTCCAGGAGATGAGGATGGCCAGCAGAGGAGGGAATCCCAGTCGACCTGACAGTTACTCTCATCAGCATGAGAGTCTTTAGCTTGGAAGCACTCCAACGCCTTCATCAAGAGCGAATCGTTGAGATCGTTTATGTGACTCAATGCATTGATAATGTAGTTATCATCGATCTGGACACTCTCGTTGGTCGAGCTCCTGGCCATTACTCTACTCAATATTTTTAATCAACTGATTGGTTGATCGATGGAGAGATGCTGTTATCGCGAGTGCAGGGACACGACTGCCTCGGTGCCGGTATGAAGCTTTTATTTTCCTCCTGATGTCACTATCCTTGCGCCGTCTCAATATATCCCGCCTCACTAGTTTTTTTAGATCCTCGTTAAGGATTTTATTTCTTGCCTGACACTTGTCTTTTGTCACTGGGGAGGTGTCCTTGGGGATGAGATTTTTTGTCAGATTGATAATTCACGGGCAATCCCAGAATCAATTCGAATCGTTCGGATTTTTTTGTTTGAGTCTTTTGAAAATATTTGAGTGACTACTTTTTCGTATTTATTGCCCTTTTTTAATGCTCGGATTTTTAGTGGCTCTGATACTTAAAGATTGAGTGGATGTGTTGGGGGAATTTGTAGGGAATTGCTTTTTTATGGATGGGAATTTTTATAGATTGATCTGGTTATTCGGTTTGATCGGGAAAGGATCGGATGGTGTTATTGAATTCTCAAGTTATCGATGGAATAATTTCGATCGTAAAAAATGAAAATTTTAAATTGCAATTCCATTTTCAATGAATAACGCCTGCAAAAATAAATGAATTGTTTAACAAATTGGATATTAAAGCAAAAAGGGAAATGGAAATGTTGTCAGTGAAATAATTTTGGTGAGAGGAATTTGCGATTTGTGGAGTAGATTGCACGTGGCAGATGCTATCCAAAGGATTCAACTTTTTCCGCATGTTAACCCTGGGGTATTAATCCCTGAAGAACCGCCACTGGTTTATAAAACAGTAAATATTGGATTTCGAATCCATTCTCTTTTCGAGCTTATCGTCTCGCTCTTCTTTACTCTCCCTTCGGAGCTTTCCATCATCAGTCTCGTTGCTCACCTATCCGATTAAGACGTCGATACTCGATCAATCAATTTTTATTCCAACGAGTTTAAAAACTATCCGCAATTTATTATTTATTAAAAATTCTACTCTTCGTTATGTTAACTAGAAATTTATGGAATTGTTCTGTAAATGAAAATTATGATGTGATAATAAATTATTCGCTCCCACAGGAATTCATTAATTGTTCTAGAATTTTTGTTTATAAAATCATTTCCTCGCTAATTATTGTAATTTCGTATAAAAACATTATTAATAATAATAATACTCGTGGAATTAATAATAAAAGTGGATTTTTTCTCCCGATTTCGGTTTTTCCTTTTAATTTTCCCTCGATTTTTCTCAGAGGAGGAATTTTCACCTCATGTTTATTAATTAATAATCCAATTAATTAATTTTATGAAAAGAGAAAGGAGAGGTACATTCATGAGATTTTTCTGAGACTTTGGAAAAAGTGGAGGAATTATTTTCCTCCGGGAGTAAAATTTATTTTCTCTCACTGGAACTTCACACATTATTTCCAATACTTGGTGCACGTAATTGAGGCTCATCAGAATGTGAATTTGACCGGTGATAACGGAGATGTGTCTAATTGCGATTTACCGTAATGAGAAAAATTGTAGGTCCGTTATCTGTAATTTATTTCTCTTGATTTTTCCCTGTGGATGTCAATGAGAAAAAAATAGATAGACTTGATAAATCACTTTGATTTCACTGCACATTTTAAAACTGAAACAGAAATACGATTTTCTCGGAGACAAAAATGCCGGAGAGACTGTCTCGTTGAAAACAAGATTTCACAGTTTAACATTACCATTGGATGTTAATGCCAATGTTAATACAACTTATCTACACTAAATATTTGTCTTCTTAACGTTCCTATCTACCATGAAGCGTTCATTAAGGCCAAGGAATTTTAAGGAATAAAAATGAATAATAACACAACGGGAAATTTAACAACAATGACTTTATTGTTATATCTCTTCACTTCCATCACACAATTTTTTTGCACTTTTTGTTCACTTTTATTTCGAAAGAATAAAATTTTACATTAAGGGATTAATCACGCGCTAGACAAATCAACATGAGTCAACGATTTCCACAAAAATCCATGAATTAAAGTGGCTTCAATGGTTTTTCCGGAAAAAATTTTTTAATTCAGGGATTTTTGGGTTTTATGGTTTAGAGTAATAACTATTACGTGCGTATACTTTACATATACATAAACAATTTCAACGTCGATTCATATTATCAATTAATTCATCTCTCAATGGTAGACTAACAAAAATATGACTTTTTTATATTAAATATATATTTATATTATTCATATTTTCACGTAGAATATTTAACGACGTAAAATAGTTTTAGTTTATTTTTCTTGATCACTTCCATTTACAATTATCGTACATATTACAACAATACAAACGGTCAATATGTGTTCATTAATTTTGAATATTTATTCAATTAATTTATCTTCTAGTCCAGAGCGTTGAGCCAGTCTGGAGTCATTTGTCGGAGTGCAATCATTCGATTCAATTGAAAAATATTGGTATTGAAAAATTTTTTAAATATTCGAAAAAAGGCGGGTCCATGGAAATAATTGTCAAATAAATTTTGCCACAAAGTCAATAATCGATGAAATACACATTAAAATTCAATATTTTCGTGTTAACATATTTTTTTAAATTATCCTCAGGTAATCGTATTAAACAATTATTTGCGAGATTAATCTAACTTATTTCTGTATCGCCGAAGATCTGGGAATTTACTGACTCAGTGTTTCAATTTTTTTGATAAAGTACATTATCGAGTGCTCGAAGGAATGTATAAAAAATAAACTGCCAATAATTTGGGCTTCGGATTGCCGATAAATCCCTACGAGAGATTTCTCCAGTGATTCAATGTTTGTAAAAACATTCTCTCGAGAACTCTCAAGTATTTCCCGAAGCCCGGAAAATAAAAATTAAACGGCAGATTGAAAACATCATTTCTACTGCGAACTGGTAAACTAGAAACATTGTACCTTTCCGAAGACCAGTTTTTACCCAATACCTCGAGATTGAATGAAGATAATGATATTTTCATAGACACCTTTTTTCCAGATCTCATCTTTTTCTTTAAAAAATGTTTATGCAAAAAACGCGCTATTTTCCCTCAATTCCGAGATATCAGCTAAAAATTGATGTCAAAAAAATTCACTCAGTTTACTAATCCGCTTTTTTTACTAATCCGCGAGATTCCTCAGGAATATTTATAAAATTCGAAAAAAATGTAGATATTTCAACGATTTTCCGACTGCCGTGACTCGAAGAATGAGCGGCAGCGGGCGAAACGTCAGAGTTTTTCAGGTGCTGGTGATTTTGTTGGTGGAGCTGATCTAGGTGCCCCATGGGGTCCAACACTCGTACTCCTCTCGAGTGTCTCCGGTTTACCACCAAAAATCGGTTGGGAGATGGCACGTTTCGTTGTTCTAAAAGAACTGCAATTGAATTAACATTCCACTCGATTAATCACCCAATCCTATTAATCATCTTGTCATGAAAAAAAAATCATGAAAAACATGAGTTCTAGACATGAAACTGTTAATTTTATGAAGATGAGAATATTCCAGGGAATTTCCCTTGGAAAATGTGAGGCATGGACAGAAGCAGTGGTGCATCATTATTTATCGCTGTTCTCCGTCGTAAATATTATCAACAGCTCTCATAAAAAACAACAAACACAAAGCATGACACAAATGCCATTCAAGGTACTGAAGTGTCGCTGGATTAATCCGCAAATGATTTCTTGAAACAGAAATTGTTTAATTTAATTGAGCGAGACCTTCCAATTGCGTGGAATAATTCAATAAATTCATCTGTAAATTGCCCAGAATAAATAATTCAGGATTATATTTCTCGTAATAATGTAGTGATTCATTCGATCCGAATAATATTCAATTAGGCAGCCATTTTAATTCCATTCAATTGGTGGTAATTAGTTAAAGCAGAGAAACGCCGAAAGCGCAAGCTGAAACGGTTCGACTTTCTCGTATCGAGGGTATCAATCATTTTTTTTATTCAATTAACAATTGCTGTGAACAATTGATATGGATAATTGATATTTTTGGTGTAAGACACTGTCGGGATGTCCACAATGAATTAATCTGCACTGGCTGCGCAGTTCTGAGTTGATAGTGACTATTTTAATAGTTTCATTCACATCTATGTGCTGATCGTGCATTATAAACAATAGGGCATTTATTGGAGAAACGTTTAATATTTATTTATCGTGCACAGCTAGCAGCCTAGGAATTTCTCCATATCTTGTGATTTCGAAAGCTCAGTAATATTTATTTCATTCGTTGAGACATGATTTCGAATTTACATTCCCCTAGACACTGAAATAACAATTAAAACATCTAGGAATCCTAAACTGCTTTAAGAAGATCCAAATTTATTCTCTTTTTAAATAAATTGAGCTGTCCCTGTGCAGAATAAATTGCGAGTGAAATATTGATTGAAAATAGTTATGGAAAAAAATAGAGAGGCATGACATTAAAATGGATCTCCTTAATGGAAAGGAACAAATAATTTCCACATTTCTTTCCAATTGTTGCAACGCGATGATTTACCTGTCAATCGAAATTAATCGATGGTTTTTAAATCGATATTTTTGTTCTATCTCAAATTTGTGATAAGACGAGGTTCATCAGGAAGCGAATGATTGATAATATTAAACAGTCTCGCCAACAGCCGTTTACGATTATTAATTAAATCGATACGCAAGACTCCGACATATCCTCATAGCAGGTACCTGTAATTAAATAATTGTTTTTCTTTTTCTATGTACATAACAAGCTGTTCAACATACCTTCAACTAATTCAGGAGTTGGACATTTTATTGGAATTGTTTCATTTTTTATAGATCACATTGCGGGACACCTACCATTTTCACTTCTACTTCTTCTATTATTTATTTATTTCTCTAGAAGAAACGGGTGTTCAGGCTTGTGTTGTGGTCGTGGGAGACGGATCATCCGAGTTCCATTAATTTCTTGAACTTCATCCATCTGGATTTATCAATCTATTTCGCTGATCATACCCTTCTAGAAAATCCAGTGTAACATTTTTTGAAACATCTATTCCACGAATGAATTCTATTATTTATTTTTACACGCAATTATTCTAGTATAGTCATAAAATTACTGATCAATGAATATATCATCTCTATTCAATTTAATTATGACTCAAATAATTTCTTCAATCTCCTGAATTAATTCATGGAATGAAAATTATGAAAAAATTTACATCGAGTTTTCTGAAAGAAGAGGACCTTTTGTTCAGATAATTAATATGAAATAAATAGAGTGATATCTGGCCTGCGTTGCGAGTGAGGCTTATAATTCTAGATTGAGAGGAAATAATGAAATCCGAGAATTCAATGTTCCGGATGATTCCGAGTGCGTTAAAGAAGACAGGTGTCTCTAGATCAGGGGAAAAACAGAGAGACAGGAGATAGATAATTACCAATGTGAGTGATTTAATTGTAGGTAGATAATAGGCGTGTGTTAGATGTGAGTAAGGTAGACTTTCCGCTTTAGATACACGCTGTTGCGAGCTGGTGAGCTGACAGCTGTCTCGTTACTGGAACAGAGCCGGTGCTCGTATTTTTCGCGTATTTTACTGAAAATTCATCAAGAAAAAACCAAGATACTACCCCTACCAATCAATCTAGTACCTTCTAATGAGACAAATGCAGGTGAATAACGATATCTCACAATGTTTAATCGATGAGACAGTTATAGTTTCAATCAAAACTCCCACTACATTCGAAAAATAAACGACTAGATAATCACCAACAAAAATGAAATAATATTCATCAATAATTCTACATGGATACAGAAAAGAAAAATTTACACGATGAGGGAAAGAAAATATGGAAATAATTTCTTGATGGAAAGTAAACACGAGAGAAGAAGCGTGTGTATTCTAACAGATCACTCGATGGGTGGCTCGATGGAAAACGGATTAATCGAAGAGTTCATTCGGTCGATGGTCGAACGATGGATGATCGACGATTGATCGAACAATACTCGATCACCTGAACGACGCGATCCCTCAATCGAGTGATCCATCAGATTAACGAGTGAACGCGTGAACATGTAAAAAAATCAAGGTTGCAAATTCAACTACCTTCGACGTCTGAGAGAGGAGTTGAGTCCAGGAAGTCCAAATTGTCCTCTGGGGATGACCATTCTGGCGTTGCCTTGAGCAGGTCTGGAGCCTCCATGCGCCTGAAGTTGGCTGAGATGAGCGGCATAACCCTCAACAAGAACCGTGCACAACAGCTGATGTTTCTTAGAGACTTTGCCAACAATAATTATCTGCTTGGGCTTCAAACTGATAGCCGTGTACACAGTGATGTCTTTAGCGCTTCCGTAAGCCTGATGGATAATAACACCATGATTCTCAACGAGATTATTCAGATAAGCCGCTTTATGACCTAGAGGATCAGTGGAAAGTCCATCGGCAAATGAAACAAGACCGTGTGGAAAATTGTGCTGTGATAACCAGGACACGACCTTCTGCTGTTGCATATCAGGACGAGCTGTGATATAGATTATCAAGTAGCCGAGCTCCTGCCAGTGTCGGACTACATCGACAGCACCTGCTCGAACCTTTGGATCTCTTCCAGTGACTGACATGCTTGCCGTGAAGGAGCCATCAATGCTGAAGACGACGCACTCGGTATTCGGTGGAATTACCGCCATAAAAAAATCGACAGATGTGTGATCACCCCGGACAACCATTTTTATGGGGTAAAGACCGTAGGATAGGACTTTATCGTCTGGAATTCTGTAGGTTATTCTTCCAGTCTTGTCGGTTACCTCTGTTGACAGATAAGTCCATTCACCTGCTGGTGCATTTTTCATCACGTGGATATCCACCTTTTCACCGGTGAGAGCTATCATATCTATGGGGCTGTACATAAATCGCGCGATCAGAACTTGTGGAGTGCCTTCTTTAACTATTACGTCGTTAGCTCGATGATTGGCTGCTACATTCTGTAATTATTATTATCAAAAAGAGATTTTCAATGACTCGTTCGGTTTGTTTATGCATGTGTTTTCGATAGGCAACTAAACTTACTTTAAGTTTAACTGACGTTCGTTTTCTATTCCACTTTTCTCTGGGTTGCCCTGGACGGAAGGTCGCGAGTTCTTTTTCCTCACCGCCGAGCATCGGCAGATCGAATCTACCAATTTGCCTGAGAATGAAAGCGATAACATCCGAAGACTCCCAATAGCTAGCGTGAAACAAATGGGGTAGTGCATTTGTTGGAAAATTTGCAAGTCCCTCAGGACAATATAGGGCGTAGTCTATTCTCTTGTTGCCCCACCATTTCTGCGTAACTGAAATAATAATAACAGATATGTCCATCGAGAATTTATCAGTCACCGTATTTAAACGTCAATTCTAATAATTGAGAGCTCACGTGAAGAGACAGCCTGGAGAGGTACATTATCAATCAGACCAGACATTGTACTCTGGATCGATATATCCGACAATCGACGTAGATGTTGAAGAGGCGTTGTCGGGGCATTCAATCCCTCGGCAAAGAGCTGGGGATTTGTTTGAATAGCCTCCACTAATTGAAACATATATTAATTATTACCCAGTCCTAATAATAGAGGCAAATATAATTTTCATCGATTTTCGAAAAAAAAAATATTTTCATCGATTTTCGAAAAAAAAAATATTTTCATCGAATTTCGAAAAAAATTGATTTTCATCTTTCAATTGATTTCAATACTTTTTTGGACTGATAGAGAGGTCCGCTATTCAGCACTCACGAGTTTTCCCGAGAATTTTCACGATGGAAGATATCCATCTAGCCATAATGAAGTCAAACTTATTTTCCTATTTATGGAAATCAGTCCAAGGGCAGAGAATCATTGGAGTAGTTATTTTTTTTATAGAATGATAAAGAGCAGTCTTACGTAAATGATAAGGCTGTCCATTGCCCAGTGGGTATTTCTGATATCGCGCGACATTGACTGGAGGCAGGAGTGAACATCGGGCTGAGATAAGGGGCTCCAGTCGAGCAGCAACGGGATCAGTTGGGTGAAAGAGATTGTAAACTTGATTGACAAGTGGTCTCTGTATATTACTCTTTTCTCCGGTCGATGAAATTTTTCTGTAGGCCAGGACCAACGCCAAGGGACTTCCAAACATGAAGAATTCACTTACGTCGAAGTCCAGTTTGCAGTGACCGGAACTATCGCTGCAATATGCGGGAATAACAAAATTGACCATTTGAAATTCGTCCCAAAAAATTGTAGAGGGAGCTCCAGGGGAATGGGATTCCCCGTGTAAAGTGAGATTTCTCCATTTCAATTTTGAAAACAATTCGAAAATTACCTCGTAGAGGATGATCTTCGTCTGGGTGTAGGTGCACTGAGATGTCGGTTATCCTCGCCCGCTCCATTTTCCCCAGTCTGATTGTCATTATCGAGAATACTATTCTCACTGTCATGCCTCGACTGATATTGAACAGTTCTGCACAGAGCGTCATAACCGAGAATAGACCCAACAGAATCACCAACGAATGATACCTGTCCTGCAAAACCTCTGCCCTCATCACTCCTAACGAAATCCTGATAAACCTGATTGGCACCAGTGACAACTTTGGATACAGCGTCCTGATACTCAGGTGCAGAGCTAGCTAAAAGGGGAATCGCGCCGATGGGAATAGTGTCGTGGGTGACAGGAGGTGTGTCAACGCAGCTCGGTGATACATCAAAGGAGTACGGGCTCAAGCTGGAGAGAATGCCAAGGCCATCGGTGCAGATTGACGGACAGGATACAAATCTCACGGCAATGTGTCCAACCATACTGGGATAGTGTTGCCTCATGACAGATTCAAAAGCACCTCTGAATGTCGTTATGTCGGATTTTTTTGCTGTCAAATCGACATTGGCATCCAGAACACTTCCAGCATGCATGACAATCAGAAGAACTGTGATGCGACAGGGTTGATGAGTGGGCGAGTGACTCGGCGATGGTGGACACGAAACGTCTATACTCGCTGATGTCCGTATGTGCAGTCTTTTGGGATTCCCCTCGCTCGCTACTCGTTGAAGATACGACGGCGAGAATATACTGTCCTCGTACTTGTCCGAAGGAGCTGCTGTCGGCGAAGTCGAGTCGTCCTTCTCCCCAAGAAGATCCATCGAGCTCCATTTAGCTAATGAAGTATTGTCCCCAAAGTCTTCTACAAATATACAATCCATTGGTCATTGGAAATTTCCCATCACTTGGACGATAAATTAATATTCGAATACTATCGAAAAATTTGTCCTCATTATGTGTTCTCACTATCTTATCTATCCTACCTCTTCGAATGGTGGGTATGAGCATCCCAGCGGCTGTGAGTTTGCACAAAAAAATCATTCTAACAATGAAATAAAAATAAAACGAAAGAATATCGGCTTTTTAGATGAAGCTAAATCACAATGCACAACTCGATGCAGTAATCATTTCAATGATATATTTATTCGGCTAGTGCGCCATGCAAAGAATCGATGGTACCTGAAGTATTACCTTGACAATCGAAGAACTCATCCTCACTTCCGGATTCCGATTCACGAACAATACTCTCCATTCTCCAATTGGCTATTTGAATATCGAAAGATTTGGCGGAACTTGGTGATTGAATTGTTTGAGACGTGCGTTTCCAAGGTTTCTTCAGGTTTGATTTGTCTTCCGGTACTTTGGAGCTGTTCAAACAGTTGTCATTTTTCAAATATCAATAGGCAATTATTGTCTGGATAATTGAAATGATGATTACCTGGGCAATTGTTGAGTGGGTGAATCATCAGGCGTGGCATCACCTTCAGAGCTCACATTAGTATTGATAATAGGAATGTCAGATGGTTTTCTGATGGACGGTGGACTCTGAGGATCCTCATTCTTCTCAATACTACCGAGTGTAGCAGCCAGTGTCTTAGCGACATCGGTCTCTTGAGGTGTTGTTCCAGAATTTGTTTTACTGTCCTCGTCATCACCCTCGAAGTTCTCCATGGATTCACCTCTCTCTGCAGCTTCTAGAGCAGCCATTTTTTTCTTGAGTGCCTCTTGGGTTTGCCTCTCGATCTCTCTGATGTCCTCCATCGTCAGACCAATCCACTCGTCCTGCCAGGCCCATGCCTGTCTGTGCGCCCTAACCATCGTTTTTCGCAGGGCCACGTCATGGATGAACTTCTCAAGCTTTGTTTGCATACCCCAGTAACGAAACTCAACTCTGCACAGTTTGTAGGCACACATCAGTGATTTTCCTGATGGCGTTGGCTGGCTTTTTCCCTTCAATCAGAATTATATGATACGAAATTATCAATCAAGTGGAATAATTGACTTGTAAGAGAATTTAATATTGATTCATATCAAACTGGCGACATTCATTCGATCAATGGTTACTCGAATTTTTTAGAGAAAAATAGTGAAGCTTCTGGAGTAATTAATTACCTTAACTTCTGTCCAATAATCCTCGAGCCAAGTCTCACCCAGCGGACCCCGACTACTTTTCTGAGATATATATAACTTGGGATCCTCATCCTTTACGTAATCAGCTCCCAGTAGCTGATCCTTAACAATATCAATAACATCGACTATTCTATTACGCAAATCACTTCCAGAGAGCTTGAAGACATTTTCCTGCTGTCCCTTGTCCGGAAAATAATAGGTTTCTATTTCAACGGAGAATTTCTCGACGAAGGGACAGGTGTAACGAGTTTTTGTGTAAGGATAGGCATTCCAGGCCTCCTCCTTGGTGGTCAATGCTGATTTGGGGAGGAGATTCTTGAACCAACCGGGCAGATGGGATCCAACGTGATAGATTTTGTGAGTGTATTGACCATTACCTCCTGGACCATCCGTATATGGCTTGTTTTCGATTATTTCTACACCACTTCCAACTCCTTTGCTCTCCTCTCGTGATTTTTTCTGGGCAAAATTCATCCCTCCATTATTGCAAATAATTGACACTATCAATTTTTATACTCACAGCTATCATGTACAGCTGAGCGATTCGGTACTCCTCCACTGTCAAAGGCAGTGGTATTCTGTATTCCTTAATCAGCATTTTGGCTGTTATCAATCACACCTTGGCATTTCTGCAATGAATCCCCAACAACACGGTTGATTATTTTTATTTTCAATTCGTAAACAATAATTCCAACTCGCAAAAAAATTGATTTCATTCAGAATGAAGACCTACGACTCCCAGTTGTGCCCCAGAAAAATCCTCACCTTGTCCCTAAACCTCTGAATTACCCCCTCCCCCCAGAAAAGTCCCATTGATCGTAGGTGATGATCATAATTGTTGACATAAAAAAGAAAAACACCCAAACTCGAAGAAATTTCGAAATCTTTCCTCTGAATCACAAGAGACGATTGCATTCACTGGAACAATCACTAATCGTCGGGCTGAACGTCAGCGAGGTACTGGAGCTATCTCCAGCATTTTTTTATTTCTTATTTTGATAAAAAAAAAAAAATAGTACGCGTGCGCTGATGGGAGTCCCCGGCGTGGGATTTCGTGGATTTAATGAGAGGAGAAATGATAAACTACGTTGAAGCTGAATGGCTCATTAGCCCCAGGTGTTTTCTTGAGGAAAATACGGGGCCACGAGTTGATGAGACACTGGAGAAGATTGAAGGCCCACCGGCAGGTACACAGTGGGTTACCATCATCCCCGATGATGCTTCTAGGCTCAAACCATTCCTCATATTGATCGCTCCACAAGCCTTGACGCGCAGATGCACCAAATGCCAAGGTGTCGCCAGGTACTGCACTCAAATTGTAAACAAATGATGAATAATATGAGGAATCAATTGCCCCAGTCTGATCGATTCAGTTTTAATTGAGAGATTATTGAAAATTCACTCCAGATTGTACGTCACCCACTTCATTCTTTGATCAATTATTTTTAACAGGCAAAAGTCGTCGGAGACTTTTTTTACTTTATTTTCTGGAGAGTACATGACAATTGTTATTGGTTGTGGAAACTTTTTGCCGTTTATTCGGCGGGATCTGGCACCTCATAGCCGTCGGGAGGAACTGGGTTGCGCTCTGGGTTGTGGAAGAGGGTATAGTTGCCATCACCCCATGGAAAACGCTTGTTGGAAGAGAATCAATCGATTCAGTCAGTTTTTCGTGTTTGTTTTTTTTAAAAAAATACCAGAGATACACCACAGCAAGTGGATTATTTATGACTAATTGAGGGAATAACTGACAAATGATCATTATTGATTTGATGAAATTGCCTGAACTCATGGATTAATCAAAATTTTTATAGTCTAGATATTAATTCCGGAATGATTATTATTGAAATTATTATAAATCGTTGGGTATTAATAATAAAATTGGGATTAATAATTAATTGAGCGCTTTGAATACCTTATTTCTCTTGTACATGTATTCCATGGGTTTGTAAGGAGGTCTCGGGTTCTCGGACTCCTTATTAATATTAATCGTCGTTACGATAATCATAATGAGAACCCCAGGTGCAGCTCCAAATAAACTAGCATATTTCCAGAATTTTATTTTAGACTGGAGCTCTAAATAATTCCACGAGGGAATTGATTAAAGAGGATTGAGAATAATCTAATTGGATTTGCGGAATGAAATACCGGGGGTAACTGGACAAATTGGAGTGGGTGGTGGTGGTGGTGAGCAGGATGGCTCCTCTGGAGGACAAGGACACGGTGGTGGGCACTGGCTGTCGCAGGGGCTCTTTGCTCCATCACTAGATGTTTTGCAGTTCTTCAAATTTTTTGCTGAGAGTCTCAACCCGCGAATTGTACCTGGAATACGTGACATTGCAATGGCTTTTATCAATTTCATTTCGGAGTTTTGCCTGGTTTTTGATAATTTCATCCGTTTTTTGTTCGTCGACATGAAGTCGTCGATGTTGCGACGCCTTCGAAGTGTTTCATCCACAGAAATTGAGGGAATGCCAGAGTATTTTACCGCGAAACCTTACAATAAATGTTGGAGTTGTACTTCTTTACTCTTCACACTAGGAGGAAAATCTTTACACTGGCGGGAAAATTCAGTAAAATATTGCAAACCTATTTGTTTCCGAGGAAAAATTGCTGTTCTTATTATTGTCTCACTACTCATCTCAAATTTGAATTTTTGCAAACAAGTGAAATTACAATTGATCTCAATTCATTCGTTGCCTCAAACAATTTTATTGGAGGCCGTATTTATATTGATTTAGCATTTTTATTTCAAAATAATTAATATATGTATTATATATTAAATATTAATTGTTTCGATATCCTGACTAGTTGCAGAGTTTTGACATTTCTCCAAAGGGTAGGATTGATTCTGCCCTGCGCGTCAACCTTTGACATTTCGAATGGGTCGAAGTTGAGACTGATAATACCCTGGATTAAACTCCATCCTAAGCCTCTCAAAACCAGGACTCTTCCCCTCATACCACCAGTGAAGAAATAAATAAAATAATAAAGCAGTTAGTCTCTAGGGAATTGCACACAGGTACGAGTACTCTCGGGTCATTTAGCTAAATCGATCTCCTGGAACTTGGCCCTTGTGTACTCCAATGTACATACCGCATATATACACGGTATATAGGGTAGAAAGCCTGACGCAATTCATTACGTCATCCAGACAGAGAGAGAGAATTGTGACGTCAATTCGTGAAATTTCCTCACAGAAGATCCGGAGGGAAAATTTATTTTTGGATATCGAAAAAAAAAAAATGTACCTTGGACTCCTATTACCTCACAAGGAAACATTCGTCGTCCAATTTTTTTTTTCCTCTTGAAGAAAATATTCGTTCCCTCTCATTAAATTCAGAGATGTTCAGACATTCAGATTTATTATATAATATCTTTTATACCAGCGGTTGGAGGTACCGGTATTTTCTAAATAAATTGTTAATTCGACGAGAATTGAATTATCTCAGATCTTATCAGTTGTATCTCTACCACCATAAATTGGAGAGGAACTCAGAATTTTAAACACTCGTCTCCATCCAAGACACCAGCATCTAAATATAATAGTTTACAAAAGCCAGCAGATGAACATTGTAAACACGATGACGTTTAAATATAGTGCTGAACATCTACCTTTAAACCTGCGCCTGGCTGAGTGTCAAGGACAAATCAGACGGAAACGTGAGAGTGAAACCGGTGGAATTGATTGGTAAATTCAGGATATCCGGTTTACCTCTGGTACGACATTTTTAAACCACGATATCCGGTGGGATTTCCGGTTGTTATTAAAAAATTGAGTTGCTTAGAGTTCATTCGGTGTCTTGGAGTCAATGGTTTGACCTATCGATCGGTTGTCAAATATTAATTCGATATTTAAATCACTGGAGTACGCACCGATTGTTGATCGTTTCGTTTGACACTTCCTCTTGATTGTTTTTAATGGAGAACACACTGTGATTACATTGGACGCACGTTTGTCGAGACTAGACGAGTCTCTAGTCTTACATGCGTCTCACAGTGTCGGACTGTATATGTATATGATATATATATATGTGACCTCCGCATATAGTCGGTCATGTGGAGGTAAGCTGTTGGTAAAGTCAGTCGCTCATTTTTTATGGGAGAAATTTATTAGGTTTTTGATTGCTTTTATTTTGGTATTTTGGTAATCAAAGGGCCAATGACCTTTACCCTTTTTTCAGGGATTCCCCTGAAAAAAGTGGCGGGTAAAATAGGGGATTTATATGGGGATTTTGCGCGGGTTTTGGGAGGTGAATTTTGGGGACTTCTTTTGGTTTTTTTGAACCGATTTTGAATCATTCCGAAAAAGTTTTAAAAGGCGCTTTTTTTGAATTTTTTAAAAGAAGATTCGACGCACATTTATTTGAAGAAATCCAAAAACAATTTCTGCCCAATATTTTTGCTGTGCTCAAGGAATATTTAAAATTAATGAAAAAAATTGATAAGAAATATGAAAAATTGATTTTTCGCGTGTTTTTTGAAAATTGGCGGAAGTGGAAGTGGCGGGATGGGAGGGGTAGAAAGTTCTCCTGGAGATGGCGTCACCATTGGCTGCCTGATTGGCGCGAGAAAATCGGGGCGGGGGCAGACAAGCCCCCCATCCCTCCCCCAAAAGTGACGTGACTCAGTACTCCAATACACAATGCGTGTTTGACAGCCGCCAATTTTCACCCAGAAAATCATCCACACCTAGACACAACTGTCCCCGACATGTCTCACGGTTAAAATCCCCAGACAACAACAATCAGAGGAAAAATCATTACAAAGAAGTGAGAATTGGAATTAATATGGGAGAATGGTTATACACGGGATTATTTATCTGCTGCTCGTACTGCCAGGTAAATGAAACATGGAACCAAGGATTCTCCACTTGTCTTGACCGATCGATCCTTTCTATCTGATCTCCTTCGATATATTCATTACCCCATAATTTTCCAATTTTCCATCGCCTCATCTCCGTTCGGCTAATATCGTCCCTCAATTATTTAAATTAACAATTGCCTAGAGAAAATTTTTGGATAATCTAATCCGGACGTTAGGTAATGGACAATTGTTGTTCCAGCAGGAAATAGGATGAGGTCATTTTGTTTTTGAGTGATAACACCACGAGTGCTGATTAAAATTGTTACGATTTGTTCGATTATTTCGATTGATTTGATTACAGCGTGTGAACACGTGACTGAAGTAAATAAATAAATAATGGTGTTGATATCGGATTGCAGGGTGGCAGGTGGCATTTGGCCTGGAGGAAGTCAGGACTGTCGAGGTTGACATTGGACAGAACTTAACTGTTGCCTGTGCCAATGACGATGTGTCCCAACATCCTGGCAATAACACTAATGTCATGTGGGTGAGGGAGGGACGAGAGGACAAACAGTTCCAGAGAATGAAGATTGGTATTAATAAGGCATTACAGCTGGTCAACGTGAGTGCTGAAGATGCAGGAAATTATTTCTGCACCCTTGATAATGACACCGGAGCGAAGAAGACACGGATTAACATACAAGTTAAAAGTACTATTAATTTTTTACACAAATTACTCGTCAAGTTTTCTGGAGATTAAATCTTGTGGGAATTATTTCAGCCCCACCACCTGCCCTACACAATGTGTGGGTCAAACCCTCAACTATATTGGCTAATATTCTCTGGGAGGTGAATGGAACTGGTGGTTATCCAATTATTGACTTCACTGCCGAGTATCGTTTAAAGCCAGTCCTGGGGAGAGACCCTGAGGAATGGAAACCCATTATTCCAACGCATATACCACCCAACTCTGTAGGATGTTTTGTCAACACAATATTTAGGTGCTGTCCCGATTTTTTATCAAGGTTTTTGCATCTGTTTTATTCTTTGTAGAGGCAAATCGATGTTTACCATTTGGAGCCAAACACAACGTATTTATTTCGCGTCTGGGCAACCAACAGGCTTGGACGTGGGGAAATCGTCGAGGTGGAGGGACACACGCATTTTTCAGACGAGGATAAAGGTGAGTAATTCATTGCAATGATTTTTCGTTTGACTTTGCACGTCTTTGGAGACGATTAGCATCAACTTCTCGGAAGGAACACTCAGGGTTAATTCATCAATTTAAAATTTCATTATCATTGTGAAATTTATCAATTTGCAAATGGTAATAGAAAAAACGTGAATTTTCGTCGAAAAGGTGTTGAACATCCTTAAGGATAATTGTTTGTAATTTTCCAATTGTCAATTTAATGGAATGGCAGTCAATGCTTTGGATATTCTGTGATGTACAAATATGTAAATTGGAGAATGAGGTGACTATGAATGATTCCAGAGCTTGCCAAGCATCTTTTGGCAGGAGTTGAAAATTTCGACACTCGAATCTGGGTAGCAGCGGTAGCTATTGTTATGGGAACACTAATGGTCCTTGGTTTAGGTACCTGTTATCTCCTATATCGTGAGTGGAAAGTACCCTGTAAGCATTCACTTGTTAACTGTTCAATTAAGGGCTTGTTGCTTCTACTCTGTCTCTTTTGATGCCCTTGCTTGAATTTTAAAATTGAAATAAAATAATCATCCGCTACATGCATGGAATATTAGTCTCATTTGAGTGGTAATCATCTAGACGAAAAATTATTTAGACGAGAGATAAAGGCAATAATTTAAGCAGGGGCATTCCTAGCCATTTTTTTTACTTATCTATGGCCCTAATCTCTAGCTTCACTTCTCGACTTGACTATTAACCAATGAAATACATTTTCATCACTTTACGATACTTCCCAGCTGCAAGCTAATCAACTTAGACTAACAACTAATTCAGCAAAAAACGTATTTCATTAAATATTTCATAATCTCACCTCTTTTTATTCTCTTGCACATTTATTTCACGATGTATTTTAAGTAAAATTTATTCAATTAAGCACCAGTCGATCTACCAATAATGGAAACAATAGAGGGACTTTCTTTTTTTTTTCGTTGTTTAATTAGTGTAAATTTAATAATTAAATGATTAATGGTTCTGGTATGAGAATGAGTCTAGTGTAATGGAGATTAGAGACATTATGAGGAATTTAGAATTGGAATAAATTAGAGTATCGAGGCCTTAGATAAAGGATTGATAGACAAAATTGTTGGATGATGAAATTTTTTTGAGGTAACAATTGTGGATTTGATACATAATGTAGTGGTGGGGGGAGAGAGGGTAGAAGCCGATGGAGTATGGCTCATCACCCGGGCTAATGAAAATTAATTCGCTCCGGTGAACGTTTTCAGCGCAGCTGGAGGAACAGGAAGTGATTGAGCTCGTACCCAATATTATATTAAATCCTGGATTTTTCGATGAGAGGAGTGAGCGCATACCCCAGGATGAAAATTACAACACCCACACGACAACACGTTTGAATAATAACACTGTTATTCTCCCGAGACGCCTCTAGCGATCATTTATCTATGGAAAAATTCCAATTATTGCAAAATAACTCACGTTAAAACCAAAGAATTTGCGATTAATAATGAGAGAAAAAAGAAGAAAATGCTTGAGAGAGAGCGAAAAAAAAAAGTTTTTAACCCACGGTTTTTTAATGCATTGTTGTTAATTTTTTATTTTTTAACAATGAAAGTGTTCAAAAAGTTCACGATGAAAGACTTTTTGCCAATTCACGCCGATTTTTTTATTTTAATAAAAACGTTGATGGATAAATGGTCGCCTGAGGCCGGAGGAGATACGACCAGTTGTTGATTGTCGACTGTATTTTTTAATTGATAAAATACTTCTACGGTAATTGTAAAACTTCCATGGGGAAAAAAAGTACATGGGAAATTGGGATATAAATTGATGGAGAAAGACTGCAGCCTCTGACTATGGTCTCGGTGTTTTTGGAAATTGTGAGACCGTCTGAGGACTTTAATTACATGATCTGATTATTTATCGATTATCGCTTGTACTGAATTTTTCATGACACATCGTATCAATGGAATTCAATCAGTAATGAGAATGTTAATTACCTCTCTTTACTGACCTGTCAGTTCATTTGAATAAATGAAAAATGCTGACGAACGTTTAACCGAGTATGCGCTTTTGCTCTCGTCATTGGGCAGGAATTAATTGTCGAGGAATGTCCAGGGGATATTTAAAGACGAATAAAACACTTGTGAGGCCAGAGGACTGGATTATTCCTCTGCGTTATACAAGTGTTGTGTCTAATTCATTAACGAAATAATGAATAATTTGCTTCGAAACAGAGTAGAGTAATTCTACACACTTCCATGCTTATTATCAGTTTAATATGTAAGAGAGATTGCCATTAAGACGCTTTTACCGCAGCCTTGAAGATGCACTAAAAACTAATTATCGAATGCCAGCACAATTTCACGTTTAACGAGTTGATATTCAGTAATAATTAAGACAACTGCATTTAGATTGAATTGAAATAATTGTGAACAGTTTTCACAGTATTAAAATGCCATTTTTGATGGGTAACGAGAGTATTTTTGAAGGATAATTGGATTCTGGATGAGGCATATCAGATCGGCTCAGTTTGAAAAACGACATTTCAATCACAATAAAAAATAAGAGAACATTTCTAAATAATAATTAAAATGTGTGGAGGCTGTCTGGAGGTGTGCAGAGTTCGAAGACAATTTTAGAATGAAATACATAAAGAAAGTGGTGAATTTATTTGCATTGTTCAGTATTCGATACATTCCTAGGGTTTTTAGTTGTGATTTTTGTGCGTTTACGATTGAAAATTTACCATAAAAGTCCAAAGATTAATTTTTTATTTGAAAATGTAATAGCTTTATCGTAAGTACGTGAAGTAATTAATCAATTCTTACATGGTTGTAATGAAAATTGGTTGTTTTAGAAGCTTAAGGGATAATAGGTAATGGAATAATTGATCTGAGAATGGAATAAGCTTCGTACTGTGCACTCTGTGTTGTGAATGGTATTTAACACTGCACTAATCCGTTAACAGATAAAGATTGAGGACATTGGAAAGAGGAATAAGTCATTGATGATAATAACAACATAAATTATCTATATTTATATAGCCGAAGGAACATCGTAATATTTTAGAGATTAAGGCAAAAGGACAATTTTTTATATACGAGATTAATGGAAAAACAAATGATATATCGCTGGTGCAATATTTATCTACATTTATTATGGAAATTCGAATGTACTATGTGTAATAGGGAGAGAATAATCTTCACGCTTTGATAGTCATGGCTTTGGGAGGACAATAATTATTATTGTCCATCTGTGGAGGAATTTACTATTTTTTTTTCTTCCACGAAATGTCCATTTTCCTTTTTTTCAACGTTGAGAGTTTTTTTTTTTTATTTCCATAAATTAATTCTCTCAATGTAGCAATCTAAAAACAACAAGGAAAATCCACTCTTTAGTCTAGAGTACAATCAGAAATGATGAATAATTCATCATTTTTTTAATTGACGTTTTACGTTTTTTATAAATGTTGAATCCATTAGAAAAATTGCTTTTAATTTGTTGTTTGGCATAGGCCTAGAGTTGACTCGATTAATTACTAATTCCATTCGAAATTTTCCATTAGTGAGAGGGTAATATCCATGTGTACCTGGGGTTCGACCAATTTATTTTGTTATTTAATATTTAATTTTTGTTTTCACACTCGCTTTGATTTATTTTATAGATGAGATGACAGGTTTATTATCTCATTCTTCTGCAGCTACGAATAATTGAAATTTTTATTTTTTTCTCGAATAATGTAGGCACATATCAGAAGCTGAGAAAATCCACAGAATCACAATAAATATAACAGTGCAGTTATGTGTCATAAAACGAATAAGCTCAGAGCAATAATCAGGTTGTGAAACAGCAACGCAGTTTAAACGAGAAAAATCATTGAGCAATTAGTGAAAATTCTGAATTGTTTATTCGGTCATGTGAATGTGATTAATTTGTAAGCCTACTATTTACACTGTATTAATGTAACGTTGTATACAGCCAGTGTATTTTTAATGATATTAAAGAAATCGTAATACTCTAAATGATCGTCTTAAAAGAGATTTTGTATTTGACCCAATAATTTATTCAACTCGTTTCAAGAACTGTTTGAGCAATACTCTGACACAATTGCTGGATCTTATCACTGGGTGTGAATTCAGCAGCTAAAATTCCATTGGCAAGTGCAACAGTTTCCCTGACAGTTCTCGAGTTGATCCAGATTTTTCCATTCATTCCGACGGCCAGCTCATAAGGCTGTTCCTTTCCGAATGCTGTGAAGAAGGGGCTGCTCTCGTGGAGGAGTTTTCTCACGAGATTGAGGGAGCAATTGATGAGCATTCCCTTGGGCCCGAGTATACCAAGTTTTCCTCTTTTTCCATGTGAGTCAATACAGACGAGCTCTGACTCCATATCTTTGCTGGCGATTAGCAGTTTGGCAAATACAATATCCCCGATTTGTACGTCTGGTCGATTTCGTTTGCTAGCACCTTCGAAGGCTAGGTACGAAAGGGAGGCTTGCTCAGACGCACCAATATCAACTTTGAAGATGTCTCCAGCCTTCTGGGTGACTATTCCCACGACGTTTTCTCCTCTGGTTGGAATATATCTGCAAAAATTAATTTTTTACATGAAAAAAAAATGAATAATAAATAGACAATTTATATAAAAATATTAATTGGATCGAGGATGTCGTACCTTCTTTGATAATTATCCACATAATAAATCGATGGAGATCGTTTTTTGAGAATTCCCGCTTTACATGCATAAATTGTGTCTCCTTCTCTCCTCAATCCAGGACCAAGAACGATTTTTTGTTTAGGATTGTCTGTTGTTATTTTAATTAGGTCACCTGGCAGTGTCACATCCTCAGGACTCACTTCCATTATTAGATTTTTCTATTTTCATCAATCAACAATTTGAAATAAATGCCGAACAATCAGAGGTTAAGGTATCACAACACTAACACGTTGTTCAATCACTTCTGTTTGACCAGCACTCGATAATTATTATAATTAATAACGAATAATAATGATAATAATATTTTATTTATTATTTTTACCTTTTCAAGGCAGGTGATGGATTAAAAAATTTGATTTCGAAAAAAAATCAAACTTCGTAGGAACGTCAGGTGTTGAGAAGGTAAAAAATAATTTTTTTTAAAATTCTTATACCAAAAAAAAAATGTTTATTTACATATGCGATACAAATATTTCCTTCTGGCAATTAAAAAATTGGAATAGCTTGAGACCTGCTCGATGGGTATTTTAGGAGATTTAAAATTCAAAGATTGTGATTGTAGAGATAACATTTCTGGGATTTATTTCGCCTTCTTCTCGAGCTTAGCCTCAGGTTTCGATGGGAATATCGCGAAGAGGGAGAGCTGAATGATATAAAGTCCCAATCCCACGACATTTTGAATCTGAAAAAAAAAATCTATCATTAATCTCATCATTACTCGATTTTGCGACTCGCTTTGAGGTACCCACAATAATAAAAGAATTATCGAGGATTATCCCATACAACAACCACTGAGATGACACTAGGGTGCCCATTGCTATCAGAGGGAATGGGAGGATCTCCGTGCTCTTGGTCCTTATCACCTCCCCCTGAAAACCCAAAATATCAGACAATCACCGTACTTAAGCCCAAAAGAAACACCCAATAATTTCTCATACTAACGAGATTAGCCAGAGGTGCTGCAATCAGTAAAAATAATAAAGCAGTCGTTAAAATTCCCCATCTAAACTCGAGTGTCACTGGCTCCTCAATTTGTGCGTACGCCAAAAAAATTCCTGCGATTCCTAAAGTTTTCGCTATCGTCATCACAAGTTCATTCTAAAAAAAAAACAATAAAAATGCAATTACAAATTCCATCAGTAATTTCTATTGAATAACATTGAATGGAATATTCAATTATATTTAATTTATGTTGAAGAAGTCTATTATATATTTTTTCATAGATTAAGTAGCTCGTGAGCAAGTGTCGCACCTTCTTCGGGGAATAAAAATAAAAAACCAGGACGTATAATATACTAGTGGTCAACCCAAAGACATTGACACTGATCATAGCAGGATCATTAACAATGAACGCGTACTGTAGCATCAGCAGTCCCCTGGAAAAAAAAATTATACCCTCAAAAGATAATCATACCCTCCACCGCTCCAATCCACGTATCATGATACGTAACGATTAGATTTCAGTCGCGGAATCATTCCCTGAGGATTGTAAAATTTGTGACAGTTCAAAAAATAAAATGAAATTCAATCACATTAGTCTAGACATCCTCATCCCTTCGCCAATCCTCTCTGGTACTCACATTCCAATTCCTCCGACGAATGGCATTGGATCAAACCCATCAGCTGTGCCCTTGCGATGAATATCTCGACAGATCAATCTGGAGAGCATTAATCAGACAATTAACATTCCATAACAGTCCCTCGATTACTCCATAAATTGATATTGATAATTGTTATCATCACCTCTGGGTATTGAAAATAAAATAATTACATTCAAATAAATTATCGTTTATTATTCGAATGGCGATTTTCGTTAAGAGCGCGTTATCGAACGTATTCGCGATTCGTGACATAATAATCAAGGTCATTTATTTTTCAAGTGCGAGTGATAGTCGAGGGAAGTAGTACATTAACCCAATCAATCCTTCGGTAAATGAATGAGTGAAGTGAATGCCGACCTTTGCAAAATTTGTAGAATTCATTATTCAACTGAAAATAAAATAATTTCAGAACCCCTTTATTGGGGAATAACTTAAATCCCTCAATTAAAGTTTAATTAACACTGAATGCATTTCAGTGTTTTAATATCAGTTATCAATTATTTATTTTTATGCAAAAAAAATAATTATAACAAAATTTTTATTCCAGAATAACGATATCCATGATCTTTCAACGTTTGATGATCGTTTGATGGAAAACTGGTGATTATCTTGATGAAGGATACCTGAGGGAGAAAATACCTTCAAACATTTTTTGTAGAGAATTTCCTCATCTTCAAAAAATGTCATGTACTGTTCTCTCCTAAACCCAATCGTTCCCGAGATAATCGGAGAAATTCCATAACTCGAGTGCATCGATTACTCGACTCTCGTAACCGGTTTTCCTGCGCGCAAAAGCTCTCGGAATACTTCAATAATCCCCACAATTACTCACATTCCAGATAACATTTGTGCCATCGTGCATATCGCCGCCGAGTTCCCGACAATTTCCTTGTAATCCTCCAAACCCATCACGAGACAGATAAAAAAAAGCTAATTAATTAAATCGTCAAGTCTCGATCGAGATGTTCTCCACCGCTGGAACTCAGGACACAACTGATCTCTGACAATCCAAAAGCATGTCGCATTACAATCATAACAATTTCCTCCAATCATAACAACAATCAGTCCTATCAGTGCAAAAAAAAAAATTGATAAGAGCCATCACCGATCGCTGGTAACTCCAGGAGAAATGGAGTCCCTCCGCTAGATGGTGTCTCCCAATTTTTTTTCTCCAACAGATTTTTTGTGATCGATTTCTCCCACTCATGCCAGGGGACAGCTGAGGGCCTCCACCGGGGATATTTATCCTGTATTTTCTCCATAAAGTGCGCAAAAAGTCTGATAATCAATCTGATCGTGAGTTCTCCTGAGTGAATTGATGAATCGTAAGTCGAAAGGTGAAAATCCGGTGGGGTAAACCGATTATTTCTTAACGGGGGGTGAGACCGGATCGATACGTGTATTTGGGGAATCATAACCTCGACGGTGGAATCGAAAGGAAAACGTTTGGATCGATTATTTTTTGGTTTGGGATTTTTCATTGGGGATTCAGGTCGCCGAAGATGTACAATGGGATTGGACTTCAGACCCCTCGGGGGTCAGGCACTAATGGCCATGTCCAGCGTAATTGGGCAATTGTTAGAAAAACAAAGGACAGGGTTGATTACAAGAGTGAGGAAAAGGGAGATCAATTGAATAAACAGCCCAACAAGGAGATATTGGATCATGTGAGGAAGCGGAAGGTGGAGGTCAAGTGTGCGGAGTTGATGGACATCTTGGAAGATCAGGGGTATGTCTCAAATAATCAATTACTCAATTAATGTTGATTAACTCATTCAAGTGATGATTCAGGGAGCATTTTTGGGTGGAATTCATTTTTTTTTTGCGTTCTCCGTAGATTGACACCAGAGGAAATAAAATCCAAGGTCGCTACCTACAGGGAGATGCTCATGGGGAGTGATGCCAAGCCTCAAGTGCCAACTGATGATTTTGGACGTGTCAAGTATGTAGAATCTCATCAACAATCATTGAAAATAAATATCAAGCCCCTTAAAAACGAGAGCAATATCATTTTTTCGTTGCTAAAATATTTTTCAATATCACTCATTAATTTTAAAAATACTCCAGGACATTCCTGGATGCCAAAAAAATATCTTATGATTTTTAAATGAATGGAAAATGCCTGGGAGCATTTCCTGGTGCTGCAATTTCCAGGGTGATTAAAAAAAAAAGAAATGCATGCTATATTTTTTTCAATCTCAATTGGTGGCACCCCCCGGGGTGTCCCTGAAGCCTCAGAAATGACATCCAACCGTAAATCCGCGTACACACCGTGAATATCGACTTCCTACCGGGCGCCGGCGCCCCTCGAAATTACCCCTTAAAAATCAAAGAAACATCCCCTGCGCAGTGACAGTGGGTGGGGTTTGGTAAATTCACCCCCAGTGAATTTCTCATCCCCCAGCATCCGAATCATCTCCTGGAATTCAGTATTGCAATGGACCGGCGTCCAGACGCCACTGCAACTCCAGAATCCGTGGATTCATCCGAACGAATAAATAAATAAAATAGGGACAATGTAGTCGAGGGGTTGTTGAGAGTTCTCACACTCAAATCACATAAGTCTTCCATTAGATTTAATAATTAATCTTAAGACACATTAATCGAAAAACTACTCAACAAATTTATATCGCGTTAATCAATTTTCGAGGATTTTTTGATGAATTATCGAGATTATCGAGATCATTCGAGATATTTAAATTAAATATTAATAAATAATAATAATTGCTGTTGGTGTGTGCCTCATCCGACGTCTTCCAAGGATATTAATCATTAAAAATAAATTATTAATTACTAAGAAGAGATTATAAGCCGAATTTATGGAGATAATTGACGAATCTTGTGGAGGAAAATAGCAATCAAAGCCGCAGATTATTGGGAGTTATTTGTTTAATTAAATAAAATCAAATGACAATGTCTGCGTTTATACCGAAGACAGCGCGTGGTCGGGGTCCACCTGACGGTCGGGCCTTTTTCGAGCGGCTCTGGCGGGGTAATTTCTTCCTGGACAGGCAGAAGGTCATCAAGAGATCCAGGAAACGTAAATTAAATAGTGCTAACGGTAAAAAGAAGATTCAGATGAAGAACAGACAGCATTGCTGCTGCTGTCAGAGGATTCAGTTGCATTTGCTCGCGGGAAAGAGGACTAGTGTCAAATCAGTCGTGAGGTAATTCCCGAGACTTGGAAAAAACCTAAACAATCATTCATATTTCATTTTTATCATTGATATCACTCCACCGAGGCTTTTCCCACTTTCATAACGGGATTGAACTCATTTCAAATTGGATGGAAAAGGCTTCCCACATATTTTCACTTAGAGAAATTATAAAAAATCTATAATCCATGTCAATCAAATTCAGAGCTATCAAGTACTAATTTTTTAAAAAGGCATTTTTAATTTTATATAGTCATGAGTGATTGTCAATTCAGTGGATGACGAATTCATTGATTTTGGGAGAGATATTATTGATAAATCGTTGAGACTCTATTATATTCAGAAGAAAGATAATTTTTTTAAGGTGAGAAAAGAAAATGAAATGAGTGAAGTTTACGGGTAGAAGATGTTTGAATTTGTCGAGTGTTTCTATTTATTATAGTTTTATTAAACCTGATGGTATTAAAGATTTGGTTAGTAGGGTGGAAGCACGAGGGTACGGTATGAAAAAGGGGGTTGGGGGATTGGTATTGATCGAGTAGCTAGGGCGTAACGAAATGAGAGGGGGAGGATTGGATAGTACGGCAGTCCCCGGCTTCAGTCACTCCAGGGGTAGCTTCTATCAAAACTCGTTCTGGTGTTATGTCATTAAATTTTTCCTCTAAACATATCGTAAAAATTCTCAAATCACCGGTTCGCGCTGAGAATGACTGTTAAACTGACGAGTCGGTGTGTAAAATCCATTTTTTTCTCCTTGGAGAACACATTTTCGGAATTTTCCGGGTGAAAAATAAAATTAGATCTTCCATTTCGATTTATTCCATAATAATAATTACTAATATTAATTAACATTGTTATTATTTATGGTCTTTGAATGTTATTCACAAAATTTTGCAAGATAGTGTATAAATTATGAATTTTTGTTAAATATTCGTCTATTTGAAAAAAATAATTTTTATTGGACATCAGAATGTAAATGTTATCTGGATTTTTATAATAATTCAAGCGTCCGAGAGACACACCAGGTGGCAGAGGCACAGCAGGAGAAAAACGCCAAATTGAGAGAGGCATTTGGTATATCCGAGTACTTCGTGGAAGGTAGTAGTCTGGATCCTGAGCGACACGCAAGAGAGGCAGAGGCTAGAGCAGCTGCTGGTAAAGTTTATGAGTTAGTGCACAGTCCCAGTCCACCACCAGTCGAAGAAGCTCCAGCAACAGATAAAAAAATCAAGAGGAAGAGATCAGCAAGCAGCACCAAGAAGAAAAAATCAAAGAAGCACAAGAAGGACAGGTATACCACTGTGTGAATGATCACGCGTCTCTGGAGTCTGGAATCGTTTTAGGTCGCTTAACACCTCTACAAAATTCGAGAAAAATTCTCTATCGTAACCGCGGGATAAGAGGAAAACATGAATTATCGGGTGACTAATGAATTTGTTGCAATTAATTTATAGAACCGTTGAATCATTATTCATGTTTTGCTATTTATCCCCCGTTGTATTCTCCAGAAAAATCACAACTGTGTCTCACCACGACCTCAATAACTAATTGGATATTGAGAGCAACCAATGAACCGTCTCGAGGCTCCAAGACCCCCCGTGAATGTTGAAAAAAAAAGAAACGTGAAAACCTCCCCTCAGTAGTTTTAAATAAAAAATTCTCCTTTCATCGATCGATCTTTATTCACTGTTCTCTCCATGTTTTGCCAAGAGCCCTCCACATATTCATACGCTTTCCACACATCAACGAATTCAATGAACCAATTTTACTGCTCCAAAATTAATTCCTCAATTAATTTCATTGGGTTTTCATTTTATTTGATACAAAAAAAAAACAAAATTGGACAAATTACTGATGAAGAAAATCCACTGTCTCATGCCCCGTACACCTTTCTCTGTTTCAAACAGAACTGAGGAGGACTGAGTGCCTACCCAGTAGGCTCAGTAGGTAAGTGTGGTCGTCGGGATTTTATTTTTTCGACAAATGCAAAAGAGTCAATTAAACGATTTTTTGAAATTATTTTGTATTGACAATATTTTTAATTAATCGAGTTGATATGCGAGGGTCGACGAGTCTTCTCATCGTAAATTTTTAGCCTAGAGTAAAGATTATTTTTATTTTATCGTTTGATAAGGTCTATTTGCTTGACGTCTAGGTTCTATTATTGTGTGAGAAAAAAAAAGAAAAAAATACTCAATTTGTTGTTGTAACGATGAAGCCTGTTGTTAATGTCATCTCTCTATTTTTTTCTGACAAGTCCGTCCCTATCGATGGTTATCAAGGTAATGCTAATCCCATATTATATCAATAATCCTCACAATTTAACGTGTTTTGTCTTCTCTCGTTTATTTTCATTCATTTTACGTTGTATTCGATTTTTTATTTTTCATTTGATAATGCTCGATGATTGGGTGAATCCCTGGAAAATCATTGGAATTTTTTTTCAATGATTTTATGGTTCATTCATTGGGCACTCACCCAATTATCGAAACACTCGTTGTTCAATGATTTATCGATTTTTTCTAGTCGATCTTTAGAATATTAAATCCCCCGATTATTGAATTATTCCTTAAATAATTCAATTGTATGTGTTACCATGACAACTCCCAATTACGATGCAAAAGTGAAAAAAATGATTTTTTTTTTATTATCAGCACAAGATGATATGCACTTGATGGCAGGAAGACGTCCACTGCAACAATTAGAATTTAATATAAATAATGCAATATCATTTGTTTCATCCGTAATTTCATCTAACGATAACAATCGAATTTCTTCAAGTTTGTCGTTGATTGTTCCATTAAAATTGATGTTGAATTTTTTTTTGGGACTATTGCTGTAGGTCCGAATCACCCAAGAGTGGTAAGAAGAAGGAAAAATCGAAGAAAAAGAAAAAGGAGAAGAAACACAAGAAAGAGATAACAACGAGCGACAGTGAGTCATCTAATGAAGATTCCGATAACAGCAGGTGAAAATCCAGTGGAGATGAGTGAACACAATTTTTTCAAACTAATTAAAATCGATTACTAAATAGATATTATAATTTACAGCTCCTCCGGGGCAGAGATCAAGAAGAAAAAACGAAAGAAGAAGAAGAAATCGAAAACTGAGAGTAAAGACAAACATGAGGTAAAATATCCATTAACAACGGAGAAATGCTATAATATTGTTAATATATCATTGAATATTTATCTATTAAATGTATGTGCATACATACAGACTAATTTACGCACGAAATGACTGGCATGGGACACTATTCATTTTTTATTTTAATTATCTTTAATTATGCTGCCACAAATCCATCGACTCCAATCCCAATCATTTCCAAATTTTTTAAATACTCTTGTGGACAATTTTAATTATTAAATATTATCATGCACGCAACTCTTGCCTGTTGTTGTTAATATAAAAAACTAGAGATCAATTGTCTGAACGTCGACAGTCCAGAATTCAATCGTCAATTTTTAATAAATATTCACTGGAGTGTCTCAGACACTTGTGCACTAGTTTATCAATAATTTTCATAATTTTTATTTTTCTTTCAATCTCCCATTCACCTAAATCTCAAATTAAACAAATCATTATTTCAAAGTGTAAATCTCAGTATTGTTTGTAATTATCAGCGCCATTTGACAGGATACATTCCCTGAGTGAGTACCCGACATGCCGCTACTCAATGTAATAAATAATTTTCGTTAATTAATTATTATCATAAACGAGTTTGCGACTGTTGTTTGTATCACTTGTTTTGTTTGTGGATAAAGCACCGTTTATTGCAACCGAAAAATTTCAGATAACGAAAATTATCAGAATGAGAACGAAAAAAAAAAATATTCACTCATTCAGAGAAAGTGTTTTTAATTTTTTGGAGAATTAAAAACCCTCCGCAATGCGAAATATCAGTGGAAAAAAAAATTGATCCCCGAGAGACGAATTTATGCATGAAAATGTGAATGTTGTATTATTCCAATTAAATATTTCTTACTTATCGGTTTGATTCTGATCATTTCATTATTTTAGAAGAAAAAGACGACCAAGAGGAAGCACCAGAGTTCCTCGAGTTCATCTGCCTCGTGAGTGCCAAACGAAAATCATAAAATAAATTAAAAATGGCAAGATATTTTATTGTAAACAATGTGATAATTTATTGCAGCTCACCAGAGCGTCCTAAAAAGCATCAAAAACGTTCAAAGACTCCAGAAAAACTCCCAGTACCTTCAGCATCCCCTGTTCGTCGTTCAGAGCGTTCGAGAGGGTCAACTCCACCCCAGAAACCTCGAGAAATCGATCGAGACCGTAAAAAATCAAAAACCCCGCAGAAGGAGCACTTGACTCAGTCCTCTCACATCTCGAGGCGCAATCGTTCCACATCGCGAACACATGGTGATCGCAACAGAAGCTCCAGGTCCCCGAGGAGGCAGTCGAGACAATCGAGACCGAGGAGGACCTCTCCATCCCCCAGAAGACGAAGAGTATCTCGATCTCCGCGCCGACCTTCTCGTTATTCTCGTTCTCGCAGCAGGAGTCGTTCCAGATACTCCAGATATACCCGACGCTATGCGTCACCCTCCAGCTATCGTAGAAGGGTTTCGAGGTCGAGAAGACACATCTCCAGGTCTCCCGTTCGACGAAATAGACGAGAGAGATCCAGAGAGAAGAGGAAAACGAGATCCAGATCCAGATCGCCATTGAAGAGGTCAGTGAGTCGATCGAAGAGATCGATAAGTCGATCAAAGAGGTCCACCAGTCGATCCAGACGCTCCAGGAGCCGCTCAAGACGCTCCAGTCTTTCTTATTCCCCAGTGAGGCGACATCCTGATCGTTATCGAGATATTTTTGAGGACAAAAAGAGAAAAACTGAGGAAAAATCCAAGGGAAAATCGAGATCTCCATCGAAATCGGCTAAACCCAGGGTCATTACACCGAGGGTGTCCCTGAGATCATCCAGCGAGGATGAAGCTGACCCTGGGGAGGATGAGATAAGACCTGAGGATGAAGAAAGAATCAAGGAACTCAATACCTTGAAGCAACTGCAGAGTGGATTGGCAGCCAAAGCCAGAGAATCATTAGGAAAAAAAGCAATTTCTCCAATGAAAATAAAAATCGAGAAAAGGGACGAGGGCATCCTGGACATTGCCCTACCAGCGGAGCCTCCGAAGCCCCCGGGGATGACTATCACCGAGGTACGACAAAAATCCCCCAATTGCGATGGAAAACTCGAGGAGATGAGCAAGAAGGGACAAGAGTTGAGTAAAATTGCGGAAAGATCGGTGGAATCCAGCAGATCACCATCCCCAGCACTACCCCTGACTCGTGAGGAGGCTGAAGAGCGTCCTGACAGTGGATTTGGCAAGGCAGACGTGGAGATCAAGCTGAGATCGCCCTCGGAGTCACCTCCGTTGGCCTTGAGGGTCTCTAGATCTCCTGAGAAGAATAAATCCTACTCACGCTCGAGATCTAGGTCCTCCTCGAGGTCTCTCTCCCGTGATAAGACCTCCCGAGGATCGAGAAAGTCAAGGTCGAGGTCGATATCACCTCCCAAAAGATCTAGAAGTGGCTCCAGGGGAAAGGCGAGTGTCTCTGCAATCTCTCCGCCAAGATCCAAGACCTCTAGAATGTCCAGGAGTTCCTCCGGATCGAAGAGATCCGTCTCTAGGTCGAGATCGGTTTCCTTGAAGAAAATCAGGAGTAGGAGCAGAAGTGAGGAGAAAAAATCAAGGAGTCGATCGATCTCTAAATCCAGGAGTAGATCTCGATCGGTTTCCAGGGGGAGTAGAGGCTCCAGGGATAAGGGGAAGAGGAGTCGCAGCAGGAGCAGCTCGGCATCCTCTAGGAGGTGAGGAGTGAAAATTTTTAACAACAATTTGAGATTCATATGATTTGTTTATTCAGTTCCAGACACAGCAGGAGGAGTTTCTCGTCTTCTTCTCGATCCTCCAGCAGTGGCTCCAGTCGTTCCTCCAGGTCGTCATCAAGCTCCTCAGGTTCCAGTCGATCCAGATCACCATCAATTCCACGACGCCACGGATCGCCCAGTTTCCTCGATAGGCGTCGTATCACCAGGTAAAATATTCAAGATAATTTCGAATTTTCTGCACTCGATATCGTTATTTTATCGCTAAATCGTTGGAATATTTTGTTCAGTTGATTTTACGTTGTTTTTCTCCTCTTTTTTTTTCTTGTGTAGCAGAGACAGATCAAAGGGCAGAGCTAGAAGATGAATCCTCAACGTCAATGATTTTTTTTTTACCAATTTCACTCTTCAGGCACAAAAGTCGAATTACTCTTTATTTTTACCTTTTTTTCCCGTTCATTACTTCAGTTTTGTAACGCGTGATGGTTTTTTTTACGAGTGAAATTCGTTTCACTGATGTTTTTTTGACGAATAGAATTCACTGTATTTTCACAATTTTGTGCATAAATATGGCATGTGTGGTATAGAGTAGTCGAGGACATGGAGAGATGATTAAATTGAGGAAGAAATTAGGATAATCAGGGGGTGATTATCGTTGAGAATAACTGCAATAATTCTTGCAATTGTAAAATGACATTGAAATGATTTAAAATAGTCAGATTCATTAATCTCCATTATCCTCTCAATCAGAAACTTGTAAGTCATTATTGTAATAAAGTATTGATGTATATCCTGCAAGACTCCTATTTTATCATTTGTTCACATATTTTTCGTTGCGGAGAAAATTGATAATGCGATGGAGAACTCGTGGTAAGTACACATTCTATTTATTTTTGCACGTTTTCTACCTGCTTGTTGATTATTTCACACCGATTAACAGATTAAAATGCCAATTAGGTACTAATTTTGATGTTAGTTAACCCGGGGGTAGTGAATGGGGCGTTTGTTCACTAATTAAATTAATTGTAGCGCTAGGAAACGACCGATACCCTATCATCGGCCAACACCATCGCCTCCGTCGTCTCCTAGCACCAGTGTATCCTCGAGAAATTCTGATTGGTCGAGTCCAAGTCGAAGATCCAGTCATTCACCAACTCGAAGCCCGTCTTATACACGTTGATGTGTACGTAATCAATTTTTTCTGACGTTTTTAAAACCATAAACTCAATATTTGTGGAATTAAGAGGATTTTAGTTGTGAAAAAATTTTCTATTTTAATTCCCTCCTGTCTTCTCGTTCATTTTAGTCGAGAAATATTTCTTTTTGCTTGTATGAAGATACTCTAGTCAAATTGAGATTATGAGAATAATCTGACCAAATTCATAATGAATTTATTGTGATTAAAAGGATATTTAGTGCAATGTTGAATTACCATCAATTTTTTCCACGTGTAAATATAAATTATTTGTACTAATTATTGAATCAACACTTTAGAAATTACTAATTATTGAGATGAAATGACAATTCTAGTCAGTGAATTTATTTATTCGATACTCATTTATGAGCAATTCAAGGAAAGTATTCTTAGATAATTATTTATTTAATTGCACGTAATTGACGATATTAATTCGATAAAGTATTGAATAATTGAAATGTTAAATGATCTCTTATTTAACTGTAAGATAATCTGTATTGTTGTTGTGTGATTAATGAATCCAAGCTTAACGATAATAAAGAAAAAAAAACCATTGGAAATTTATTACCCCGTACTGATTTCAACAATTGAAAAATTGATAAATCTGGAATGCATATCATAAATCAACAAAAATAGGAACTAATCTTTTCGTTTTTTGGATGCTCTGGATCGGGCGTTCGCCAGATAAATTGTCCACGCAAATCCAATAAAATTCACCACAAGAACTCTCAGCTGGGAATAGATAAAAAATTAATTAACGAGCGATAAAATGAATTAGCTTCACCTGAAGTCTGGAAAAATTACCATTGGAGGAACGTAACGAATGTTGATGAATTGCAGGAGAGTGAGGTATTTGTAATTTGCGAGTAAAATTGGCAGGTAAAGTTTCTCCATGTTTTTTCGTGACTCATCGTGTGACTTCCCCTGATAATCGATAATTCATTGATTAATTGAGCGGAGAAGATAATTTGATTATTGTATTTTTACCTCGAGCCTAGTCAGCATGTATAGAGCGAATGCTTGAAAAAGTGGAGTATAAACTAGACGTTCAGTTAATAGAATTCCCAGAGGAAGTTTTGTGAATAAATGAATATATTTGTAAAAATAATGTGGTACTGGTCCTCCAAACAGCAGCCTGAAATCACCAAGAACAATTAATTTTCGAGTCACCAGGTGGTGATATTTTTCTTTCTAATGCCATCTCCTCCATAAATCCTTGAAAATCAGAATTACCCAAAGAGCCCAAAAGCCAGAAGACTGTCATGATTGATTTCCTTCGTTCCTGAGATCTTCTGGGAGATGTAATTTCCAGCTACAGCCAACACACAACTAGAGAAAAATTCCACAAACATTGAATAACAACTGAGAAAATTCCGGTAACATTGACAATTGAATAATCGACCACTCTCCCAAGTACTAGCTAATTACCTGGTAATTGCCTTAGTCCGGATGGGATTCATATACAAACTGTTGAAATAGGCACCAACAATGTCAAGGATAATCTGGGACGGCTTCGACAGTGACATTGCAATTCTATTCTTCCAAAAAAATATTCAAACTGTCACGATTACTCTATAAATGGCTCAATTGCATCAACGATGTACCGAGCATTGACGAAATAATCTCTGATAGACCATAACAAGTTTTTCCAGCTGATAAAGCCTAAACTTCTCCGAGAAAAACTACAATTGGACTTTGGGCTGCTTTGGAATTCAAAATAAAGAGAAAAAACTGTCGACGTGAATTTATTAGTGATAAACTCATGTGATTGCATCCAGGGGGAGCAGTCATGACCTTGAGATTTATCATATAATAACCTAAAAGTGCAGACAGAACATCTGTGATACCCTTTGAACACACGTGGATATTCGAGTAATTTTGTTAAATTTTTTATGAGATAATGGCGCAGGGGAAGTTGAAGGTGAAAACGTCGACTCCTGGGGGGAAAAAAAATAAAGGAGGGAGCAAAAAGGGTTCCCAGGTGCAGAGACGAAACAGTGAGTATTTCAATTGTTCACAGAATGTTCTGCATCGTAGTATAAAAATTGAAGAATTACGAGCGCCGCCCGTTTCTAAAGATTCATCATTTATTTTATTCCAGATGCTCCCATAAAACCAAAGAAAGCAAAATTCGAGGAGACGCACAAGCTCAAACAGATGATCACAAGGACAGTGAATCGAGCGATGGAGAATGAACTCCGAGATAAAGCCTTGGATGGAAAAAAATCGTTAACGAAGAAGGAGAGTAAGCCCTCGACGTCCCAAAAGTCTTGATGTAAGCACTAACCGATTAAAAAAATACAGATAAAATTTATTCGAACGTTTAAACTCGACATAATGATTTATTGCTCTTCCAATAATTTATACATCTCCTAGAATATTGTCACGAATTAGCCACGAATTATTCCTCGTGTGTAATGGCACCAGAATCGCATCTCCCAGGTCTTAATATATTATCTCTTCAATATCCTTCCTCTAAAATCACATTTTTATAAGGCAGAGTGGCATGATTTCATGGAGAGGCAACCTACGAAAACCGAAAATAAATCCGTGAATTATTACAAGTAGTTAAAAACAATTCAATCAAGCTCCAGCGAATTACCACTAAAAGATGGCCACTTTGTCGATTTTTAGTAATTGCTGGAGTGCTCCCCTTCGTAAACTCGATAGTCCCCTCCTTTCCACTGACTAGTTTGTGCGAGACCCTTGAATAAAACAAAAAATTTCAAAACACGTCTCTTCAAAGAAATTTCAAAAAAAGGGAAATCCCCAGTCCTTACGATTCCTTGTTGACAATATTCAATATTCTCGGATTATTGGTGATGTCAATAGCTTCGGTGAGGGCCTCGATGATGTGTGGCACCTCAAGAATCAAATCCCCCTGTGAAAAAAAAAACCGATGAAAAACCTCAAAACCCTTGAACCCCTGAAAACTCACTTTATCTTTCTTAAGCTCTGGAGGTATCCTGACGATCATGAGATTGTCAGACTCCCCAGTAACGACGAGCTCCTGAATGCTCTGATAAGGCAATCGATGTTTGAGCTTCAGCGATTTCCCAGTATCGAGAATGTAAACAGCCTTTTCCGTTAAAATCAATACCCTTTCTCGTGGCTTATACCCGTGACGATCGTACTTGATTACAGGTGTAGAGTACTGCAGAAAAAAAAAATCTAATAATAATTTCCATTCAATGTCTATTCCAATATTTATCCCGATAGTCTACCTTGATGTTCTCCCCACTGGGTAGGACAGTGGCAATAAAATTCTGTTTCAAAGTGCAAAATTCATTGCCCAGTCGTTCATCGATGAACCTGGGGCCCACACTCTTGCCGTACGACTTCTTCTTGTCTTTGAATAATTTCTCAGCAAGTACTTTGAGCTCGAATTGTTTCTTGTCATCTCTGGACAGGCCTAGCCGATACAGACGGCCCCTGTGTCTCTTGTGAATTAGCTTGAGATGCTCGGACGCCTTGAAACGACAAATATTAAATAAAAAGTCGATAAATGATCCGATATTTCTGGAAAATCAGAGGAAAAACTCACCTCTCGACAGGCATAAGGACAGGGTGGCCAGTAATTATTAAGAACACCCCTGGGGAGATTTCTCGCCAGCCTTAGGAGCCACTGAGACTTTGCCAGCTCGATGAATGATGCATTGATGTCCGTTGGTGGGCCATTCCTCGTGATGAAGCCCTCGACGAATCTCCTGATCGTCAGAACTGCTTTTCTCCTTCTCTCAGCCACTCTCTTCGCCCTCCAGCGTCTCATGTACTTCTGGATAATTATAGCCGAGTACTTCATCCTCAAGTATTTCTGTCTCTGCACTCTGCCCTTCCATTTGCTCTGGATTATCGCTGCTATGTCGTTCTTCTTCCGTTGGTAGGCGTCCTCAGTTGAGAAGAGGGTCTTGGGGAAGCGGATGAATAATTTCGTGCTAAAAAAAGACTTTTTTTTTTAATACGCTCATATTCAGAAAGATTTCACTCACTTTCCCATTTGATACTCGTTCTCGGAGTAGTTTAGGTGAGACACGAGATGCTGTACACCCTTTTTGGCATCTCCAGGGTAGGAGGGCCAGGTTTTGGGGCACAGGGACTTGTATCTCTGCAGGAACTGCTCGTAGGGTCGTCTGTAGGCGAAACCTGCTCGTCTCACTCGCAGGTTCTCCATCAGACCCAAGTACTTCACTTGGTGGAGAACAATTTTGTCGTTAAATTGACCTGAAACACAAGGGTGGGGATAATGCTCTCGAGGTTGAGGTACTCTCCAAGGTCTTACCTGAGATTTTAAAATCATTCGGCTTGATGCAGCGTATGTACGACGGCTCTTTTCCCATGAGAATATCCACGAGGTTGTTGAGACTATTTTTGAATTGAGTTACAGCTGTATCTGGACGTTTTTTACTCGTCAGATCCTTGACATCAAAAATAGCGTGGGTTATTGAGTTCGATGTGTGAGACATTACTTCTCGCAGATCTCGGAACAAGAGGTCATTGTTTTTCTCAAGAAAACCACGAACGTTGTACGTGACATCCCCAGCATAATGAACCAATCGAAATTCCTGAATAAAAAACCGAAAGATTTAAATCCTCTTTTTTCTATCACCATTACTTTAACGCGTGTAGAGCAATATTTTTTACATCTCTTCCCATGATCTTCTGCGTCTGGATATCAGCTTTCATGTGGCTGATATAGTGAGGATGGCTCGATAGATTAGAGTTCAATTTGTCCAAGAAGCTGAGATCAGTGGGATCTCCAGGACGCAAACACTCCTCATCCATCAGAGAGATTATTCCCTTGTACTTCTCCTCGATCAAATCACAGATAACTTTGTTATTGAAAAATTCGATGTGCTCCCAGGTGATGCCCTCCCTCCGGTACTCCTCTTGCTCGGATTTCAGGGTCAACTGTATGAACAGCTGCTGGAGTTTTTCGTTGCAGTAATTAATGCAAAATTGTTCGAAACTGAAATTTAAAAATAACCATCGATAAATAAATCTTTTCATTCATTCGAAACATATCTCGAATCATCTCTCGAGTCGATGCCCCGGTGTTCACCTGTTCTTCTGGAATATCTCGAAACCATAAATATCGAGAATACCAATGACTCCGTTTTCCCTGTGCACCTCGGGCTGGAGGGATTTATTTAGTCTCGCCACGAGCCACGTGAACAAACGATCGTAAACAGCCTTGGCCAGTGCATCCCTCGCGTAAATAGCCAATTCCCTGTTCAACGGGGAAATCACTACGTCCCCATGGGCATTTATCGTTCTGTGAGTGAAGGCTTTGGCTAATTTTTTAACGTCACACCCCAGTAACTGAAATTAACCAGCAGAAGAGGTGAATAAAAAGCCTGATAATAATCGATCATCAATCCATTGTCAGATCTGATTGAACAGGATGATTACCGAAGCGACAGCCTCGACGGAGGCAGGTTTAAGTATCTGAGCGACTCCCTCATCCTCAGTGAATCCCACATTCCCCATGTGAAGAACAGACGCCACAATTGCAAATAAATCGTCCTGCTCGCCCTGTCCCAACTCCACCGTCTTCATGGCCTCCATCACCAGTTTGTACTGCCCCACGTCGTCAATCGTATCAACAGTCCCCTTGGTTCCATTGCTGATATAGAAATAAGTGTCGAGATTACGCTTGAGGAAGAGCTTCCTCAAGGTTTCATCCTCTGCACCAGCCAGAAGCTGATAAAAAATATGAAAATTTCGTTCTCCAGATGACTGATGCACCACTCTTGATTTCTCCAGGAGGTAATTGAGAATGTTCCCACCAACGGGATCACCCTGGAGGAAGAATAAAAAATTCAGTGATGTCCAGGTGATGATGGAGGAATTACTCACGTGAAAATCGAATTGTATGTCCATGTATTTTCCAAATCTCGAGGAGTTGTCGTTTCTGTTTGTCTTGGCATTTCCAAATGCCTCTAACACTGGATTCGAGCCAATGAGCTTTCCGTTGACGGCGTCCACCTTTTTTTTGTGACCTGTTGCTGCTGCTATGAACTGGAGGATCTTCTTCGAGGCCTCGGTCTTCCCTGAGCCCGATTCCCCGGAGATAAGGATACATTGGTCTCGGTTTTCTTTTGCTAGCGATCTTCGAGGCAAAATTAATCGTTAAATATTTATTTCAGGGGTAATTCTTCAGGGAATATTTCGTCTAAATGAAAAATCCCAGAGGTAGTTCCACCTAAATCCGATGATTATCGGCGTAATTTCAAAGAATCAACACTGAAATAAAATTCTTACCGATAAGCAGTATCTGCTAGGGCAAAAATGTGTGGCGGTGCTTCAAAAAAATTTCTCCCTTCATAATAATGTATTGTCGCTTCGTTGTAAATCGGTAGACTCTTGTACGGATTTACTGACACGAGCACTTGACCAATGTACGTGTAGATAAGATTCTCCTTGAATCTCTTTCTCAAGTTATCGATAAATGCTATTTCACTGTTAAAATCCTCAAGCAATACAAAATCTTGAACGCCAACTCTGTCCCTCTCGTGCAAATCTTGCTCCATTATTTCAGCAGCTAGTGATTTTTTTCGTGTTTTCTCGTCTCTGGAAAATGAAATATCAGATTATATTGAACGAGTTGGGTGACTTTCTAATGGTCAGTGGGTCGATTGGAAATATATCGATTCGACTCGCGTGACATTTCTGGGTTTTAAAATTATTCACGTGGATAACTATTAATCCAGCGGATTGGTGACGAGACGATAAGCAGTAGATTAGATTATGTCTCCAGGTGGGACTTCCAGGGTAAAACCAATAAAATCTAGATGATGGTGCATTATTTCTGCAAATAAGACTTACTCCATGTCTCGATTATCGCGGAGTCGATTGATTAGTCTAATTGGTGTAGTCCACTACAGTCCAATCGGTGAATATTTAATAATAAAAATGGGCTAGAGTCGATTAATCGCTGATGAACACTTCACCACTCTTGTTCTCACTCTGAACTCGTTGTTTGTGTGAAATGAATTCTCCATCTACCCATCGACCAGGAGATAAGATTAAATTATCTTTGATTTTATTGTTTTATTTTGGTTTCTCGAGTTTTTCATTTTTCTTCGGGGTCTATTTTCGGGACTCTGGTGCTACCTCTCCCCCTCGCGACGAAGTGCCAAGTGGAGAGATGGATTTTTAGATGGATTTTTTAAAAAACACACCCACCGCTTTTTCAAAAGGTTTTTTCAAAAATTCAATTCACTGAAAATCCACTTTTCCCCGAGAAATAAACAGATCAACTCCATTTCACTGAATTGCCTCAGTGTAGAAGGGGCGTAAGATAACGGGAAGTGGCCATGGGGAAGACTACGCATTGTTCATTGTACTTGTGGAACTTCCGCTTTTTTTTTTAAACAGAAACGAAAGAGAAGAAATTGGCTGAGAAGACGAGCTGAGAAATGCTTACATCTTCACCATTTTACTTTCTCGTTGTTTTCGGCTCTTTGTTCCACCCTGACACCTGTTCCCCACCATTTATTGATGAAATTCGAGAGCCACTCTAATTAGTCACATCAGTATGCCATTGAGGATTAAAATATGAGAATGGAATTTTAATGTACCGTAGGCCCTGAACTTGAATGATTCAAAGACGCATGATGGGACTCAAGGCCGCCGAAATATTCGAGGAGAAAACCCAAGACTATTCTCAACCGGTTATTTTTTTTTTTCAAAACCCCTCTCACGCTATGTCTAATTTCCCCTCTTTGGCCTTTTTTCTCGTTTTTTTTCCAGGAGTGACGGCTCACCGGGGATTCGACTATTCGCGGGGCATGATTAATGGAGAAAATCGAGGCTTTTTTTTTCTGTAAAAAAAATAGGAGGACACTTCAATCCTTCCGAGAAGATCATTACGTCAGTGGACCTCTAACAAAAGAGTTAAATCTCTTGAGGGAATATTTTTAAAGGAAAAACAGTGAGGGAGCATTTACGTGATTGTTCAAGTGGCCTGAGTGCTAAACTTTACGACCCAATGATTTGCCATTTTCTCTTTTTTCCATCGTACATTCAACCTCAACAATAGCAAAACCACAGAGCAGCTATTTCTGAGATTGCACCGAGTTCTCACTGGCAACTTTAAGGGTGTTACCCATATACAGTAAAAATTCCAATTTTTTTATTTATCCGCTTTTGCACTCTGTCATTATTTAATTAATCGTCAAGTTTCTAAGAAAATTTTTCTCTCTTTTTCCTGGACTTTTAAAATTAATCACGAAATTTTAGAGAAAATGGATTATCGCACAAAATTATCGCACCACATTTTTATATTAATCCCAACGATAATTTACCAAAAAAATCTTAAATAAAGTGGCTTTGAACATTTTTAACGCGAATATTTATAGGCTCAATTGCAAATTTTTCCATTGTCCGAAGGAAAATATTTCTACCCGAATGATTCATGAGTTTCCCTCGACTATTTTGTCGTTTATAATGATGGCTATTCGATAAGAGTTATCAGGAATAGTCAATATGGGTAATCAGGCCGCTAGAAAAATAATTTCCATGCGGGTCTAATTATTCAATGTTTAAAGAAGTCCCTAATAAATTGGCATTAAAAAAAAAGGAAACAATTCGAATTCCCTCGACGAATTGACAAGCAGTCGAGGTCGACCTGGAGATTTAATTCACTGATTCCACAAGAAAATTCGAGAATAGTTAACGAGGAAAATGAATGATGAAGAAAAGTGAATTTTCACGGTATAAAATTGAAAAGCGAAATGAAGATTTAATAATCCAGTCAAGCAGCCGTGACTCACGCTCCAGATGCACTCGAATGTATCAATCGGACAAATCCAAAAAAACGATAAAGACTTTCCCTCGTTGATACTCACCCCAGGAGTCACTCAATTCTCACTGGAAAAAATCACTGATCTGCCATTTGGCCCCGGGGACCCGGCGAACGCCAGTTAGGTGCAAACTGATGGAGTCAGCGTCCAAAAAATAAACTCCGATGATGAGAAAGAAAAAGAAATTCCACGCTAGCTGTGTACTTGAACCATGCCACGACGTGACTAACACGGGGAGAGTAACGGAGTCGACCATGGAGGCCCCACTCTCTGTAACCGTCCCACGAGGACGAATTCGTTGGAAGGAGAGAGAGGATCGACCCCTCAATACCCACCAAATGTAAGACGATGGTATCTCCACAAGTGCTTTTGTCCATCGAGCAATAAATCATTATTCCCCATTTTTAACTCCCAAAACAGGTGTACCATTGGAAATTATATTTGAAACCTAGTGCACCCAAAAAAATCCAATAATAAATTCAAAAAAATTTTCGCTAATGGAATATGTAAAAAAAAAAATTCACCTGCCTTTTGCAATTTTTATTTGGAATTCAACTGTGATTTTTTAGGAGATAGTGATGAATTGAAAAAATTTCAATAATTAATAATAATGAAAAATGTATTATTTTTTATTATTCGAATTTTTATATTTCTCGATTAATTCAATTATTTTAATTATTCTTGGATAATTCGCGAGTATAAAATGATAATTTTGTATTATTAAATATAATAATATTCTCTGAAGCGAAAAAAATAAATAAAAATATTTGTTTTTTAATTTTTGTATTTGTGCTGATTAATATTGATTGATGGTGATATTAAAATGGTTTGAATGATTTCAGGAAGGGATTTACTGGTTAGTGATTGTTGGCTGACAAGGGTGTAGGAATAATTTAGAGGCGTGAGTTCCGCATTAACGAAGTTGATTGCAAGCGGAGGGTATGGAGGGGTGGACGAGTTGGGGGTTGTCCAGAGGGTCAAGTCCAGCCAACTACCCCCTGGTCAGTCTATCGTGAGCTTTCAAAGTGCTACCAACTAGCCACTGTCACGCGCCAACTACCTGGAATGATTCCATCTCCAATATCGTGAGTTAAACAGAGTTATCAGTGTTATTTTACCTTTGGAGATGCTCATTTTCCCCCTGTGCGCATCAAATTACAATTGTTTAAATCTAATTCATACATTTTCATGCATAATTCAAACAATCGGCCATTTATTCCGTTTTCTCCGGAGTTCCGCGAAACTATTGGCGATCAATCGGAATCAATGACCCAATTTCACTTTTACATTTACAATAATTTACCGATTCAATTAATTCTATTTTCCTTGAAAAATCAATGAGATTTTCACATTATTTTCCAATACAAATTATATATTTGAAATAATTAAATAATTGAATAAAATAATTATAAAATTTTGCGCAATAGATTTAAATCGATATTACGGAAAAATCGAATGTTGAGGATTGGTGATGAGATTGAGTCCTTTGGTTCTGTTATTAGCCCCAGGAAACGAGAAATCGCCGGATGGTGCTGCTGAAGAGTCCTCCACCCGGGCGAGGTAATCGGGAGCCCCCGAAGAATCCAGACAAACCCCGAAGATCACGAGGGAATAGCCCGAGCGATGGGAAATCCTCTCGGGGCAATAGTCCGTCGAAACCCGGTGGATCATCAACGAGAAAAACAACACTTCGTGCTTCCAGGAGCGAGTAAGTATTTCCCCATTATCTCCTGGTCATTTCGACCGGTCGTCTCAAAATTAATTTCCAAAAATCAATTATATTTAATTTTTACAGCTTATAATTAATTAATTATAAAAATTAATGACTCGGATCAATTAAAATACATTCGATTAATGTTCAATTCACATATTTTCATAATATCAATATCAATAATTGAACCGTTTTCCTTGTAATAATTATCTCGGTGCGATAAGGATTGCTTACAGTACACGTCAAATAATTAAAACTACACACATGACCGAGGAAACTAGAGTATAAAAATAACACGACACAAAACGCTGCGATAATTTTTTGAATGAGGTACACCTTTCAACAGGACGTCTAAAAATGTCCTGTCGATCGATTTCCTGGGGTGCGAAAAAGAAAAACGAGGAAAAATGATGACAAACCGAAATAAATAAAAATAGTGTCTACACATGTTGGCTCTGATCTAGGGCGATGGGAGTCACCGAAAGTCACGTAATTGTACGAATTATCATCTTTATTTGTTAATAGAGAATTTCCCCACACCATCTGTATACTCTATCTGCTGGAAAATATGGGGGGAGGAAAAATGGAGGGAAAATATTGTGAAGTGTTGTCATGGGAAACGTGATGAGACATCGCGTTAATACATGTAGCATACACCTATTATCGATCGTAAAGACCTTGCCCGTGTGTGTTGTAGGCACCAGGTAATCGATATTCTAATGTCCAGGAGTCTCACCACATGTGGGAGGAAGCAATCGTTTTTTTGTCATCCAGGCGATGAAGAAATAATTTTTTATTTCTTTCCCACATTTTTAGGCAATACGAATCAAAAAGAACTACGAATCAAAAAGAAATACGAATCAGTTCCTCCCTTAATCTACTTATTACTCTAATTAATCTATCATATGATTGAAAAAAATTCTAAATCATGTACATGTGAGCGAAATCATGTCTTTTGACTTTTTAATGCGGCGGCAAAAATGGCAAATTCAAATGCATGAGTTATTTAAATTATCATCGAACTGTTCCCTGACATTTTTATCACCCCGAAGTGGAACCCCTGTTTTAAAAAGAGCACAGGTATTGACACGACCTTTAAACCTGAAATAACGGTTTTCTTCCGAATGCTGTCTGAATAATAATATTCATTTGTCGTGACGAATAGTTTCATGACGAGACATCTAATTTTGTAATGGTTGGAACGAGATAACCATCAGACCCTGGGGGAAATAGCACTCGTAAATACAAATGAATAGTCATACTCGGTTAATATTTGGACACCCCATGGTGTGCGTGACCTGTCGATCTCGAATTCTCCACCGAAACTTTCAAGTTCGAATTAACACACATGAAGTGATTTTGATGAAGGGAAATCCCCCGGAAGTGTTAACAAATTGTTAATGAAGGTCGAAGTAAGGGTGGAGGGTTGAATCACGCGATTGTCTAGTCTCTAATAAATATTGGACCACCACTTATTGACTGGATTGACGTAAATCAATATCTTTCAGGCGGAAAAAGGCATTTATTTTTAACGACTACAAGAGGTACTTAAACCAGACAAATGGATAATTAATAACTAAAGATTTCCAATCTTTGTTGATGGATGTGTTCAATTAAGGATTCAATGATTCATTCTTTGTGGTACACATTCAGGTCAACGAACAGCGAAGAGATTTTTCGCTCGAGGTTGAAAATAGCTCGTGAGACAAAAATAGATAGCTTTTTTATTTTTCATTGGAGTTTATTGTTTTGAGAGTGAGTAGAGGATGGACATTCATCGACAGGAAGATAATGAGAATTTATTGAATTCCAGGAATGGAAGTATAGAACGTCTGACGGAAGGTGACAAGAGGGTGATAGCTTCCAAGAATCTTCTCCCAGAGGATAACATCAATGTGGTCATCAGGGTACGACCACTGAGTCAGAAGGAGAAAAAATCAGGGGATCAACCAGCTGTGCATTTTCCTGGTGATGGGCAGATACAGTGCGAGGTTTTTGTGGGAATTGACAGAAAACCGAGGCTCTTCTCCTACAATGTTGTCTTCGAGCCAGCAGCCAGTCAGGAGGACATTCTCCAGTACTCGGGAATGAAGAAACTCATCGAGATGGCAGTCGAGGGATTCAGCTGCACTGTCTTCTGTTATGGACAGACAGGAAGTGGAAAAACTCACACCCTGACTGGTCCTCCTGGACTGGTAATTATTCCTCTTCAATAATTTTATTTTCACCAATCAAACGGTTCTCTCTCTACTTGTTCTTGTATTCCAGTTTGCAAATATGAATCCGTACTCGGAGGATCACGGACTCGTCTTCAGGTCGTTTGTCTACCTCTTCAAGATTCTCCAGGAACGCAAAGAGTGCAATTTCGTACTCAGGGCGTCTTTCTTGGAAATTTATAACGAGAGGGTTATTGATCTCTTGAATCCTGGCAACTCCAGGAAGTCTCTGGCTGTTCGGTGGAGCAAAAAGAGTCGGGGATTTTTCGTCGAGAATCTTTTCACTGTTGAGTGCGAGGAGCTCGATGATCTTCTCGCGGTTTTGGAAGAGGGTTAATATTTTTTTAAAACCTTATATCTTCAATATATTATTGATTTGATTTAATTCTGAATTGCAGGCATGAGAAATCGATCCGTGGGCTCTCACAACATGAACGATCACTCGAGTCGAAGCCACACAATCCTCACAGTCCACATCACCTCTGAACAGCAGGTAATCAAATGACAACAGCAGGGCATTGAGGCCAGAGTTTAATTGGATTAATTCATTATTTATTAGATGGAGAATGGGGTATTCATTTCCAAGCAGGGGAAAATCAATTTCGTCGATTTGGCGGGCAGTGAAATGACGAAGAAGACGCAGAGCGAGGGTAAGACCCTGGAGGAGGCCAACAACATCAACAAAAGCTTGATGGTCCTGGGTGAGTTCCCAACAACCCTTAACAACAATTTTATACTCACTCTGTTCTGCAATTGTGGATTATGTCCCCAGGGTACTGCATATCATCGCTGAGTGATGGAAAAAGGAAGACTGGACACATTCCGTACAGAGACAGTAAATTAACGAAACTTCTGGCTGACAGTCTAGCGGGAAATGGTGTCACATTGATGGTAATAATTAATTGTTAAACGATAAAAATTCCTTGATACCTGAAATAAAAATATTCTTCAAGATTGCCTGCATATCTCCAGCTCGTTCAAGCGCCTCGGAGACGCTCAACACCCTGAGGTACGCAGCAAGAGCCAAGAAAATTCGCACAAAACCTATCGTAGTGATGGATCCACGCGAGGCCTTGATACTCAGCCTGAAGAGAGAAGTCGGGGCTCTGCAGACTGAGAACGATCACCTCAGGGCTGCCCTCCACCTGGGGAGTGATCCCCTGACGACGATCAGTGAATCATTCGAGAGGAGGCCACCTATTCACTCGCCCCAGGTCGACATCGACAGACTAGCCGAGATGGAGTCCCCAGAGTTGAGTCAACTCGTTCGTGCCTACATGACTGAGAATGAGGCCCTCAGGAGGGAGAACGCAGAGCTCTACGCCACGAGGGATCAGGTTGTCAGGGATCAGGAGCTCGTGTGCAGGGAGAACGAGAGACTCCTGAAGAAGCTTGAGGACGTTAACACGTGAGTTAGGAATGAAAGAGTGTGGATTTTTTTTTTATTTGAGTTTTTCATTTATTTTTCTGTTTATTCAAGGGTTTGTTGCAGATCCCCTATCATCCCAGCACGTCCATCGTATTCTGCTGAGCTTTTGAGTACCTCGGGGGCAGCTAACGTTTGGACAAATCCAAATGAAGACTCTGAATTCTCTAAAGTAATAGATTAGGCTATTCATTTATGGAATCTAATGGTTTTTACTTCAGATTTTTCTTCAATTATTTGTATTTCTTCTAGAATGGTCTGGCGAGTAATATTCTGTCAACCCTGGAGACTGGAATGCCGGAGAAGGTCCTGAAGGAGCTGGACAAGAGGATCGTGGGAAGTTTCAGTAATATAGCTGAAGCCTACAAGGACAAAAGCCACCACAGGAGGTACAACTCCTGGGACAATGGCAACGTCTTCACAGACAGTCCCGACCACAATTCATCCCCAGTGGATGGTACCCAGTGAGTCCCTGAATTTTTGCTTCTAGTCTAGTCCCTGCAATTGATGCTTTCTCTCTTGACCCTTCACCTTCGTTTTGAGTTAATCGGGATGATTTCTCTAGAAGTTACAAGAGGACACCCTTAAGGAGGACCTCGACAGTCCCCGAAGAGAGTCATGCAAAGTCTGCAGGGCTCCTAGGACCCAGAGTGGCTCCAGTCCCTTATTCTTTGGATGGAACACCCGATTCTGTGCTCTCTGGACCTCTCCTGGAGGGCCAGGGCTCTCTACCGACGACCGGAGACTCTGTCGCACCCACCACACCTTTTCCACCGGTTTCTCAGCCGTCATCACCCCGGGGAAAGGATAGGAGACCAGGCAGGAGGGACGACACGATCCACAGGGCTCTTGGCAGTCCTGTCCTCATCAACAGGGACAAAGCTTTCGAGTAGATCTTGAAGGCTGCATGGCCTACGTTAGGCTAGAACTAGATAATTTTTAATCATCTTGTCAAAAATGTGTGAATATGATAATTCCGTTTTTCCAATAAAATTAATTATTGCGTTTGTATATGAAATCCGAGTTCATATTCAAATCGTCATGAATGTTCACATGAGAACGCATTCTTCGGCTCACCCAAAAAAAATTATCGAATATATTGAACATATACTTGTAGTGAAATCCAACTATCATAAATGCTTGTTGAGTAATCGGCAACATGCTCAACTAGCACGCGGACGGCTTGGGTTCGATATCAGCATCATTCATTTTTTTTTTCAAAATAATTCCAATTTTTTTTTTGTAAATGGCTAATCAATGGAAATATCGTTTAAAAACTGAATATTTGAAAATCCAGGAGATATCCAGTGAAATTGAAAAATTTGACATTTTTGAAAACGAAACTTTTTCAATATATCTACTCCTAGTGAAACTATATTTTTGTAATGAGCGCGTTATCTAATTGTCAACCTGCTTGACCAAAGAGGATTGACCAAAGTAGAGACTCAGTTCTGGGGGTTTGAGTGACCCCAGCGGCATCGTAGTAGTCGACCCCATAAGAGGGAGGACGCCACACGCAATGCTGGGGTATCTGCTCGTTAGCCGACTCAGCGACTCTTCAGTAGCAGTCCCGCTGCCACAGGGACCAGCCGAAAGGGAACTCTTATAGAACATCAGAGATCCTGACATCCACAGGGTAGCAGTCTGGAAGAGATATTTTTACTCAATATAAAGATAAATAATAATTTTTTCATAGAATCATGTGCCTTAATACTGACCAGAATTGGTGCCCTGCACGTAACCAGCCCCACCGTAGCCAGGGAATGATAAAAATGATATCTATTCGCTGTCTCAAACACTTGCTTCAATTGATCGTCCTTATATTTCCCTAAAAAAAAATATAAATAATTCTTAATCAAGAATATAAGGACCCGATGACTGAAAAAATGAATAAAATCCGCACTGTGAGCTCCATATGCCCCGAGGATGACTGCAGTTGCTCCACTGAATCCTGCCAATTTCAAATAAGGCCCTGAGGCTGCTGCCGATTTCCACAAGGGCTCAGGTGGAACCAGTTTGTACTCAACACGGGGCTTGAGGCCTGAATAATTGATAACCTAAAAAATTCATGTATATTCATTCCTCATGTAATTAACAAATGTCAGAAAAAAAAAATTTTGATCGCTGTATGGTATCCACATGACCTCAAAGTTTCAAAAATAGAATGAACTATAGAAGCATTACCCAGACTCCAAAAATCAGGCAATAACAATAAATAAATTGATTCCTCTTATTTTTTATTAAAAAATAACAGCGACTTACAGCTGATGCAGCAGTTTTCGCAAACGAACCGGCATTCGAGCTGACGGGATTAGAAAACAGAACGTAATTCAATGTATCTGATACTCCCATTCCCGTTTCAGAGATCCAATCGAAGTGTTTTTGATGGTCAAGACCAAAATCCACACGCTAAATTCTCTTCAACCAATTATTTTTCACTGACTATTGGATTTTACGTGATTGCACTATGTTTTTAAAGAGAGAATTATTTATTAAGTTCAGAATTTTCGCAACTATCTTATCTCGTCAAACTGAGACTACCCGCGGTGTTCTGTGCGCATGTACGGTGTGCGTGCGTATGCACGGTCTTCTGTGCGCATGCACGGTCTTCTGTGCGCATGCGCGGAGTATAGCCTGACGACCCCCCACTCGAGCGCCGCCTCCAATGCCCTGCCATTTTGAGTGGGGAGTCAGTCGTTCGGCGGCAGTGCGTGGAACGGTCGGTCGGGTGTCGCGTAGTGAAAATTCGTTAACATCGGGGTGCTAGTGAGTGCAGAAAACCGACACCGCCTGTGAACATGGAAAATACAAAGTGCGGGACTCAGTGCAAGTGATTTT